TACCTCCCTTCAGCAGAGAATCTGCTTTGGCTCTGGTTTTTGCTGGGATGGACTTGTCAGCCAGGGTTTCAAGTGACGACATGGACAAGTTAAAGAAAATCCTGCTGTGCAGCCTTAAGCAGAACAAGGCACGAGTGATTGCAGCGCACTGCCAGTGGATCAATGCCACGAACTTCATGAGGGGCTCACTTTTGGGGGATTGAAGATGCACAAACGATGTGTCTTTTGCTGGGGACCTGAGATGCTTCTGGGGTATTGATGAAGAAAAAAGTGAGTGCCAGGGCAGTGTTAAGCACCGAAAATCCGAAGAAACTCTTGCAATCAAATCGAAGCTGGGATGCTCCATAAACACCACAGTCACAGTCAATCCTCAGCTCAGCTCCGACTCCCCTAAACCCCCAACCCCAACCCTTTTTCACTACGAGGCTGATGGCAGTTCCCTTGCGGCCTCCCTGCCGCTCTTGCGCAGGCCGGGTTTAGACATGCATCAACCCTCACTTTACCTGTAGTGGCTGTGGTGCGAGACATTTATGCAGAGACCTGATCTAATTGATCTCCTGCTTTGACAGTTTCACCCTCGGACGCATACCAGCTTGCACCAGCCGGACTTCCTGCAGGCTGTAAGAAGAGCTGGAGCCTAACATCTGGCGGTGCGGTTCTTTGCAGCCAACATGTCCGCCCATGCTTGACATGTGACTTCCTGTGCATGCTGGCCACAAATCTGTACCAGGTGAGCCCCAATGCTTACGAGGCACACATGGGTGGCTAGATCATGATGTGTGTGGTCTTATTCTGGAAGCCGTCCTTTTTGGATGACGAGCAAAGTTCATTAGCGTTTTCATGTATCCGGGCCTTTCAATCTTCCGTCCACGACCGTGTGCCATGAAACAATGGCTCTTTGCAAAGGATCGTCTTGTGCGACTTCATAGGCACCCTAAACCCCAACCCCCAACCCGAGCCGAGATGGGACCCCTAAACCCCTAAACCAGAACAGGACATGGCATATCATGCATTATGTGCCGCGGTTTAGGGTTTTGGGTTTAGGGTTCCAGAACATGACATGGCATGACATGACATGCCTGATGTGACATGATGCACTAGCCCTAAACCCTTAACCCTGACCTCTAAACCCGAGGACCTCAACGGCCCTAGATCTCTCAACTGTTACTACGACTACGAAGTTACAGGTCGCAACTGGTTGCAATCTGTGTTTTGCCACAGACGCCTGTATTCAAGTCATCTGAATTGATGTTTTTGCCACAAGTTACAGAACGCAACTGGTTGCAATCTGTATTTTGCCACAGAAACCTGTATTCAAGTCATCTGAATTGATGGTTTTGCCACAAGTTACAGAACGCAACTGGTTGCAATCTGGTTTTTGCCACAGAAACCTGTATTCAAGTCATCTGAATTGATGTTTTTGCCACAAGTTACAGAACGCAACTGGTTGCAATCTGGTTTTTGCCACAGAAACCTGTATTCAAGTCATATGAATTGATGTTTTTGCCACAAGTTACAGAACGCAACTGGTTGCAATCTGTATTTTGCCACAGAAACCTGTATTCAAAATTCCAGTCATCTGAATTGATGGTTTTGCCACAAGTTACAGAACGCAACTGGTTGCAATCTGTATTTTGCCACAGAAACCTGTATTCCAGTCATCTGAATTGATGGGTTTTGCCACAAGTTACAGAACGCAACTGGTTGCAATCTGTATTTTGCCACAGACCTTGTATTCCAGTCATCTGAATTGATGTTTTTGCCACAAGTTACAGAACGCAACTGGTTGCAATCTGTGTTTAGCTACACAAGCCTGTATTGAAGTCATCTGAAATGATGGTTTTGCCACAAGTTACAGAACGCAACTGGTTGCAATCTGTGTTTTGCCACACAAACCTGTATTCAAGTCATCTGAATTGATGGTTTTCCAACAAGTTACAGAACGCAACTGGTTGCAATCTGTATTTTGCCACAGAAACCTGTATTCAAGTCATCTGAATTGATGGTTTTGCCACAAGTTACAGAACGCAACTGGTTGCAATCTGTTTTTTGCCACACAAACCTGTATTCCAGTCATCTGAATTGATGTTTTTGCCACAAGTTACAGAACGCAACTGGTTGCAATCTGTATTTTGCCACAGCAGAAACCTGTATTCCAGTCATCTGAATTGATGTTTTTGCCACAAGTTACAGAACGCAACTGGTTGCAATCTGTATTTTGCCACAGAAACCTGTATTCAAGTCATCTGAATTGATGGTTTTGCCACAAGTTACAGAACGCAACTGGTTGCAATCTGGTTTTTGCCACAGAAACCTGTATTCAAGTCATCTGAATTGATGTTTTTGCCACAAGTTACAGAACGCAACTGGTTGCAATCTGTTTTTTGCCACAGAAACCTGTATTCAAGTCATATGAATTGATGTTTTTGCCACAAGTTACAGAACGCAACTGGTTGCAATCTGTATTTTGCCACAGAAACCTGTATTCAAAATTCCAGTCATCTGAATTGATGGTTTTGCCACAAGTTACAGAACGCAACTGGTTGCAATCTGTATTTTGCCACAGAAACCTGTATTCCAGTCATCTGAATTGATGGGTTTTGCCACAAGTTACAGAACGCAACTGGTTGCAATCTGTATTTTGCCACAGACCTTGTATTCCAGTCATCTGAATTGATGTTTTTGCCACAAGTTACAGAACGCAACTGGTTGCAATCTGTGTTTAGCTACACAAGCCTGTATTGAAGTCATCTGAAATGATGGTTTTGCCACAAGTTACAGAACGCAACTGGTTGCAATCTGTGTTTTGCCACAGAAACCTGTATTCAAGTCATCTGAATTGATGGTTTTCCAACAAGTTACAGAACGCAACTGGTTGCAATCTGTATTTTGCCACAGAAACCTGTATTCAAGTCATCTGAATTGATGGTTTTGCCACAAGTTACAGAACGCAACTGGTTGCAATCTGTTTTTTGCCACACAAACCTGTATTCCAGTCATCTGAATTGATGTTTTTGCCACAAGTTACAGAACGCAACTGGTTGCAATCTGTATTTTGCCACAGCAGAAACCTGTATTCCAGTCATCTGAATTGATGTTTTTGCCACAAGTTACAGAACGCAACTGGTTGCAATCTGTATTTTGCCACAGAAACCTGTATTCAAGTCATCTGAATTGATGGTTTTGCCACAAGTTACAGAACGCAACTGGTTGCAATCTGTTTTTTGCCACAGAAACCTGTATTCAAGTCATCTGAATTGATGTTTTTGCCACAAGTTACAGAACGCAACTGGTTGCAATCTGTTTTTTGCCACAGAAACCTGTATTCAAGTCATATGAATTGATGTTTTTGCCACAAGTTACAGAACGCAACTGATTGCAATCTGTATTTTGCCACAGAAACCTGTATTCAAAATTCCAGTCATCTGAATTGATGTTTTTGCCACAAGTTACAGAACGCAACTGGTTGCAATCTGTATTTTGCCACAGAAACCTGTATTCAAGTCATCTGAATTGATGGGTTTTGCCACAAGTTACAGAACGCAACTGGTTGCAACCTGTTTTTTTGCAGCAGAAACCTGCAACTAAGAATCATCTCAATTCATGGTTGTGTGAGAAAAATACAGAACCCAACCGGTTGCAAGCGAATGCCATGCCTCGTCGTCGGGCGCAAGCAGTGTTGTGCCACCGCAGGTGTAGGGTTTGGGGGTTTAGGGTGTAAAGGTTAGGGCTCTTAAAGGCCTGCAACGACAGGGTTAGAGGCGCTATAGGGTTTAAGGTCAAGGGGTTCAGGGCCTCAGGTTCAGGGTTTATGTGGTTCGGGGTTTCGAGCATAAGGTTCAGGGGTTCAGGGTTACCAGGGCTGAGGTGAAGGTTGATGGCATGTGCAAATTGGGGGCTTGGCAACTATTGCTATGGATGAGTTTAGCCTTACAATTCAGGATGAGGCATCATGTTCAGAGCTCAGGGGAGTAGGGCTTCGGGGGTTTGGGTTTAGGGTTCAGGGTTAAAGAATTTTGGCATTTAGGGTCTTGCTTCGGGCTTCTGGGCAAGCACTCTAAACCCCAACCCCAAAACCCGAGCCGACCCCCACCAAGGCACCCTGAACAACTCAAGACCTGCATAAAGCCCCACTACCTGCCTAAGCCAAGAGGGGGCTTGTTCAACCCCCACCAAGGCACCCTGAACAACACAAGACCTGCATAAAACCCCACTACCTGCCTAAGCCAAGAGGGGGCTTGTTCAACCCCCACCAAGGCACCCTGAAAAACTCCAGCACCTGCCTAAAAAACCCACTACCTGCCTAAGCCAAGAGGGGGCTTGTTCAACCCCCACCAAGGCACCCTGAATAACCCTATCACCCCACTAAGCCAAGAGGGGGCTTGTTCAACCCCCACCGAGGCACCCTGAATGACCCCGAAGACTAATATCCCTGCACCCAAAACCATCTAAGCCCTAGCAACCAAAGAGTTTAAGACTTGGGATTTAGGGAGTCGGCTTAGGGTTTAAGAGTTTAGGGTCGTGTTCATAGCTGCTGCAAAACTGTTCCATGAGTGTGATGTGTGGTGTTAAAAAACGGTTTCCCATGTGATTTGCTGACAACAAGTTTGATTTGGCAAAACGACAGTTGAGCACACCAGAGGAAAACATGCAAAACATTTAAAATATGCACAAATATTTCGGTGTATGTGTGTGCCCAAAGCATGAAAACATGTGTGTTGGCTCCACAAAACTCAGCTTCAAAGCATGACATAATTGGTGTTTTTTGTGCTTTTTTTGCTTTCTTTCCACGGCAGGACTCGGAGGGTGAAACACCCAATCGGAAATGAAAACCCCAAATGACACGATAGTGGCTTCTTGAAGTGTCCTTTGATTTGAGGGATCCTCGGTCGGGGAACTGCATCCTGCGATTGGGCCGTAATGCATGTATGTATGTCATCGTGCGTCCTTGGTCTTCTGGACGCTGCAGTGAACCTTGTAATCTTAGATGCTGTTTGCAGGCGCAGTGGGGCATCAACAACATCCCGGCCAAGGAGGCGCAGTGCCCGAAAAATGTCGCGGTGTTCATCAGATCCAAGCTATCTGCTGCAAAGGCCAGGGGCGATGCCTTCGAGACCGGCTTTCTGAAGGCGGGGCACAAGCTGTTCGACCACTTTCTCTTTCTTCTTGTGATAGGGTTTAGGGTTTCGGTGTTGTGCATTTTCTGTGGTGGTCGCTTCAGCATCTCAGCCGAGAAAGCGGCGAGGGCGTGCTTGGATCGGCAGCCATGTCTGACGTTGCTAGCAGTTCCTCTTTCAAGACCTGTGCCTTGTTGGGTGAGGCCTCTCTGTTCCAAGTTGCGACAAAAGAGCCGTGGGACGTTGACCCGGTCCGACCCTTTGACTGCCTCTTGCTTGTGTGCTTGTGCTGACAGAGTCACTTCGCCGCATAGCAATCGCGAAGCGATGGCTTGACAGTGCAAGGGAATCGATCGCACACTGCTGGAGTTAGATGGTTTCTTCGCAGCGGACCCAGCTGCTCCCACACGAAGACGAAGGACTCAAAGAGGACGTGCTGGTTATTGCTGGTTTGTCTCAGATACCGCCTCTTGAAGCGAACTACAGCTTCTACGTTTGTGGACTTGGCCTGAGTGTGTCTCTTGGAAAGAAGTGCAACCCAGCAACCCCCAACTCAGGCGACGATGCTGCGACTGTGGAGCGGCTTGCCCGAGGTCCCGGGTTTCTTGTGACTCACCGTTCTTGCAACTCCCAAGGATCGGTGAAGATGCGGGTATGCCACACTCCACACTTCGCACTGTGGCATACTTTGGAGAATGGGTGGGGGTCTCATAAGGTTTATGCATGGCTCAGCACCGGAATACTGCAGTCAGATGTCCATCGTGCTCCTATGAAGACAGTGTGCAGCAAGCAAATTTTGCCCCGATCATGAGGTGTCTTCGGGCGACTACGGGATGATTTCGCCTTTCTGCTGGCCAGCCATCGGACAGGCTGTCAGCGCAGGGAGGAAAGGCTGTGCCTCCTTCAGGTACTTCCGCGAAGATGTCGCGTCTGGCGACTTCACAGGAGCATACTGCGTGGTGGGTTTGGGGAAGCAGATAGATCTCATGTTCAATGCAGGCGACGACAAAAAGATCTCTGATGATGTGCGGTTGACAGCTGGTGAGCAGTTGCCTCAATCCTGATTCCACACACTGAGATCTTCGGGCGCTGGGGGCTTTGCTACCAACCCTTTTTGCTTGATACCTGCAAATTTGATGGTTCGAAGATGAGCCGAAGTATGCTGAATTTGTGCTGATGGCCTGGGCCCGTCTGGCCCTGGCCCGGCACCATGTCCACCTTGCCTTCCTCTTTCCCATGGACAAAGAAGCAGGAGCTGCCTCAATTGGCCAGGAGGAATTCCCTGCTGTCTGGACTTTGGCAGGCTGCTGAAGCGGGCCTTGTTCATGAAGAGCTGCCTTTCTCTGCCGTTACGGTGAACCTGCCGAATTTGAGTGCGCCGATCCATACCACCGTGCAATCTTCCAAGGAATATGTTCGAGGATCAGAACACGTCAGTACACACAGTGGAATCAGTCTCGTCAGCACAGAGAAGCGCAAGGCCCTCCTGTCAACACTCGAAGATGGGGCTCGATACACACAACGGTTCAAGGACTGTTGCCGACGCAAGTACGGAAAGCTTGTCGTAGCATGGCGGATCCTCCTGGATCCGGGTGGCAATGGACGTGTCTCTTTCGTGCCTTTCTGCAATGCGGCACGAGCCATGGGCTTTGTGAATGTTTCCACGCCACCCGCTTGCACCGATGGTTGGTCTAGGTGTTTTCTCGTTTTGAGCGATGTTGCCAGCACTTGTGCTGTCAATGTGGGGCTCTCGCAAGAGGCCTTCTTGGATCATGGATTTTCTTCTCTGATGCACATTTCATCCATTCACTCTCTCGCGTTCATGTTTCGAAGCAGGCTTTGGCGGCATCTGGACGTCAAGTGCACCGGCTTCCTGACACTGGACAGCTGGGATCCCCACTCATATCGAGTCCTCATGGAATTCCGGGAGCATCTTTGCTAAAACCGGCATGAGTCTGAGATCATCGCTAATTAATTAAGCTTGTCTGCCATTTGGCAAGTAGCTGTGAAAACTTCGCACCGCTACAGGTGTGCTGACCGTGGCTAGAGCTGACCCTAAGGATTTGCAGATCTGAGTTCGGAGGAGTTGTGGAGGCTTTCAAGTTCGGAATGAACAGGACCGGATCAGGTGCTTGTCGCGAGCTTACTTCTAAGCTGTGGTCACATCTCTTTTCACAGCCCTATTCGTGAAGGTGCCTGGTCACCAAGGTTACAAGAAAGAGTTTGAACAGTTTCTCAAGAATTTCGAGTTCTCTGGAGATTACCAAATCCTCTGGGATGCTTTGGACAAAGATCGTGGCGGCTTTATCACAGCACCCTGCTGACACACATTGCATGAGAGTGTTTGGATTGTGGCAAGGCTGCGTAGGTATTGTGCTTGCATCCCAGTTGTTTTGTGCAAGCCGTGGAAAAACACATGTCGGACTGGCGAGACAGGCAGCCCGACCCTAACCGGCCTAACCGAGCTTTTCTGCGACTGCGGCTCCTGCATCGGTGCCCAGGTGGATGAGCTTTTTTTCTTAGCACGATGGCAGGGCGAACGCTTCCGACCTGAGAAGGCTCCATGAGCGGAACTGCCCTTTAGCATGCTTCAGGGACTTGATCCACTTTAGCCTGCTGATCAGATCTTCTGCAGAGTTTCACTTCCTGACCTTGCAGGTCCAGCGTGAGTTCAATCTGAACCTTGTGCGATTGAAGATGTGCAAGCAGCAGCGACAAAAGCATCAAGCGAGGAGATACTTCTGCTGAGGTCGATCCGGTGCATGCGATTTAGAAGTTGGCACCAGTGCGAGGATGAACGAGTTCAAAGCTCGGATCGAGGACGAGCAGCAAGTCCTCGCCTCTTGACTTCAGTAAGGTGGAAGTTGCCCCCGAACCACTCCTCCCAACATATGACACTCTGTCTGGTGCTATTTGGACTCCTTTGTGCGATGACATTGCATGAGGTTGTCGTGAAGTTTCTTGAGACGTGTCACCATGCAAAGGTGCTGAGAACTGCGTTGGGGTGCCTTTTCGGAGTGAGATTCTGCTCTCTCTTATGGTATCACTCTCCCCTGCGTGTAGGCGCTGGCATTGGGACCGCAGCCGTTGGTTTCGGACTTTAGTGCAGGCTCAGAGCTCACTTCCTTTCTTCACGCGCTCATGCGAGTGAAAGACTAGAGTCTAGTCTTTAGACCTAGTTTGCCACATCTTCCGGCTGCTCGGGCTCGTCAAAGTCCCAGCAGCGCTGAATCCTGGACGTTGCTCCCGGCCCAGGTTCTGAAGTTCCCGGTCCCCACGTTCCCGACCTTGCGTGCACGTGCCCATGCCACAGGGGAGAGTGTCGTACGTCATCAACGTTTCGGAAGCGCAAATGCATCTTTTGCGGTATGCTGGGTGGTCGGAAAGATCAGCAAATACCTGCAGCAGCATTTTGAGGAGTGGCTCGCATATGTGCGAGTGTTCCTGGCGGTGTTGTGGTACATTCCGCGGCAGAAAACTGCACATTTCTCGTTGCACCCGATTTGATTGTTGACTTTCAAGCAACTCCAGGATCACGGCCTCAGTAATTCACAAGGTCTGCGAGGCATGGCCGTGCGTGGGCAGGTGCGTCAGCAACGGACCTGCTGCGTTCATACGCCAGATTGCAAACCACGTTCAAAAGGTGTGGTTTAAGGTTACACCAACACAGACTGTCAATGTGTCAGAAAACTGTAGCATCAGGCTTCCGTGATTTTTATGGCTCCTGCTCAAGCCATGTTGCAAAGGAGCACGTCGTGATCCATTCATGTCTGACCTCCCGATAAGGAACGAAACCGAAGTCTACGGATGGCAGCTGCTAAGCAGAATGTCCGTCTGACTGCGGCAGCTTGGCAGCTCTGTGCATACAATGCTTTGATGATGTTCGTGGTCCTGCTATCTACGCATGATCTCGGCTGGCCAAGGAGCAAGTCCGATCAGCAGAAGAAGACGACTCTAACATAGCCGCTGATGCTGACAGCGATAAATCGGATGTATCGTGAACAGAGCGAAGTGTTTGTAATTGCATTATAGTGCGTCTCGCAATTGTTACTTGTGCTTGCGAGTGCTCAGCAAAAGCTACTGTATGTACTTAAGATGTTGCTGCTGATGGTTCGCTGATTCTGCGAAGCAGCATGCAGCACTTTACCGCCCCGGGGCCTTTCGTCAAGCGGTGGGCCCGCTAGCGGTGCTGCGAAAGCCTGCCGCGAATGCCTCCAATGTGTACATGCCAGTTTGTCGACAAATGTGTTCTCACCTTGGTATGCCACTGTAGCAGAGGAGCTTCATTACACCACTCGCTTTGGCTGGGACTTGAGAGCAGACGCAGCACTTGCCACCAACGCGCCCTCAAACAGGGACGACGGACAAGCCTGCAAATCCTGCTTGATTTTCCCCTCAAGTCCATGGATAGAGAGACGGACTGCACCGAAAAGTCAGTACGAACTACCTTTGCCGCGTGCCATCTTTGCTTGTGGTTGGCATGTTGTGGCACCGAGGCATTTCCCTTTTCGCTTGAGGCATCACTCCGCAACAGGCGCGCAAATGCTCCGCAGCGAAATGATGCGGCTCCTAACTGTTGGACGGAACCCTGTCATTTCCAGGACACAATTGGATCCGCTTTGGCATGAAGGTGGTCTTGCTTTGTCACGTTGGGCTGCATTCCGAGTTGCCGTAGTGCATGGAGGTTGCTGGCCTGAGTACGGCCACTATGGACAGAGCCTTATCATGATCCCAAAGCTGTTTCAGTTATTGGAGCTTGCCGAGTCATGGTCAGCCGCTCAGGCTGATGGCTCCCTGCTGCAAAGCAGCCAAGCAAGCCAGCTCAGGGGCTCCGGTGGAGTGCACAGGTGTCATGAAGTTCTGGATCCTTACTGTTTGAGGTGGAGGCCATGAAAGCCATTGCTCCATCAATGGAGCTGCAGGCTGACAGACGTTCAGTTTCCATTCATTGGCAGACGGATCCGCTATCGCCTCGATGTTGACGAGTTTGGAAGGTGATCAGGCTCACCTCGAGCGGTGTTCTTCGAGAACAGCACTATGTGGCAGCCTTACCACCTCCAAGACGGCTTGTGGTTCGCGTAAAGTCCCTTCGGTCCACCTTGTGCCCGCTTCGGCTTTGATCCTTAAACTTGATGAAGGTGCAGATTGCAGATGTCACTCAGCCAGGAAGCTTCCGACTTCGCCTGGCCCTGAATTGTGAAAGTAGGCTGGATTGATCCGGCGCGTGGAAACAGGGCTTGGGCTCCGCATCCTCAGGTCTCATTGGACAACTGGGCGAGGATTGTCATTCGGGCTTCCAGTCCAGAGTAGGTCCGTCGTTTACCTCTTCGGTGTCTTTGCCAGGAAGCGTTTATCACTTTCTCGAACTCGGTGGAATTTGGCAAAGTGAGGCCTTGAAGCTGAAAAGTCAGCTTCTTCTGGCACTTCCTTTCTGATGTGGATGCAGCTTCCTGTAAACTTTGAGCATTTGATATCGAAGATTCGACTGCTGGCAGCAGGGACGACATCCGCGATGCGAGGGCCGCGGACTCTGAGAGTCGACGCGGCTTCTTTTTGTCGTTGCCTTGTCGGGTCCCTTGGTTTCAGTCTCGTGTCTGCTGTCGTGCTCTCCTTGACGGCTTGACACACAGCTGCCTTTTCTAATTCTGGCTTTTTCCTTTAACGGCTTCCTGACTCCTGACCCTCGAGTGTTTGGGCACCTTGTATGCATGCATCGTTCCACACCATCTCCCAAATCTTCAATCAAAATGGCAGCTCGCATGCAAGTCATCAGGCATGTTGCGCGTGCGCGCGTGTTGTGTGTGTGTGTGTGTGTGTCTCTCTGTTTCTGAGAGAAGGTCATCCTCGCTGGAGAGGAGCCTCGAAGGTGCTCTTGGACAGTCGATGTAGGCCTCGCGAAAGCTTCCTGTGCCAGGCTCCATGACTGCAGAAGTGTCTCCGGTGACGACGATGAGTCGGTTGCTGCGCCCATGCGTCGTTTCGTTCTCTCCTTCGACTGTCCGCTTGAGGCCGCGACCTTGCAATTAGAAGTATCAGAGTCTTTCCCACTGTCGCTCTCCGTAATCGCGCTGGCACATTGAGGTCGGCCAGACGAACTGGATCAGGCAAGCTATAAGACTCTGAGGGTCTTCGGGGTGCACGTCGCACGAGACTAGTATCACCTGAGTTGCTTCGAGCCTTCGGGCTTCTCCGCTGTTGCAGTCTGAAGAGGATGGAAGTATACGATGCGGGCGCCGGGGGTGCAACAGTCGGCCAGCTGCAGACAGCCAGGGCCTTTCTGCACTCAGAAGTTCTGACCGCTTGCAGTGCTTGAACCCTGTTTGGGCATGCAGTTCTGTTTAGGCAACGGCACCTTTGTCCGGCAGCTTTCAAGTGGGCCACAGTGGCAGCTGGAGCCAGACGATTGATGCCTCAAGCTTACCTGAGACTGGATGGTCATTCTCAAGCATTTCATCATGACCCATGTAGGCCAGGACTGCTACACGCAGCTGGTCGCACATCGCATCAAGCGTCACAGCGATGAGGAGATGAACGCGCAGCACACACACTTCTCCCTCGGGGGAACATGAGTTGCCTTGAGGAGACCTGCAGCCGACCCGGCCGGGCAGCTTGAGTTGGAGCCGCTGGCCAAGCGATGCAGAAGAAGCAGGCGGCCAGGCGGCTGTAGGCTGTCAAAGCATCGGGAAGGTGCTGGAAGCATCCCTGGGGCTGGACGACCAGTCAGATGCTTACACCGGCCGCGCAGCTTCTCGCTGCAGCAGGGCGTCTTGCACAAGCGTCATGGCTTCGTTGCTCAGGTGAGCAGTTTCAACTTCTTGTTCGCTTTCGACGGCCCATCGGCAATGTACCCGAACTGGAGCTCAACACCACAGGCACCCGAAAGCACAACCTTCTCCATGTGAGACAGCCACCCAAAGAAAAGCTGAAGCACAGCCGGTTGCAGGTCTGCTGGGAAGCGGCTTCCAATTGCAGGCTAGGCGGCGAGAGAGTCAGGATGATGGAGCAGAATGACAGTTGGAGTTGGACGATGGGTCACTTGACCGATGTTGTGGGATGCGAGGTCTTTACCTTGGAAGATGGCGATGCCGATGCAATCTTCCTTGAGAAGGTGGGGGCCTTCCTGTTTGTTGCAGTGAAAGTCTCGAGGCTCTACGAATCTGCATGTTTTAAATGTTTCGTTATCGTTTGCAAGCACTGTGCAGAATTGGCGATATAGCGCTAAGGGTGCCGAACGTGCAGTAGCTGTCTGCTGCTGCCCGCTCGAGAAACCTCCCAGGTCCCGCTCGACATGTTCCAGGCCGAGCGCATGACATCAGGGTGCACCTTGAACTTTGAACCAATCCTTTCCAAGCTCGGAAGATGCCAGGTGCCACGTCCATCCGATGCGGCAGCAAAGCCAGTTCGTGTCATTTCAGAAGGAATCCTCGGTGCCTACGGCGGTTCTAGCCCGATTGGTTGCGGCCCCATGCAGTCTGCCCTGTCATTATGGTAAGTGTGATAGATGTTTTCTTGTCCGACTTACAGTCAACCATTCCCTGAGGCTACACGTATTCAAGCAGCTTGGTGCCAGTACTGCACAGTGCGATGCCATCCAGTGTGACTGCAGATGACAACTTGCAGGCTCCTCAAACTGGGTCTGGATACGGTTAGGCCTTGTCAGGCCAGACTCCCTGTGTTCTGAGCAGCTAAGGACCTTGGTCATTAGCAACATTCGGACCTACAACTCGACGGGTTGGATTCAGGACAGAAGAAGTGTTGAATGGCTATGTTGAGGCATTCCCTGCTTCGTGGCTGCCTAAGAAGACAATGCCGTGCTGTGACAGGACGTACAAGTGTTGTTGGGAGAGGACGCAGGCCAATGCAAGGACCCATGCCCTCGGAGCCTGGCAACGAACACCTGCCGGGTGCAGTGTTAGAGCCTTGGGGGCCGAAGGACTTGCATGAGGTATCGGAGGAACAGGGCAACATCACGGTGATCTGCAGGCGAAGGGAGTAGCGAGTAGTGCGTGCTGATGCCTGAGGCAGCGGGTATTCTTGGAGGGTCTCTCCGTGCACTGGTCAGGTTGGAGAACGCCCGGGCTGGAGAGCGCGGGCCCCAGAGCCTCGCAGCCGCTGAGATCACCACAGCCCAGCCCGCGGAGCCCCACGGTTCAAGACGGCGAAGAGATCCAGGAGAATCCATGCCATGGGCTTTTCGGCTTTTGGTTTGAGCGACTCGTATGCCGCGGCAAGCAAAGGGTGTCCCAGGGCAGTCGGTGCTCGCCCGGCTGCGTTCGCATGTGTTAGAGCGCACCGGTTCCCCTCGCTCAACCAAGCATAAAGCTGCAATTTCTTCGTGTGTGCCCGGTACCGCTTTTATTTCCTGTCTCCTTGCGTTTCGGGTTGGCTTGTTGCCACTGCTGCAGTGTGAGGCACGCCGTGCATCTCATCTCCATCTCACAGGGGCAGGCGGACCCATCTAAGGCTGGAAGACTCGAAACACCAGTGACCGTGTCTGTGCACTAGCATGCTCTGCCCATGAGGCTCCGACCGTGTCTGTGGAACCGGTGATCGAGGAGGTGAGCTTTGCAGGGTGCAGCTGTGTGCACCTGGGGAAGTAGTATCGGAACCCGCGCAAGGTGACTGGACTGCTCGGATCTTTGGCTGGTGGAACTGTCCGGTTCCCGAGACACTCAGCACGTCAATTCGCTGTTCGACCCGGCTCTAGCTCTAGTGACTCTAGTGGTCACATGATCTGGAGAGGTCCTCACCGTTGTCGGCGCCGGACTGCGTGGACTGTGGGGATCTTGGCCGGGACGATATTGTAGTACCCGGAAGCCCTCGACTGCAGCGGCGATCCAGGACATGCTCTGATTTATTGGTCGCCGGCGTACCGTGCACGGTGCCGGCGGCCAGCAACATCCAGGCATCGATGGCAAACGCAATCGAATCGCAGGTTCCCGTTTTGAAGACGTAACTCGGAGTCCTCGCAGGTGATGCTTCAGAACTCTAGCCTCGCATGTTTGACTCCAAGCCTTGGCAGCTGCTGCCCCAGAACCGGACCATGGACGGTGGATGGCCGCCGGGTGCCTGTGTTCATCATAAGGCTTCGATGCATCTACAAGTCCTGGCACTTGGACTGATTCGCTTGCTTCCCAGCTGTGTAGCCTACGAATGCCGGATCTTTGCACTATTGATCTGCAAACTAAACTTAAGCTGTTTTGGAACTAAAGGAATGCGCCTGTGACCCTATCGCAGCCACCTGTGAGCGCGGCGACAGTGCGCCGGTCTTCGCGGGTCTGATTCAGCATGGCCTGAGGTTACTTGCACTCGTAGGTACGGGCAACCTTCACCTATGCAGCGAGCCATACTCCACTGCTTTCGCCTCAGATCAACGCCCCCCCTCCCCCCCCCCCCCGGTAGAAAGCAAAGCTCGTCATGTACCCAGGCTGTCTGGTGTCGATCCGCCTTTCTACTCTGCGGCTCTGAGCACCACGCTGCAACTGAGCGGCAGCTTCTTGACTCAACCATAGCGGGGTTCCATGCTCCTAAGAAGCATTGCGCGCTCGCATTTTCATAAGACCAATGATTCGCAGAGCGTCATCGTGTGGAATGTTTGCTGTCGTCCACGACAAGAAGTATTGAAGACTGGATTGTGCAAGAGCATGAAAGGCACACACTCTGCGCACAATCCCGTTCAACGGCACTTCCTTCTACTGAGCTGTACCAACTTCTGTCTGTACATGTAGTGTGCAGGTTGCATGCGTTGTGCAGCCCAGCATAAACCGCCAAAGCAAGGTGGCCTGGATTCCGCAGATGGTGAAATGGTCCCTGCCTCTGAAATGCCGGAGAGTCTGAATTTCGCACGCACGTGTGCAAGTGTGTGTGTGTGTGTGTGAGACAGGGAGATATATGTACAGAGATTCCCAGTGCGGCGGTTTCGTGCAGGGGTAGACTGTCGTCGACCCTCCTGGCTGAGTGAAAGAAGGGATAGAGACGGAGATAGAGATAGATGGAGAGAGAGTCGAAGGCTTTGCCCGTGGTGGGCTTTGGATCGCGGACGGCTACGGTGACGGGACAGGCTGGAGCATGATTCAAGGCATTGCAGCGTAGGCGCCGAAGCCACTGAAGGCCAGCGCAAGCTTGGACATCTGGCTTCAGAGGGCCCGCTGCCACCACAGAGTCGCTGCTCGTGTGAGCTACAGTGCACTGCTTGAGGCTGCACCGACTCCACCGGAGGAGGCCGTGACCATTCCTAGCGCACTGACCCTGGACCTCCCGCGATTTCAACACTGCGTCACTACACTGCTGAGCTCTTTGTCAAGCAGTCAGTGAGTCAGGCCTGGATACCTGGAAAGGGCTTTGCAGCAGTGCCTCCTGGGGTGACCTTCGAGTCGCGTTTCGAGGCAGAGACCGGATGTTGGTATGTTTGCCGCCTGTTCGCCTGCTCGAATGAGTGACAGCTTGCCAGCTGACAGGTCACAGCAGTCAGTCCAACTAGTGCTTCGAAGGCCGGATTCTTGATGAGATTTCGATTTTGGGTAGACTGCATGCAACTGTTTCAGGCTGGAGGTGTGGTCGTCACCATCACGGGCGCAGGCTTCCACCCTTTGGGGGCCAACAGGCATACGGTCCTTGACTCAGACTTTAGCGAGGCACACGGCAGCCACAGTGCACTTGAAGTCGTGGACTCTGCAACATCCGAGGTGACCTTCGAGCTACCTTCCGGTGCGTCCCGTCCTTGCGAGGCAGGAAAATGGATGGAAGTGGTTCACTCTGCGGGACCTTCCCTGTACAAATTGCCCAGGTCTTGGGTGGCAGCCAGACCGAAATCCAATGCCGGCTGCAAGGAGGCACAGCTCCAAGATGCTCCAAGGTTTTATTGAGGTACCTCCTGCGCTTTCCGGTGCTTGAGTTGCCTGGAGCTGCATGTGCCTGCAGCTTTACAGTTCGGAGATTCAACCTGTAGAGACGACCTTCTCATTTATCTAGTGCTTGCCTCTCAGAAAGCCATGCAAGTGTTATAAATGTCACGCACTCATTGCTTCACACGTGAAACTAGCTAATGCTGCGACAGCGAATGACATTGATCTTCACTTAAGCAAGCAAACCGCCGAAAGCGTTCCTTTCATCTGCAATGTGCTGACCATGTAACATGTCTATCCGACTGCCCCGCGTCGTCCCCGAAGTGCGGCCGCTGGTGGGAGCCGATGCAGACCGAGCTTGTCGCAGGAGTGCGTCATGATTTTGCACAGCCGTCCTTGTGCGCCTGCTTGAAACAGGCACATCTACTGTGCTTCCATATCTGGAAAGGGCCCTGCCGCTGCTCCGAGCCAGGCAGCATGGATGAATTGAAATGGCATCGCAGCGCTGTGCAGTGGATCAGTGTGTGGCAGTGTGCATCGGGCTTCGCTTGTGCAGCTCAGGGACCCTCTGTCCATTACTACTCGAAGCATAATGACACAATTGGAACCCCGCGGATCACGCGCGTCATCAAGAAGCCAGGCCGGTTGGCCCTGTGCATGCCGTGAGTCACACTTTCCATGCCTTGGCGATCCTTGGTGCGAGTCAAGGCTTGAAGCGCGCGCCCTCTGCCCTCATGGGCAGTGCCCCAACAGGGCGCGGGGAGTACCCCGTGCCTGTGGTGGGCTGTGATCCACGGAGGCCGCCCTCCATGGCAAATCTGCAGGCCAGATCCGTGGGCTGCGGCTGCTGCGGCGTCTCTACGCATAGGATTAGGATCGTGACTGTGCCGCAAGCTTGTGACGCAGGCTGCAGCCATTGCGGCCTGCCTGCAAAGAGCGATGATGCATCTGCTGATGCCTCAGTCAGTTCTTGTCAGCTGAGGAGCAGATGATGCTCGAGAATGGCAAGTTGAGTGGACCCGCAGGCAGCCGGGTTTCCATGCAAGTCGGTTTGGACTGGACATTGGTGGGAGCTAGGCACGCCGTCTTCTTTGCCTCCGATCAAGGCAGGCTGCCTGTGGATTCCGAATCCGTGCAGCGTCAGTCGGTGCTTCGAACCTTCAGGCTTCTGCTTGGCAGCACATACAGAAGCATCACCCTCAAGTTGGTGGCAAAGATCGGGCATCCCTGGTCCGAATTCCCCAGTGGTCCGAAGGCCGGTCACGATCGCAGCCGGAGCTGCGTGTCGCAGAGCTTGAAGTCGCTGATTCTACGGTGCCCAGGTGCCTCTCGTCTGCGGGGAACCTGAGCAGCTGGGACACCGCGAAGGAGGGGCCACCACTATATCGCAGCTTGGCATGTGCCCTTGTCACTTTGTCGTGCTGACATAGGGTAGACTGTAAATTCTTTGCAATTTTGAAGTCAGCTTCGCGATCCGTTCAAGACGGATTGTAGATGACGCCTTGGGCCAGAAGGCCTTGGACAGGCGGCGTCTGCGTGGCTGCAGGCTGCAGCGGCGCAGACCCTGCTTGCCGTGTAGAAGGATTCGCAACTCTATTCTTGGCATTCTTGGCAGCAATCTCCTGGTTATAAGAATGCAGGACACTTCTACGTAGGCCTGTAGGTTGGCTGGTGCATTGCTGCCAAAGTCACTAGGGTGCTGCAAAGCAGCACCACGAGCATGCGGCAGAAGCCGATGGCCAACGCTCCTGTAGGAAGACGTGCTCTGGGAACATCACCGCAAGTTCTCCGGCATGAAAGTCATGAAATAGTGCTTGCTCCGGACTTTCGCTTGCACCGGGTTTTCGTGTTTTCTTTGTCTTCAGGTGCCACGGCAGCAGCTCTTGCCTCCATGGCATCTGAAGACAGTGATGCTGGAAGTGGGGGTCCAGTTGACAGTGGCTTCATGCGGCGATTGTCGGACAGGTGTGGCTCTCAGAGAGTGTGTTGCAATGTAACAATTTAGGCTCAAAGTTCGCCTTTGCTTGGCATTCTTGGCTGGAATTGGTCGGTCCACTTTTACGGTGCTTCTGTCCAAGGCCAAATGGAAACAAAGAGCTGCGCTGTCAAGCAGGGGCTGATGATCACTCCAAGGCCTGCTGAAAGAGGTGTCTTCCCCGTGGCTGGCTCATTGTCTGACTGGCTGCCGTGGATCGTTTGAACGAAGCGCGTGCAGAGACACGAGACGGGCACAATCGTGCGCACGCAGGGCCAGAGTCACAAACGGAAAGCTCGGCCTCACAGCGCCTTCGGCCAGGTCCGCTGCTTCGCGTTCGCGCTGGCTCGGTCAGGGAGCTTGCGCTCGCTGCCCTCCAACACGATGTCAGGCCCGAGGATCAGTTTTTTGGAGTTCAAGGACACGGGGTTCGAGGTGAGGTGGTTTCCCTGTGGAGCCTCTCGGCGTGGACAGTGGTTGTGATGTTGTTATCCGTGGTCTCCGTGTTGGTGCCTGCGTCAACGGGTCCAAGCCTTTGGATCCGAACCGCAGCGCCAGGTCGGGTCGACCAGGCCTTGGACTTCATTCGTCGGGCAGAGGAAACAGGCGAGACGTGACTTCGCGAGCTTTGCTGACGTTTTAGCTTCACTGTGTTGTACACGTATTGTGTGGGTAGGTGCCGGGCTGGAAGCTTCGCAACTCAACTCATCTGCATGCGGGTCATACGCTTGACATTCAATTTGGATCAAGTATGCCGCTCATTCTGTCGCGTGATCAGTCGGAGATCTCTCAGAACTGCTTGGGTTGACACATAGACGGTACCACTAAGACGATGAAACGAGGTTCGATGCTCGGTCTGTGCAGCCTCGCGAAGTCCTCGAGCGAGTAGACTTCCAGTCAGGCGCCAACCAGCAGCTTGCTCCGGATTTCGTGGACAACAGCGATCCAGATCTCGGAGCAGAGGAGCTCGTGCACGGTCTTGGCCCAAGACGGCGGTGACAGCACTGCAGGCACTGCTCACAGTGCCGCCAGGCCCTGACACTTACGAAGGAGAGGTGGCCAGGCCATTCCTTCTTCTCGCCTGCAGCGATGTGTTTTTCTTTCCCACAGCAAGAGGCGAATGGAAGCTTCTGCGCAGCCCGCTTCTTCAGACTTCGTAGCTGGGCACCCCAGGAGGAAAAATGTACACAATTACGCTTTTGCTTTCCTTAAAGCCGGTTGCTTGCCGGCGTAGCCCGCACAGGGACTGCGACGATGGGGAGTCGAAAGCGACGAGGCTCAAAGAGCCGGGGGTTTCGTGGATGTTCAAATCCTTGAGGTAGTGGAAGACTACGTGGCCCCTTGAGTTTCCTTTGGGGTTCCTCGCAAGGCCGCGACCAACGTAGCTTCCAGAGCCCGTTTCGGCCTTCAGAGATACCAACATGGGGGACCGGCGGCAAAGCATACGACTTGAGCAGGGTTCTCTCCTCTTTGACCAGTTCCAACACTCGTGAGCCCATTCAATTTCCTGCTCTTTCGGTCCATGTCGGTTCGCTCGCGGCAGACAGATGTCAAAATCTTGCTTCTTGTGCAGGCAGAAGACTTCCGATTGGGCCATCTTCGAGCAAGAGTAAACAAGGCGCTCCGGGCGAGAGTCGTGGCTCAGCTCATGCTGCAGTGTTCTAGATATGTGACTGCTTTCGTCCTGGTCGTCTTGGCTCAGCTCCCTCTGACTTCTTGGATGCTGCGGTAGTACAACATCGCATCGTCATGGGAACTGCATGGTCAGAGGCAGAGGAATGGGAGGAAGGGGCTGAAGAATCTGAAGACAAAGGAATCTTTCAGGGCTTCAGCGCCCTCTTCTCCTTACTTTCAGGGGAGGATGTCTTCGAAGCCGGCGACGAAGCGGGCTACGAAGGCGTTTGGTGCGAGAAGTGCGGGGAGAACGCTGGCCTGGAGGCTGATCTCTTTTGCGTTGACTGCGAGGCCGCCTTTTGCTGGGGATGTTCTGGACGCTGGCACCATCCGGGTGGATGCAACGAGCTGCACTCTTTGGAAATCATCGTAAAAGGAGAGGGGAAGGGGCTTCGAATAGTAACGCCTTTGCTAGATGAGATGCTTATCTGCATCGCTTCGTACCAAATAGTCACGGGGCTGAAGGACTATGTTGACAGCCGGTATTTGTTTAGATCTGACATTTGCCCAGTCGTCCGGAAACAGCAAGAGTGGCTTGCCTGGGCTGACACGCTTGTTTTCTATCACTTCAAGGATGCCCTCATGGCGAGCTGCAGCAACGAAGATAATTTTTGGAAGCTTTTGATGGATGCCTGGGTCCGCACCATCGTGACAGATTCCGATAGCCTGTTTCTTCTTCTGCGAACACTGCCCAATGCTCTCCTGATCCATTACCTAGCATCCACTCTCATCGTCCCTCCATTTGCCGTGGCGTACGCTTCGCTCCTCGTTCTGGTAAGAGCAGTGGAGTCGCGACTGCCAAGAAGAAACAGACTACTTTGCTGCATGGCGGTTATATCTCAGCAGGTGAGTGCCGCAAGTGCCCGGCTCGTGTCATACAATATGCAGGTGCCCATGCATACCAAACCGCGCCTGCGCCCTTCCCAGGACACGTTCGAATTTTGGACCTACTGGACTGGCAGGCAAATGCGATGGTTTGATTTCTATTACCGCTCGACGAAGGAGTGTGCGACACAACTACTGGCAAATACTTTGCGTTGCGTCGTGATTTTTCGATGTTTGGGGATTTGCTTTGGCTTTGGAAAGTTTATACGATGGTTCCTCGAAGCGATTGGGATGGCAGACACGATCTCTGTGCAGCAGGTTTGGTTTGCGAGGGTATATCAGATGTTGGACACCGACGAACTCGTGTGGCGCAGTGTTGCGGGTACCCTGGCGGTGACGACGGAGCTTCTGGTGCGAGCGGACGTCCGGGGCATTGCAACCTGCCTGCTTGGCCTGGCTGGTTTCATTGCGCTGGACGTGATGCTGCGGATAGGGGTTGTGCAACGCAGATGGTTTCAACAGCGCAGGGTTCAGCGAATTGTTCTACTTCCTCTCTTGGTGGTCCTAGTGGCTGTCCCAACAGCAAGATGGGCCTTTATGGTTTTCTACTTCGGAGCAGCATTGCTGCTTTGGTCAGTGCAACGCTTAGTACAGTACATAATCGAGCAGCAGCAGCAACGGTTTGAAGAGCAGTGGAACGAGACATACAGAGGCCTGGTGCTCGGGTGTTGCCCATCCTTCGAAGGAGGCGAATGTCCTTGCCCTTGCACCCATCCGCGAGAATCAAAGCCATCAAGGCGACTGCAAAAGAGCACTTGGGCATGCCCTATCCCGCTTCGCTGTCTGAGACGGTGCTGCAGATGCAAACGGCGAGCAAGGACCAAAGCCAGCACTTCCACAGACTCGATGTCTGCTGAGGATGACGCTGACGGAACAAAACGGAGCATGTCGGGGATGTGTGCCTGTGTGCTTCTCCATGCTTCTCTTTGTCCAGCCCACTTCTGTATTACGTCGAGTCGAGTATATAGCTCGTAAAAATTTCAGTGCATCACTCTGACCAGCACTCGGAGCGCAAAATGCACCCCAGCCCTGTAGAGCTCTCAGGCCTTCATGTTTACTTTGTTGCTGACACCACTTCCCGCCTCTATGCTTCATACTAGACTAGGAAGTATGTAGCACTAGCAGTAACATAGATGCTGCATCGGCGGGCAGGTGGCGACAAGGAGGCAAGCTAAAGTTAGCTGGACTTTGAGAAGGCTGGCAGCCGACGACGACAATGACACAAACTCGACCGACGACGAGGAAGAAGAGGAAGAGCCTTTGGACCCTGTTGACACTACTGAAAGACTTCTTCTGCGCCTCTCTCTAAATGGTGTCCGACCACTTTGCCGAGTTGGGGACGGCTGTGGCTTAAATTTGACGGATGAGTCTACGGCGGTGGTGACATCTGTGACTCCTCGCAACGGCTCTTACGCCGAAGGTGTTGTTGTGACGATTACGCTTGCCAGCCAGCAGATGCCCGACAATTTGCAGGTTTTCTTTGGCGTGCATGAGTGCCCGAATCCCAGCATCAGTGCCGGACCACAAAGCAGCACATGGGTGGTGACCCTCCCTGTTTGTGCTTTCGAAGCTTCTGACGTCCCGGTGTATGTCTTGACGAGTACCGGGTATGCTGCTCAGGCCTCGCCTCACACAGGTGCAGCTTTCAAGTTCCAGCAATTCCTTCAACTCTTTTCCATCATGCCAGGTAACGGGTCCTTCTTCGGCGGGACGGTTGCAAACATCACTGGCGCCGGCTTTGGCCCGACCCCGTCAACAAATCAAGCAACTATCGGCAAGGTGCCCTGTGAGATCTTCTCAGCCTCTCACGACCAGCTCCTCTGCTACGTGCCAGCTGCTCCGGCTGAGCTTATGGATGCAGACGATGTTGCGAGGACACAAAATGTTACTGTCCACGTGGTTACGCCGGCACAGCCTCGACAACCAGGCTTGTGGGGCGAATACTTCTTCTTCGGTCAGGGCAGCACATTCCCCAACTTGAACGACCGAATTCCTGACGTCGAACGCGTGGATCTGACAGTAAACTTCCCGGATTCTGATGACAAGTGGGAGGGTCTACCATCTCGCTACCAATACGCTGTCAGGTGGACCGGCTTTTTGAGTATTCAGGCTACAGGCTTTTACACGTTCTACCTCGGTTCGGATGATGGCAGCCTGCTGTACTTGAATGGGGCCCTCGTGATTGACAATGACGGTCTTCATGGATTCCGAGAACGCAGCACTACAGAGACGCTCCTACAGGGTGGCAGCATCCATGCAGTGTCTGTGTTGTTCTTTCAGTCCGGTGGGGCCAGTGGCTGCGTGTTGAAGTACCAAGGACCAGACACCGGTGGTCAAATAGTTGTCGTGCCATCGACCGTACTAAGTCATGCAAGGTACCAAGAGGCACCGGTGTTGTCCTACATGTACGATCGCCCAATCACAGCGCCCACCATCGAAAACCTGACAGAGTCATCTCCGACTGAATTGGTTTTGGAGGGTTACCGCTTTGGTTCATCGCCGGGGAAAGTTGCTATTGGGACGGCAAGCAATCCAGACGCAAACTTCCAGTGTGTGCCGACGAGCTGGGATGACGGAAGGGTTGTTTGCGATCGTCCAGAGCTCCCGTCCGGTTCATGGCAGGTTCGGTTGTACTCTGAAACGGATGGCTGGTCGAATCCGGCACCGTACCTACTTTGGGTACCCCTGACTGTCTCATCGGTTGAGGCAAACGACAACTCTGTGGCCACGGATTCTGCTGCGGATCCATGGGTGCTCATCATGAAGTTTGCCGACGGGGGCCTTCTAGGGTACGATTCGGAGCTTTGGGGTAATGTGGAGCTCCTCAACGAAGACTCGCCTGAAGGGGAGCCGGTGAATGCCAAATACCCGGCTTTCCTAAATGTCCCATTCACGCGACTGCGTGCCTGTGTTGGCAGTGCGCACGGCCATTGTGTTCACCACAAGTTCGATACACCTTGGTCCAGCGCCCTGGAGCTCTTCTCGGCCGGCTATGTGCGGGACCACACAGTCGACCAAGCTGGAATGGTCCAAGCCCTGGGTGCAAAGCCTGGCACGTACAGGGCCTGCCCGATGCTCATGCCTGGTTTCAATGTGAACTGTCCCGGCAACAACAGGGCACGCTGGGGTTACTGTGCCAACTGCCCAAGCAAGACCTGCCGCGACGAGTCTCAAGCCGACGCTGCCATTGGAATCGGCCTGCGGGGAGAGGGCTCAGCCGCAGTTGGCGCAGGCTGGACGGACGCCTTCGCCCCCGGAGCTGGCTCATGCTCTTACACCAGCGAGACATCTCGAAACGTGTGGCTTTGGGTTACGAACACAAGTGCTACCCCGACAGGAGTGCTGCACAGCGGATTCGGTGGCGGTGTGAACATGACCGTTCGCGGGACTGGACTCGGCTTCGCCGCTGCTCAGACCAAGATATCGGTCTGTGGGGAGGATTGTCCAGTCAGCACGAGTGATGGGTCCTCTGCCACCTGCACTGTGCCTGCAATGACCAATCTTGACTTGGTGGATGCCCAGCCAGATTCTTTTCCAACAGTTGACTTGGCACCTTCCGCTGCGAAATTTTACACTGATCGTGGGGAAGCAGAATCCACCTATGCTCGTTTGGCCTTCACGTCGACTGTGGATAGACAAGTAGATCTGCCGAACACACGCAGCGACTGTTGGTTTGCTTTTGAGTTGCCACCAAGTAAAGAAGCCATCATTACAGCAGTTGACTTTTTCCCTCCAACCGATCCACACAGGAGGCAGAAGGTGGCAGAGTCAGTGTTTGAAATGCGTAGTTTTTCTGGCAATATTTCCTGGGAGGAGATTGGGAGCGTGAGAGACACGGTTCAGACAGGGTGGTCCATCGCACAAGGGTGGACTTCCTACCCTGTGAATGGTTCTGGGCCGAATGGTACGGCCATAGGTCAGGCATTCCGCGTGCGAATCCTTCCAGATGCCTGCAGCTCCCTCGGTGAGCTGATGAGAGGTGTCCGCTTCAGGGGCATCTTGCTGAACACTGGCGATGCAAGTGCTTGTCCGATCGAAGTAGAACACATCTCACATCCGCTGGCTTCCTCCACAGGCGCTCAGCATCTAAACTTCGTAATTTTCGAGTCTCTATAAGGGATAAGACGGAACTCTGCGCATCATCACCGCATCACCAAGTCTTTGTCACAGTTGGGTAACACTTCGCATTGCATTCTCATGGGCCCAGCCATGAACTTGAAGTCAGCTTGTGAGCATGAGCAAAATCCTGATGCAGGTGGATCCGCATGGCTTCCAGTGCAGCTGTCTTACAGCTTGGAGCGGACACCCATCCTTTCGTCCATGACTCCGCAGCGTGGCACGGCTCGCGGTAACACGCTCGTGACTCTTTTGGGTGAAGGGCTCGAGCCGTTGGACTCGGCGGGTTCGCCTGTGTCAGTGACATCAGAGAATGCCCAGATATTGCTAAATACGTACCCCTGCATCCCACAGGAGAGCAACATGTCTGCACTCAGCTGTATCACAAGCGAGCGAAACAACGGCATCCAGCCTCCTTCGACAGTGCTGTGGCTCGCCGGAAGAGGATATGCCATCATCTCCGAAAGAGCAGAGGACACCGTCTTCAGGTATGTTGATAGGTGGAGCAACGTCTTCAGCTGGTTAGAATCAGAACCACCCGTCGACGGTGACAGCGTTGTCGTGCCTGAAGGTCAAGCAATTATGTTGGATCAGGACTCGCCGCAACTCTTCTTGTTGCTCATCAGTGGTTACTTCGAGTTTGACAGAAAGGATCTGAAACTGGATGCAACTTATATCTGGATTTCCGGAGGAACGTTCTGGGTAGGCAGTGAAGAGGCACCATTTTTGAACCAGGCAACGATTACACTGCATGGAGATCGCTGGCACACAATTGAGCTTCCTGTCATTGGCTCCAAGATGCTTGCCGTCACAGACCTTGGAGGATTCGGAACCTGCGCTGCCAACCACCAGATGACCGTTCGCCTCTCGGCACGCGGGAAGCACTACGTGGACCCGTGTCCGGTAAAGCTGGTAGGAAGGATGGAGCTACATGGCCGGCCGAGTGTTTCCTGGACGCGACTGGTGGAGACAGCGAGTGCAGGTGCTACCCTCCTTAAGCTCGAGGAGCCGGTGGACTGGGAAGTTGGAACGGAGATGATCATCACCCCAAGCAACAGGGGTCAGGACGAGGCCAGTTTGTTTTCTGGAGCAATTCTCAGGCCTGTTGCTGCAATTTCGGGCCAGGTTCGCAGGGTGAAGAGCGTTCAGGATGATGGCCTGGCGCCTGGTGCTTAGACGGACGCAGACTGAGAGTAGGATGCTGCTTGCAAGGCTACACTGTGGAGTTGGACAGCCCCTTAAGATGGGAGCACTTGGGAATCTGGCGTGGGCCATAGCATTTCAGACATGTAGCTGCCAGCAACAAGCATGATGCGCTGTTCGCGATGTTGCTGCAGTCAGTCATGGGCAAAGGTACTTCAATGATGAAATTCCCACACCGACGGATCTGCGTCAGAACCTCCAGCTGATAGCGCAGATGCTGCTCAAAGTTGATGCGTCGTAGGTAGTTGATTGGCCGAGGTGCAGCAGTGGGACGGTTGAACAGGAATGTGAAGGCAGGGACGTGGCTACTAGTTGGCATCATCAGTTCCACTTTCACCTCGTCAGCTGTCGAGGTACAAGGTGATGAGAGGTCACTGGGTTATGGAAACGCCGGGGGCTGTGTGAGCTTCAGAGCTGTGCTGTTGCCAGCTCGGTGTCTGCATGCGGCTGCTGTTGATGTGGAGCCTGCAGGCTTACATGTTCGGCGTTCATGTTGGTGCCTTCCATGGTGGTGTTATGCGAATCGAGAACACCGAAATTACCCGGTCTGGACAGGCAGGGCATGGCAGGGCGTTGCGTAGTGATTGTTTTATTGAAGACTGCTCAAAAAAGCTGATGAAGGCCGCCAACTTCGGACGCTACTCCTCCCATTGGCACGTGCTGTCCCCCCACAGAACCGTGGATGTGGCCGACATTGCCTGGCGCTGAATTGCGAGGGTCCGGTGCAGCGCAGTGAGAAATGCTTGCTTCTTTGTAGGCTTACTTGCGGAACAACTCCTACCACCGGACCTTCCAGCGAGCGGTAGAGCCGTGCTCAGAAAACGTTCTGCAGCCGGGCTTTGACAACGGCTCGATGTTGCGGTACTTCTGTTATCTCCAAGGTGGTGCACTCCACCGATTTCGCAAGGGTGGAGCACAACGTGGCATGGAAGACCAAAGGACATTCCTACTTTACTGAGGCATCGCGCAATATCCATCGGCTACTGGTAGTCTAGCGAATTCCGGCGATGCAAGTGGCATTCGGACAGGCCGGAGACGAGGTCTTCACGTTGTACAACCACAACCTGGCGGTGCATCCTCTGCAGTGCAAGCCCCAGATGAAAGGATCTGACGGATCTGAAGATCAGTGTGAAGAGGCACCCGCTGCTTCTGGATGATGACATGGATCCTGCCGGTTTCTGGAGTCCCGGATTCACCGGGTGGTGCTGCCGGCATGCGCAGACAGTCTGATCTTCTTGGCACATGACTGCCCACGCCGCTGCCACTTCCGGTCCACCATGTAAGAAGACTTATGCTCAGCATGATCGAGTTCAGAACTGAGAACGCCACAGCCTGCTCGGACAGTTCTAAGCCAGGGCTCATCTTTCGCAGCTGTGAGGCAGTGGGCGAACTGACGCCTGAGGCGCAGGTCATGAGGTCAGCAACTCTCAACACTTCAAACTTCACACTTTGTGTGACTATATTATCCCTGTAAGACAACTGAAGGTGGACAGTGTTTAGATTATGAACTCAGCAACTAAGAACTTGCAACAGAGTAGCAGTCCAGTTCAGTTGTTGCAGCCTTTGGGTGACGGGCGCGATCGGGCGCGCGCCTTTGGGTGCGCAGCCGCATATGGCCGCAGCCTCAAAAGGCCATGCCAGGGCGTCATGCACCAACAATCCGCTTGCAGCGTCTGTCCCTACGCAGACTAGGTCGCTCCTTGAAGAACTCGATTCTCAATTTTGAAGAAGCATTTGTTCATTTTGTTGGAGCCTCGCAGCACAAGCCGGCCCAACCACCACTACTACCAGTGCGCACATCTGCACGTCACACTCTCACGTCACACGCGCACGTCACACGCATCATTAGGAGTACTCAGGCAGGCTAAGGGTCAGTCGGGTTCCGACGCGCGGTTAGACCTTGCTACCCAGTCTTGGAAACAGTTCGGCGGTAAATTGCCGGCGCCACGCCCCGACAGCTCACAAACGTGCGTTGGACTGCAGTGGCACGCACTCCGCCGACCCGCGTCGGTTGGCTGGGGTGCACGGGGCCCAGCAGTACATTGGAGGGCTGCAGTCTTGCTGATCCATCCGAACCCTTCCTCCCGTGTTCGCGCAGTGGCTGAGACGATCACCACATGCAGGGGGGAAATCGACTCACGAGATGACGTGATGATGATGATGATCGTCCCCCCGAAAAGTAGCTCTCCACCCCAACGGCGCCGAAGCGCCACAAGTGCAACGTAAAACGGTCCATCCGCGCCACCTTCCGTGGGCGAGATGGCCAACATCTCCCTGGCAAAATTATGAGCGTAGAGCCCACACCTTGCCTCCATCGCCTTAGCCGTGGCACGCCGCTGGCGAAGGGAAGCAGTCTCGGCTCAATGACTTCCTTCGCTGATCCTTGCAACTCCTGAGTTTGCCACCCCTTCGTGACGGCGCCAGCCGCCTCATTTGCCACTGAATTGTACAGACGGCACAGCGAAGCCGGAGGCCACCCCTGCGGCTGCTGCTGAGCATGCTTGCCGCGAGACGGTGTCGACTCTATGCTTGTGCCGGATAGGATCATAAGAGCAATGGAGACCGAAAAGGCAGAGCAGTCGCCCTCGCAAGACCTTTGCAGGCTACGAACCCTAAGCACAACCCCCTCGTTGTCGCACAGCACCTTAGCTGCGTGAGTCGCTGCAACGGCTTGCCAGAGTGCAGCTCCCCGACCGATGGCGCGTGTTCGTCAGTCACTAAGCCCGAGAACTTACAACTTGTCGGTAGAAGCCACCCCCCAATCAAGCACGCTGGTGGGTCGCAGCAACAGCAGACACTAGGCAGCACCGATCGATTGCAAGCAGCACCGGCTATCAAGCTCAAAATCAGGCATGGACTCACACCCATGACATCGACGGACTCAATCGGCTAGGAGGAACCCTGAGTGGATGTCCTTGCAGCCGTAGCACTGCAGTAACGGCCACGTGGACCAGGTCGTCGTGCACTCTGGCCTGCTAAGTTTGCTGTCTGTCTCAGCAGCAGCCACGGGGGCACAGTCAGTCAGTCTATGTCTATGTATCCCAAGGGTGTGCAGACCAGGCTACAGAGGCGGGCACTTGTTGTCACAGCTCATCTATAGTCGCCCTGTTCAGTGTGATGTCCAATCCCCAGAGTGTTTTGCAACAGCCCTTGGTGGGGGGAGCCGTACCGCGTATAGGTGGGTTAGCAGTCTGAGAATTGGTTTCAATTTTATGCTGCAGAAGGGGAGGAGAGAGTTGGAAGTGTTTGTCAGCGACCTAGCCTCCCCGACGCCCACAAAAATCTACTGCAGAGAAGTTCCCAATTGTTATGACCGCAAGCAGAATCCAGAATGCTTTTTCATGCGCACTTAGCCAAGGCGATTGCCGGAGCTTTGTTCTTTGCTCTGGCAGCGGCTGCCGTGGCCTTGGCTCACAAGAGACGCAACATGAGTTGCTCTTTTTGCTCTTTCCATTCTGCAGGTCGCGACTGTTGACCCCGGCTTTGTTCCGGTGCTGCCACTTCAGGGACAAGGTGGAAGAATGTTCCTCCCTCGGCTGCAAGCTCCGATGCCAGCAACGGCTCGTGCGAATGTCTGCGTGGGAGTGGGTGCAGTGAGGCCTATGTCTGGAGTTGGCATGTGCTGTCGATCGTCAGCGCGTGTGGACCCTCAGCTTCATGGGGCTGTTGAGAAGCTCATTGTGATGAAGCTTCTCGTGACACTCTGGTGGTTGCCATGTTTGGGCTACAGTGAGATTTGTCGGGGTGTGGCGATCCTCAGCCGCTTGGATTTGGAGGGCTTGCCGTTTGAATGAGCGAAGTCAGGCGGTGACGCTGCGCGACAGGGTGTACTCGACTTCCTTTTACAAGGCTCAAAGTCACACCCAGTGCTTTGTCGTTTTGCCCATCCAGTTCTCGGTACCAGGTGGGCGACATCTAGATACAGCGCAGATATACGGCAATCACAAGGCCGCATCGTGGCTCCGTGGGTCAGTTTTTTGCCAAAAACCCCTTTCGGGGGTTGGGTTCTCCTTTAGGTTTTCCAAGGAAGGGGTATTAACTTTTGTCAGTCTGTCTTTTGGCATTCTTTTGGGGGGGTCCTGGGGAGGGGTGGGTGGTCGGGTGGGGGACTGGGGGGGGCGGGGGGAGAAGCCTTGATGGAAATCTGCAACGCCTCAACGTCGATATTCGATACAAGTCCGTGGTAACCCCCGAACTGAATAGGAGGGCAAAGTTTCAACATGCGGGTAGGGACGTGCGCAAAGAGAGTCCGATTGTTCACAACGACAGGGCAAGATGGGGAAGCCTAGACTCTAGACCCCGGAAGCCCTTTTGTAGTCAGGCCTGGCAGGCCTGCAGCCCACGCGCACTCCGAACCTCAGGCCGCCGGCCTCGACTTAATCCCGAACCTCAAGCCGCCGAGACAGAGCATCACCGCCAGGCGCAAAAGCAGCTGATCTTAGGAATTGCAACCGGAAGCGAGAATACACCGTAACACATCAGAGGCGGGGGCAAATGGCTAGGGCTTTCGCAAACCAGCAATGTAAGATGGCACAATGCCAATTTCAGATGCATCCCTCTTCAGGCCTGTGGCTTGAATCTGATCAGAGCTCTCGATACAAGAGGTCTCCAGTGGGCCGTAAACGCCAGGAAGTCGGTGCAGGTGTTCGACAAGCCCTGGAACACGGAGCGCCCTGGCCTGCTTGATGCCCATGAAGAGCTGCAAGCTCAACAGCACTTCACCTAGACTCCAAAACATCGAAAATGCAAGAACAACCAGCATCTCAATGACCATCCTCCGGGTGTGCTTGCTCTCCGAATGTATGGATTGCCAAACAGCATCCCTGCTGCCGCGACTTAGGTTCCAAGAGAGGAGATCTTCCTCACGACGAAAATCTGGCCCGATGATTTCGGATGGGAGAGGGTGTTTGCCTTGAGTCCGTTGACAGAAGTCTTCTTGTCGTGGTTTTCCTGATAGACGATGGCCTGGGTTCCACGGATGCTGGACGAGCTTGGCCTTGAGTGCTTTCGCCGCAGAAAAGGGGCTTTTCAAAGCGGCTTTCGAGCGCGCACCCGGCGTTGGACAAAGTTTGCGGTGCCGGAGGGAACCGGGCGGACTTCGGATTCCCGCCAACTCTTTCAGAACCTTCCCATGGCCATGGCAGCAGGAGGCCCGACAGGTCACTCTTTTGAAGTGCCTCTGCCTAGAAGAAACGAGGATGAGAAGGTCAGCTCGGACCGTCGGACCCGAAGTTGCCGAATCCGCGGCCTTGGCCTTAAGGTATGTCGACCTGGTCTTGCTGCACATGGCGCGTGCAGATGGAAAGGCAGCGATGGTTCTCGTGCTGCGCGCTTCGTACACCCAGAAGCAGATCTGCTTCAAGTCACTCAAGTCTTTGCCGTGATGTCGGAGGACTGTGGCGCGCCGAAGCAGTGTAGGCAAGAGACCTGGCTGGCACTGCAGCGGTTTCAGAACAAGGCTTCCGCTCAGGATGCTCCGATTTGTGGGTGGCTGTGACTGCTTTGGCAGGGTCAGATCCGCGCTCTCGGTGTCAGCAATTTCGGGCCCCGACAGATGCAGGACTACCGCTGCAGTGCTTCATGGAGAGGACACGGCAGACACCCGACGATGCCAGGAGCTGGCTGATTTGGGAGGAGCCCCAGCCTCGCCCTTGGTGGAAACCCATGTCTGAAGATTTTCAAAGGGCTTTCATTCGCGAGAAATCTGCTAGGTGGCGGCCAATCAGTTGGAATATCATCCATGGGTGCCAGATGTCCATCGAAAGACTGTTGACTGGTGCCACAGGCCTGCGGGTGGTATTTTTGCCGTCTGCATCTGGAAAGCCTTGCAAGGAATGGTGTAGCCGTCACGGCCTATGGCTCCATGGGCCGGAAGCTTACGCCCCAAGTTTTGAAACAGGCATACCGCAGGTGACGCGCTGTACCATGCGGAAAAGATGCGCTGAGAGGCAGCAACTCCTACGCTCCGCAGATTATCAGCCAGGCTGGACGCGGGCAATGCCCTTTCCGATCCATGCCAGCAAGACTGTTCCTACGCGCACATCTGTGGCAGGGGGCGCTCCAGCAAATCGGAGAGTCTTGATGTGATACACAGTGAATAACTTGTCAGCTGCTCTGCTGTCATTCTGAACTGTTCTCCAAGGATTGGCATGGCAAAACGGCTGGGCAGATTTTGCTGCGATGGGCAATACAGTCGGCTGCCCGAGTTGGTTATCACGATTATTCCCATGACTATGATTAATCTGAGAAAAAAGAATGATTTTTAGTATCATCCTGTTATTGTTTACTCTTATTATTCTTTTTACGATCATTACTACTGCTATTATCATCATCATTATTATTCTGCTTATTAGCAGTATTACCATCATACGATGGTTGTCGCTATTGTTATTGTCATTGCGCTTGTTATTACTATTGTTATAAACTATTGTTGTTAATATGAAGGTTATTTTGATTGACTTGGTCTTGTCGTACTCTTGTTACTCTTGGTGTTATTTTCATTAGTATTCTGAGTAGTATTGCTGTTATCAATACTGTTGTTGTGGTTGCCATTGCCATTATCATTTTTATTGTTACTATAATTATAGGAATTAACTCGTAGTACTAAGTACTAGTAGTAACTGTTGTCAATATCTTTATTGTTGTTGGTACAAGCAAAAACTGCAGCCTGTACTTGTTGTTAACTAGGAGCAATTGGGAATGCTTCCGGCGACCGCATAGGGTGCCTGTAGAGTCTTGGGAAGTGCAAGCCATGGTTTACACAGCAACTGCCCCATGATAGAAATGCGGTGTAGGCTGGGTGGTTGTTGTAAAAGGGGGGTCAAAACAACAGACGGGGCTCCAGTTTTTGCTTCTACTACAGGGGGTAGAGACAAAGGCACCAGCAAAATCAGGACTTTGTCTCTACCCCTTGTAGTAGAGACAAAAACTGGAGCCCCATCTGTTGTTTTGACCCCCCCCCCTTTGCAACAACCGCCCACATTACACCACATTTCAAACACAGGTATAGGAATCTGCGATGTCCAGAAGGGGTTCTGATGGGTGTTGGAAGGGCTTGTCTGGAATTTTGAAGGGTTTGCATTGGTTCCCGTACACTCAAAACTATAGTTACCAGTTACTATACAGTAGTTTGTACAGGCCTCGCAAATGCATAATCTTCACAGCGGGGAACTGAAATACACACCAAATCCATTGAAAATACACACCAAAATCATTGAAATACACACCAAATCCATTCAAATACACACCAAATACACTGAAATGCACATTAAATCCACTGAAATCCACACGAAATCCACTGAAATACGCACCAAATCCATGGACATACACACGAAATCCATTGAAATACAGACCAAACAGTATACATCACAGGCATCCACAAGCACTGTGTTGTTGTTGTTGCTGCTGCAGCTGCTGCTGCTGCTGCTGCTGTTGCGGGGGGGGGGGGGGGGGTTAAACAACATGACGGGGCTCCTGTTTTTGTCTCTACCTAATGTACAGACAAAAAGCAGATATATTGGTTGACGGGGCTGCAGTTTTTGTTTGTACCTTGTTGTTGTTGTTACTAATATAGTTGTGACTATTATTATGGTTGTTATTACTACGAAGACAATAGCTATTGTTGTTATTTCTGTTGCTATGGTTATGATTATCAATCGAATCATGGTTGGCACACTGTGCAGAGGGCTGGGGGAGTGGCCGAGGCACAATGTCAGTGTGATTCCTGGCACTTCCAACCCCAAACATCAATCAGCTGCTTAGATGCACGAAGGCTCCAGTACCTGTCCTGCTGCGTGTATCTGCCTCGATCTTGGGCTTGAGTTAGGAGAATTTGCAGATCTTCGATTTCGAGCTTGGCAGCCGGATGCTCAGTTTTTCCGTAGAAAGATGCTGGATGCTGTGGCTTGTCGCACTGTCGAGAGGGTGGCTGGGGCCGGTGACCACCACACCGCTGTTCAGAAAGAAGTCTTACCATCAAGAAAGCTTGGTGAGATGGGCTTCGGCTCCTGCAATAAACGGCGGCTATCATCCTAGGCAAATGAATGGCAGCAGGCAGCTTTCCATCTCGGTGGAACTCATGTGAACGATTTTCGAAGACGTCTTCTCATCAACAAGGGACTGTAACGACATCGAAGCCGTGACGTGTTGCCCAGGTCAAGAGATGGCTCTGCTCGATGGCATTCCAGAAAGTGAGCGGATGCTTTACTTCGGACATACGCCTGATGAGTTCGAGTAGGATACAGAAGTTCGCTTCGGTGCAAAACAGAGCCCATGCGTGAAGAAATGGCCGAGTGCAAAGCCAGATTTGGGACGTTCAGCGGTAGCTGACAAAGCTGCCTGTGCCAGGCACCGATCCAATCTGGCTGCAGGCTGCCATCGCGGCTGGCGTGTGCGCTTGATCTCGGGCCCAGCAGGGTCACAGACGGACCTGACATTCTTCAACAACTCGGCCCATGCCAGTGGATTCGGGTGGCATTTAAAGCCCCCTCATGCTCCCCCAACGTTGAATGTGTTTCAAAATTTCACGGCCTTCCGCTGCTCAACGGGCATGTTCTACTATGGTACCGGAAACATATTCCACGATGACCACAGGTTCATTGAGTGTGGTACCGGCCACTTCATGAACCATCTCAGCAACGGACCGCATACAGCACCTTTCTATCACAACCTGGTGTTGGTGGGCAACATCGATCAAAATCCCACCTTCTCACGTGGTGGAGTTGGTGTCAGAGGACCCAAAGACAACGAATACTTCTATGTCTCGGGACTGACTGTAATCAACTATTTCCAGTCGGCTGTGCTCCACGGCTGCTTCGAGACAACTTGCACGATGAGATACGAACGGATCCGGTGGTTCAACTCGACCCGGCGCACCTTCGGTTATTCCGGTCAATCTGGAATCTACTGGGACATGGATGGAACTTTAACTGGCTACACAAATGGCTTCGTGTCACTCAATTACGAGTATATGCACTTCCCTGGAATTTGCTCCGTCGTTGATGAGCATGTGAACGGTGTTATGTGTGGGGCATCAGACGGCTCAGTGCGAGTGAGACGCCTCCTGGCAAATGAGCAGCAACCTTGGCAGCTCGACGGAAAATTGATGAATGTTCGAACGTCGGCTGGGTTCGACCAAGTGAAGTACGACACGAAGAAGCTCAGTGGTTGGCCGGTTATCGTGCTTGAGAATGAGACTTTCGACATGCGCGTCGATGATCCAAATGATTTCCAAGAGCTGGCTTTCCTGTATTCTACCCGTCCTTATGTCATGGAAAGCCTGGGGTACATATACAACCAGACCACACCTATGGACGAATCGATCATTGTGCACGTGAACTTCACAGACTGGCGTGATCATTATGACGCTGATGCGTCAACAGCGTTGGCGTCCCAGAACATATGTCCGTTGCATGCAAGTCTGCTCCGTGTTTCTTCGCGTGCTCTTAAGTTTCAGCTCACTTCCAGCTCAAGCAAAGAGCCATAGATAGCCATAGGTTTTGTCGCAGTACGTCACAGTTCGTCTCCTTGCGAATGCTGTGCCTATCCTTTTTCAACACGAGAGAGGCGTCACATCATCACCAGCAGAATTCCTGCCCTGAGTTTGGCTGGGATCATGCCGCCTCCATCGCTTCGAGGTGTGAGGGAGTTTGAGCTGCCCGGTCCCGGCCGACTGGTACAAGGTGGCGCAGATGCTGTCAGGTGCTTCTACAAAGAGCCGGGCACCATTATCGTGAACTGCGCGCGCCGCTCTGGCAGTGCGAGCGTGGAAGTGCGAGGAGAGGTGGAAATCTACTGGCTGCCCATGACCGAAGCCAACATGGAGCATGCTTGCAAATGCTACATGAGCGAGTACGGGCAGACCCTGCTCGCAACTTGGCGAAAGAGGGATCAACCACTGTCTGTCCGTACCTCTTGCGTTGCATGGAACATGCGAATGTGGAAGGATGCGTTGCAAGAGGGGAAGACTGTGGCAGTGCACTGCTCCTTGACTGAGAGTCTCAAGAGCCTGGATGCTGCATGTTGCCAAGCAACTCCCAGCTCTGAGGCCAAGAAGGCGTTCACCGATCCCTGGAGTTTGCCAAGCAGCTGCACACGTGGGCGATGGGGAAACGCCCCGAAGAGACAGGCCCGGGTGATGAGGTTTGCTTTGGTGAGCCCAGTAGGTTGAATCCTAGACGGCGAGGCCTTCCGATCTCGATGCCTGATCTGCCGGAGGCGGAAGGGAGGGAGAGGCTTCCGACCAAGTTTCACCGAGCTGACCGGTTGCAGAGCCGAGGAGGACGAGCAGAGCGAGGAGCAGGGAGAGCTCGAGGCAGCGGCTGTGCCCGGCGGGTAGCCGCGTGGCTCCATCCCCTGAGAAGCTCCCTGCGCGCGGGAAGGCCTAAGGAAGGGGACTGGCACGATTTGCAAGGAGGAATGTAACAAGCAGCAGCTGCAACAAACCAGTCATGCGCTGTGGCCTGGATGAAGTCAAGGATTGTACAGTGTACAGTGGATGCTGATGGCACTACATGCTCTTTCAGTCTCTACCCCTGAGATCAGCCTGAGATCGTGACGTGGGAAAGCTGTGACGATCTTCTGCACGAAGGTCTAGAGAAAGCTTTGCGAAAACTGGTCCGAGCAATGCTTCATACTGGTGCACTTGCGGTCACAGCTTCTGAGGCTTCGGCTGGACCGCATGCCCACACGAGATGACCCATTCGGTTCGCACTCGATGATGCTGTGGCCGGGGCCCCAGCCCTACCTTGGCAGGCTCACGACGGCAATGATTGGTCTAAGGCAGGACCAATGTGATGAGTTCAACCTGACAGACGAGGTGTCGGACAAGTGCAACTTGATCGCAGTCATGACCAGCCTTGCTTGGGGAACGGACTAAAACTAAAGCTTGTCGCTGAGGGAGTCTTGCTTGTTTGCTCAGTTCCACCATTCTTTACTTATGAGTTGCTCGCGACATTCGCCTTCAATTATGCACGGCACATATGCAGCCACACAATCAGCCATGCAAGACCTTCGTGCGTTCCTGACACTGGTCAGCATCTAGCTGAGAGCCATGAATGCCAAAGGTGGCGTCTACGTGAATGACACTGGCCTGGCGTTGAAGGCATGGGATCTGCTTCAGTTGCTTGGAAACTTGTTGAAATGTGCTTCAGGCCCAAATGTGTGAACTTGTGAACGCCAACCCTGCAGAACTTTTGTTTCACCGCCTTCTGTTGGCTCAACAGGCAAGACTTGACGTAGGATATGTCACCCGTGATTTCAGGAAAGCATTTTCTTGAAGTTCACACCGGCCTTACTTTCAGGTTTAGTTGCTTGCCTTCCTTGCTCTGTCTCCGGCTGGATTGAGCCCGGCCGTGCTGCCAGGAATTGTTTTTTAGATATATAGATATAGTACTGAGATGGGGACCTGGGGTGCTGCCGGCCTTGAAGTCTGGACCAGAGATGCAGAGGCCGGGAACTTAGACGAGCTTGGACCGGAACGTGGTTTCTGAAGGGTGCAAGCTGCATCACGGCACATGGCCAGTCTTTCAGCAGTGGTGTATCCTAAGTTGTAGCTGGAAAGGGCATGTTGCTCAGAATTGCGTGGACACGCTTGTCGCATCCAGAGAGAGAGACAGAGAGAGTGGGAGACAACAAACAACATTTTCACACTCCTCCAAAGTCCCCACAAGATATGGGGGGGGCCCTAGTGGCCGGGGGGTCTAACCAACCCCTCATGCCCGGCGGAAGAAGAAAGTGGGAGAGAGAGAAGATGTTGCGATGCCGTGACCTTGTAAACCTTTACGAGGGCCTCAGGTGTACAGGTTCGTGCTTGCCAAGGGATTGCCAGTGAGTTGCGTGCTGTTTCGAGTTTGCAGTCGTTCTGGGGGAAACCCCCGGTATCGGGGGGCGAGCACTGGCCGGAGCCCAAGCTAGAGACAAGTCACCAGTTGCCGGCGGTCGGGGGGTTGTAGCCTTAGTCCTCGAGGCGGGTTGGGGTAAAGAGAGGGATGAGAGGGAGAGGCAGGGCCGATGCACTCGCTTCTGGGCCGCAGAAGGCCGGGGGCCCATGCTTTAAAGTGGAGGCCACCGAAAGGTTTGGGGGTTTTGAGCCTAGCAAGGCGGGTTGGGGTTTGGGCCTAGTTTAAGGTTGCGGGGTTGGGGAGCCCGGTGCGTGATGCCTCTCTCGTGGCGAGCGTCACTCCGTCCTTGGTCTCCCAGTGCGCGATAACGCACGGGGGGAAGACTTCGCCGTCGACCCCTCTGGCTGAGCGGACGAAGGGAGGGAGAGGGAGGGAGGGAGTAGAGCGAGACCGTGGATTTCACAATAGTTTGGTGCTGCTCGTTTCAAAGTGCATTGCCATGCATTGCCTAAATTTCACGGAATGGTAGATTACAAGGACAAGCGACTTGTGCCAGACATCAGGCAGCCAAACGTCCTCTTGAACGATCGATCACTGGAGGACTGCTTTGTGGACTCGCATGACCTCGTTTTCTGTGTGTTGCCGCAAGATCTTCTCTCAAGCAGTAGTTCAACCACCCTGCGAATGAGACTCCGATGGCGGACCTCCTGTTTGACGATGCTTTCTTCGAGGAGCGTTGGCCGAAGGTTGCTGCTGGCCTGACACATGTTGAGTCAGCCAGAAGTGCCAGCCAGCTTCGAGAGGCGCTGCAGCAGATCTCTGCAGATCCCAATTTCCATTGTGTCAGGGCCGGCAGGCCTGACTTCGAGGCTGTGTTGGAGGAACTTCCCGAGGCGGACGAATTCTTCGGCTCAATTTTGCCCAGAATTGTAGGCTTGGCCAGGGAGGCACCCAAGTTCAAAGACAAAGCAGTACCAATTCTGGTGCTAGGCAGACCTACTACCGTTGCCTTTACGTACTCTGAGACGGCGACACTTCTTGCTCTCGCATTCCTCGGTCTTCTGCCGAATCAGGGTGGTACAACGAGCATGTCACCGTTGTACTTTCCGAAAGATGGTTGTGCTTTCCCCCCGAACACAGAGAAGCTGCGCTGCTTCCTGCAGTACTTCGGCCACGTTGGTGACGCGATCGATGCTGCGGGGGAAGTTTGGATCAAGCGCTGTTGCAACGACTTGGGTCTCATGCCGGAGGATTTGACGACAAGCTCTGCTCCTTTGTGCCACTGCCTCGTACAGAATCTGCGGACTCCAATCTATGACTCGGGTGCGCCCCTGCATGTGGACTTCGCGAATGCAAGCGTTGGGGGTGGCATTTTCTTGAATGCTCCTGGAGCCACGGCACAAGAAGAGATTACTTTCGCAACTCATCCCGAGCTATCCTTGGCAACACTCCTCTCAGCTTCATCGCCGCTTAGCGATGATGAAGTGCTGCTCGTACGTGGTGCGCGACGTTTTTCTCGTCACGCAGGCTTTCTCGATACGTTCCAGTGCCTTGGTGCCGTGCGACAGGATGAGGAGGTGTTTTCCAAAGATGTCATTCAGATCGTCATTGATGCACGGATGTATGATGGGGCTGGGGTCGGGGCGCCTTATCGACACGACCATTTGTGACATGGCTTGGTTATTTGGCTTAGTTAGTGGTTCCCGTGGGGTGTACAGTGCAGAAGCATTCTGGGTCTCCTCAGGTTCCAAGTCGAGGATGCCATGCGAGACCTGCGAAAAGCGCTTTGTGGCTTTGGTGCAGCCAGGCTATCCTTTCCCGATCGGAACGTTTGCGCCACTGGCAACTGGGGGTGCGGTGCCTTTGGTGGATCTCCTGCAGTGAAGCTTTTTGTACAGTGGGTGGCTGCAAGCTTGGCAGGTCTGCAAGGTCTTGAGTATTTTCCTTGGGATGACAGAGTGCTTTTCGAGCCGCTCGGAGATGAGTGGGGACCCATCAAAGTTCTGCACGTAGCAGTTATAACTAGTGCGGCTCACCCATAGTGCGATACATCCTGATCCATCAAGGTTTCTGTCAAGCGGTGAGGCTCTCGAGTGCTTCTCCAAAGCAACAGTGGGCCAGTTATGGACAGCTGTCGTCGCAGCTGCACGCAAGCAGCTAGCCCTTCCCAATGAAGTGACCCGGCCAGCACCAGTCCGTCATGCATGATAGTGCCGCATGCCAATAATCATCAGGGGATCTCGTTTGTTCTGTGAGGCACATCGCTACAAGGATGACGGTTCTGACTTCCTTCGAAGTGTTCTCAGCGCCTTGCAAGCCAGCTGAGCTCCTGATGCTTGCACGGTCTTTGGCATTCCTCTGACGGCCTAGCAGTTGTGAAGATCTGCGCGGAATCGATCCGCAAGATTGGCAAAGGTCTCGCTGGCGGCTAAGATTGCATGGAGATGACATGACAATGACTTCGAGATGGTCGCCAAGCCATTCGCTGCACGTGTACGAGTAGAAGTCAGCTGCGCTAGGTCGTGTAGGGTTGTCGCAGCGGGTGACGGAAAGGCCTACGGCTGAACAAAAAAGTCGGGAGGGAGAGATGATCGTGACTCTATAGGGTACATGGGGTACGTAGTGATGTTGACCGGAATTGACAGGAGCTTCCCTCGATTGTCCCCCCGAGACTGTGCTGGGCTCTTAGTTTCTTTGTCCCAGGTTGCCATCAGTCTGTCAAGTCTGGTTCATTGCTTGCACAGACTTGCACATGCACAGTGCAGGTCCAGGCAGGTCTCCCTTGGCTCTGCATCAGTAACTTCGAAAGACTCTCCAGGCAACCGGGATAGGTGTGAGAAGCTCTCGCATCTGCGCTGATCCAGTTCGCATTGATTCCTACGAAATTTGCCAATGCAGAGTCGAACACATCTGTGTTGGGACAGACTGTTGACAAGTGGGGAGCAGCATTATGAACCTGCTCCCGCCCCCCAAAAAATTGAACAGCTTTCAAAGACTTCAGTGGACACCGACTTCTCGTCACTCTGTCACTGTCAACTCTGCCGTCTGTCGCATCCGGCCGCTCTCTGGGTGCTACACTCTCTGTTCTCTGCCAGGCCTTCTTGCTGACCAGAAAGAGGAACTGAACTTGAGGCGCTTTGAGAATGCTGCACGGGACTTAGCCGCAGGGACAGTTCAGAAGACGCGTGCAGCCATGCTATCTTTGAACTTACAGGTGTGGCGACTCAAGCAGAAGGACAAAAGGACGGGCTTTCTGTGATCGCCTGTGGCGCAGCCAACTCTTCTGCCTCGCTGAAAGGACCTTTGAAGAGTCTAGCGAAGACTGCTTGCGCAAAGCGGCAGCCGCAATTGGAAAGGACCTTTGCATGCCCGTGTCAGTACTTCGAGTGAATCGCACGTGAGAACTTTTCCGGCAGGAGCTGGAATTTCGGGGCCCGAACACCAAGTCCAACTCCGGTGGAGAGGTCTGCGACGGCTGGGCATCTCACGGAAAGATGAGTTGGTGGAAGAAATGCCCCAGGTTTCGCTGTGCCTACCCGAGCCGCTGGGTGGGCCAACAATCAGCCGCAAGAGGCCTGCAAGATGAGCCTGACACAGATGCTCCTAGTGGGATTGATATGTGCAGCTTTTCCTTGTTGTTGGGAACTGTCTGCAAACAAGTCTGCCATAAGCCACTTGGGGCTCGACTTCGATGGAAGGATAATCTGCACCAACGCGTGAGGCGCCAGGGGGCACTGGAACGAGCCATGGCATCGAACAGCAGTGGCATGAGCAGCCCGGAATATTGAAGACACGCTGCACAAGCAAGAAGTATAGGTAGGTAGCAAGCAACTTTCCCAAATGAAGCACGATTCCTAATCCTAGTCTTGTAATATCTATGATAATACTTACTACTATTTCCATTCCAATCGCAGCCGGTGGCTCAGCTTGGCGTCAGGTGCGTGGCACATTGCACCCGTGCTTCAAGAGCACAAAATCCGAGTGGGCAAGTTCCGCTACGAATAGCTGCAAACTTGCGACCTACTCAGCAGTCAAGAGAACTGTGCATTGTTGCACAGCTGGACTTGATCACTCCAGCAGAAGTGCCAAAATAGCAATGAAGCAAAATGCGAGAATGAGGAAAACACGGCGTGATTCACCGAGCTATCATCACAGTCGAGGGTTAGTCGCAGTTTCACGCTGTGCAGAGATGGGATTTGCGAATGTACAGATGGCCCAAAAGGACACACTGTGAAGTGGCCACAAATGGCACACTAGCGTGCCGGCTCGTGGTCCTTAGGCTGGCATAGTTACTACTACTACTACTACTACTACTACTACTACTACTACTACTACTACTACTACTACTACTACGACGAGTACTACTACTACTACTGCTACGGATACTACTGCTACTGCTACTGCTGCTACTACTACTACTACTACTACTGCTACTACTACTACTACTACTGTAAAGATATATTACTACCATTGTTAGTTGTCTTGTTGACAACCCCTGCCTAACCCAATGTATTTGGGGGGGAGAAACGTAGATGTCTGGGGGTTCGAAATACTTTTCCGCCTGTTCCGACGGGTCCAGCAGGAATCCCAGGACGTTTGTTTTCCGTGGGACCGGTCATGGACCCCTGGAGCTACGAACAGCAACGAACAATGTACTTGAGCGGTGGGTGGGGGACCCAATATGTACATTAGTTGTTGGGGGTGGTGTCTTGTGGTTTCTGGAAGATGACTGTATGACTTCGCAAAGTCTTCGGCTCGCATCGGTTCGCTTTCTAGCAAGCCCATTGCGCAAGTTCCGTGCTGCATGGCTTCGGGTCTTTGTTTTCTCGGGGGTTTCGGTTTTCAGCGTGTCTAGATATCAAAAACTTGCATGCAGGCATTTTCGAAGGGATGCCGAATCTGCGTGCCAGTGCTCCACACTTCGCACACAAACGCTTGCCGGATCAACATATCCTGAGCTTTATCTCGACTTTCCATTTGGTTTTGTTGGCTTCTCGACTCTTCGCCGTTCGCGGGGCTTTTGTGCTTTTCGTGGCTCTCGTGCGCTTTGCGGCTGTGGTTTCGGAACTCCTCTTGTGTTTGCGAACCTCACCCAAATCCACTTTTGGGCTTTTCTACTTTTCGGGTTCCGTTCTGAATTGTTCGCTTATAGCACTGCCGACAGTCACTTGCCAATGCAGCAGTTCGTAACAAGAATGATAGTACCGAAACGGGCTCTGGGCTAGGAGGATGCTTTGCCCGGCTTGAGAGCTGCGGTGAGCTGACTCTGGCCCACTCTCCAGGCGCAGCCTGGAGAAGAGAGCGGTGACCTTTCCAAACCCGCCAGGTTGGGGAGTACTGCTTGCTTCCTTGTGCCACCTGTCCTGGTCTTGCAAGGAGGCGTTTTGGATGTACAACGCCTGGAGAATGCAATGTGGCGACTTTGGAGACGGGAGAACCAGAAGAGGCTGCACTTCTGCGGATAATGTGCTTGCCGCAGTGTCACATACATTGATCTCATTTGGCCTAGACTCATTTCTGTTCCTCTGCTGCTGACTGCAACTGGCTTTCTCAATTCTGTCGGTAATCCAGCCGTCGTTGCCACCTTATTGTGAGACTGGACTGTTGGCACCTGCTAGGGCATGGCAACCTTGGTACAGTGCACTGCCGGAGGAAGGCACAAGCTGTCGTGAGTTTGGAATTCCTCGAGGTAGGTGTGCGGAAGCTGGCAGGCCAAAAGGCCTCCAAGCAGATTGGCTCTCAGTCTGGGCCTGAGACATGTGATGAAGTTTTTGTTTGTACAGGGAGTGCAGCAGCGCCGGTTCCACCTTTCCGCTTGAGCCGTCGAGGATTGACTTCCCACAAGTGAGACAGCTGCTCCACAAGCAGGTGCTCAGGGTTGTTCCCTCTGCTGAATGGACACTGACTTTGTGTGTTGAGGACCTCTTCAACATGCGCAATTTGGCTTTGCATCTCGCCCAGCGTTCGTCCGAAGGATCTGTGGAGGCGGACATCTGAATCGATGTGCCTTCCGCAGTCCGTATCACATGTCGGCTGTGCTTGGCAAGGCCGGGCAATCGACCGAGATTCCATCAACCCCTCGCAGCACCACCAGCACGCAACTGGAGTTCCAGGACAGTCCGTGACGCTTCAAGCCCGACCACGCCGTGAATGCTCCTAAGCAGGCTCCTAAGCAGCTTCCGTACACCTCTTCGACGCGAGGAAATCGTCAAGCCGGTTGAGAAGGCACAGAGGCAGGTGTGGCACACTGCGAGCGCCCAAGATCAAGGGCCATGTCGACCTGCAGTGAGTGACCGACAGACACAAGCACTCTGCTACATGGCCAGGGTGAGAACCAATTGCAGCACCAATGATCCCTCTTGAGATCGTGAGCAGCAACATAGATGATCTCAATGCTAGCATGAGTTTAGCCTTCTAAGCGATGAGAACGGCCGTTGAGAAAGTGCTACTATGGATCACTACAGGAAGCAGTCAGGGAAACGGGTAGCTGCGCTCACATCGCTTGCCGTGGCCTTTGTCTGAGGCTGCGATGCCGTGGGCCTGCACCCTCGGCTGCGCGGTGATAGTGGCGAGTGCTTTCCGCTTTGGCCGGACCAAAGTGATGTGACGCTTTCCAGAAAGCCACAGGCAAGGAAACATGCCGCAGGCGAAAACCTGTTGTGGGAATTCCTGGTGGCACTGTTGTCATTGCTCCATGGCTCTCACAGATGGTGGGACTGGACATTTAACAGGTAAATATTTTGATTGCGCACGCTTCCGCTGCCGTTTGTTGGAGCGGCGAAGCTGTGCCGACACTTCCCGGAAGTTCCAGAGGTTTTCGGAGGTGCTGGGCTGAAAAGAATGGCTTTTGTTCAAGGTGACTAGGCCCTAGGCCACTTCACTAAGTGTATAGTGGCATAGAGACCTGGCAGCGGAGACTCCTGGCCATGACTGCCTCAGTACCATTTTCAAGCGCCGATTTAAGTTGATTGTCTGGCAGCTATCCCGCTACAGCAAACCCTGCTGACTGGACAAAAAGCCTGCCACCGGGGCGTGGCTGTTCGTAATTCGCTGCTTTTTGCTTTGCCTTTTATGCAAGGCGGCCGTGGCAAGGAAAGCTGCGTTGGCGTCTTGTTGTGGGCCCTTGGCATGCGCAACAATACCTATGTTGCGCGGTATGCGCAACGACACCCTGCACAGTGCACAATTAACACTAGGCAAGCCCTTCTGTGGCTTCGGGCCGTGCTGTATAGGTTCATTGCGAGTATCCGATGAAGACGTCGAGTGAGTCACTAGAGGAGCCACCAGAAGAAGTGTACAGAGAGTGTAGTAAAGATCTGCTTCCATGAGGCAGAGTTGTCCAAATGCACATAGACTTGACATCAAACGGGTGCCCAGAGTGCAAACTCATGACAGCCTTTTGCTTGACATTTTCAGACGCGGTTTATGCCGCGATAGTCATTGCAGCGTATGCACACTGGGACGTCTGCCACAGCAAAGCTGCAGCTAATCTGCAGTGCAATCGCAAAGGCGGTTGGCTAAGCATCTAGAAGGGGACTTGCACTGTATCTTAAATGTTGCAGAGCAAGCTGCCTCGGATCACCTGTCGTACTCCTGTATCATGAACTGCATTTCATATCAACGTGTACTGTACACTATACGGAACTTCGCACCTGACCGAAGACCAGCTGTGACGGCTGGTGCTGAGAACTGAGATCGCAGCATGCCGGGGATACCGAATTGCTGACGCTACTAGCGAACCCTTGACATGTGGAGCGATGGCCAGAGAGTTGGGTTGATTTCATCTAGGCAGGTTTGTCACACTTCCTTGGTTGTCCGATCCTGCCATGTAAACTGCTTGGAGGCCTCCGCTTGACTGCCTGCTTTGCAAGAACCCTATTCGGCGAGTAGCAGTGGAAAGATATGCAATGTGCGATAGGATACTTTGAACAGGGTGCTGACAAAGACTGGTGGGCTTTACAGACTACCTCGATAGGACCGATCGGTGCATGGACGAAAACGCCGATTCACGGCTTGCCTCTGCAGATGTTGCGGTAGCTGGTGGCCAGAGAACGTTGGAGTGCGTGGGAGTGCTCGCACCTGGACCACATCCTGCACGCAGGCAAGTGCCAGTTGTAAGACCTGCAAGGCGGAGATTGACAGCCAGCCCACCGTAGACATGGTGCACGGTCGCTTGACGACAGTTTTTACAATGAAGGCACGAGCGCTGCTGGTACATCGGCTCAGACACAGGAAAGCTCAGTGTTTGCCCATATTTGCTCTGCACTCTGCAGGTGCAGGAGGGCACGCCCGGTGGCTCCTTCAGGTCCGACTCTCTAAAAACCTTCCAGTGCTCTCAAGCAAAGGCTTTTTCGCTGGTGCAGCCAAACATTGCAGGAACAAATTCTTTCCTCGAGAGTGCCCGAAGAGTGGCTGCCCGCAACCGAACGTTGTGGGACCAGGAGGACCACAGAACTGCCCGCGAGACGTTTTTCTTTCTTTTTTGCTGCAAGACAGCCCCTTCCAGGACTTAGGCCACTCAGGTTGCCGCCTGAAACGAAGCGAGTGCAAAGCCTGAAGTCCACTACGGCATGACGCTCAGGCGCTGGTCAGATCCGGAAGGCTGGCCTGATGGCAAGCTGCCTGGGGAAATGGTCGCGCACTCATTCACATCGGGGTTTTCACAGGAACTGCCTGAAAATCAGCAGCTCTAAGGATAATGTCGTTCTTCCACCCGACGACAATGTGCTGCTGGACATCGAGACGCCCAAGCTGTCCGAAGCTTTTCGAAGGGGCACTGACAGCAGAAACCATGCGAGATCACTGAAATTCTGCCAAGGCATTGGCTTGATGTTCAAGGGCGTCTGGAGTTCGACCGCACGGTGAACACAACCCTGCATGCTCACTCGGTCAAGGCAAATGGCGGGCAGCTAGGGCAACTTATGCACCCACGACCTCCAGCAGATGGGTCGTGTGTTTATACCGTTCTTTGTTCAGGTTTGGGGCATCTTCGAAATGGGCACGGCAGCACCCTCCTGAGTGCCTTCTTTCAGATTGGTCAGCATCTCCACTGGCTTTGCAGTGACTTGCAGAACGAATGTGCGTCATTCTCGACGGGAGGAGAGCGGTTACTGAAGTGTCGATTCGAATGCGCGCACTGAACCAGTGCGGGTCAGTTGTCCATCTGACTATCTGTCCATCTATCCAGCTGACTATGTCACTATGTATGTCCATCTTCAGTGTATTGCTTGCCGAGGAAGAGCCCATACCTCCGGGGGTCAAAGCGGAGGTGGTTCTGTGGGGCGATGAGCAGGCCAGATGCAAAGAGCACAGGCTTGAAGGAGGGGGCTTCTGCGCCTTTGCGAGCTTTTTGGAGCCGGGCTCCTGGCATTACTCAAGCCCTAAGGGGGGGAACAGCGGCGTCGGCGATGTGTTGGACAGTCGGTCTCGTGGGTGCAAATCTCGTATGTGATTGAGCCAATAGAAGCCACAGGCAGGATTACTGGCAGATTCAACAAAGTGGTTCAGGAGCCCAGCCTCTTCGAGGGAAGATTCATCGTCTGATCGTGGCTGCATGCAATGTCAGCTGTTACCAGTCAGACTGCACCATGCCCCGATGCTCATGCAAGTCAGATAGCTGGAAACCGTCGCTTCTGGAACAGTCGATCACCGTCATCATGGTGGAAGGCCTTTTCTTGGTCAACAAGGCCAGAGAGATCAAAAAGCGACTAGCATAGTGACAAGCCTAACTCCGGATTGGAGGTCATCGCGGTGCTTGGGCAATTCTCTGCCGTCCAAATCCCAGCTCGTTCTGTTAGTTCCAGGAAGCCATCTACATGGAGATCTGATAGCTCGTGGTTTGATGCACTTCGCCCCTCTCCCTCCTGGCTGCCCAGGTTGGAAGTCCGAGCGTCCACAGCCAGGCACGTCACCAGTCTCGCATCATGCCTGCAGCAGCAGGCATACTGAGCAGGACAAGCTCGTAAGATGGATGGGTATCATGGCTTGGGTCAGGCAGGCAGGTAGGTGGGTCGGCGAGCTTAGCTTGGGTTGGGTGAACACAGGCACAGGCCGAAGGACGGAGGCTCGTGCTGAAAGATTTTTGGAGGCGTGGACGCGACTTGCTACAACTGCTTCGGAAGGCCAAACGGAACGTTCCCAATCGAGTGAAATATCGATGCCGGCAGCAGGGCCTAGTTCGCTAACATTCGGCTTTGGGCTTCGCCGGCAGGCGCAAGAGAACTCACGCTTCGTGGAAATCAAAGTGACTGGCCGATGGGATCCCAGGCCTGTGGGCCATGTGGGCCTTGCTGATCTTGCTGGGAGAGCTTCGCCTCTCGAGTCCGTTCTGTCTCCCTGTGCAGATTGCGATCTCGGCAACGGAGTTCCCTCAGCCTCCGGCTACGACGGAAACCGAGGCCATGTGAGATTGGCAGTTTGGAGAAGCGGAAGCCTGCACAGCACCGGGCTTTGCAGGTGCGCCAAATCGCCAGCAAGCCAGTTTATGATGTGGGCACCTTGTGGGTTCAAGCTGCAGCCTCTGCGGCGTGATCTCTTCCGATCACCTTCTGAGGCTGTGTCAGATACAACGACATTCAGCCTGGACACGAACCTTACATTCCGTCACTTCGCGGGGGTCGTGGACAGCACCATCCTTGGCCATCGCAGTGCTTGAATGCCTGAAGACTGAAGAGGGGGCTTTATGGAAATACAGCATTCCGAACTGGACTTAGACTTAGACTCCTCGATCCTCGACATTCCTCGACCATTCTCCCGAGCGCAAGATGTGTCTGCCTGAACTCCTATGCTGTGGACGCCCAGGCAGCGCAGAAAACACCCAATGGCCTCGACCAGTTCTCGCTGCCGCCGTTGCGCTCCTGGACGGTCGATCCAACGCCCTAGCCTCGATGACTGGATTCGATTTCTGTAATTCCTTCACTGTTCGGTTGCAGGTCGTCCTGCGCACTGGAGAGGCAGACACCGACCATGGAGGTTCGCCTTTCTTGTATGTCAATAGTGCGAGAATATCTTCGAAAATGTTCGCGTGCTGCAGGCGAACTTGTCATCGCTGGATCATCAGACGGCAGATGGGTGCGGAGCTGACGGTTGTGATTCTGAGAGATACGGATAGTGTATCTTGGTCACTTTACATGCGCGGACTCACTGCTTCCAGGAAGGAATTGCCAACGTGAGCAACATAGATTTCGTGAAGATGGGCCGCCTGCCTGAGCCTGCACCACGCTTCGCCGATTCGCTCTGCGCAGCATACGTCACCCACCGTGTCGAATCCAAGGCAAGCATCTCTACCAAGCGCCGGCTTTGAAGTTCAATTTCTTAGGGCGCCGGTCCCAGCAGGGCCTAGTCTAGTCGCGTTTTTTTTTCTTTGCAGCTCAAGAGTCCTGGATCCAAGGGGACAGAACAACATGTCCTCTGTGGAAAATTGCGTCTTCAGCCACTCGCAGTCTGGTGCCATCGAGGCCGGCTCGAGGATCTCAAACTGCTTCTCTGTCGGACTTCATACGTTATGGAAAGTCGCACCATTTGCACAGTGTACTCATTATGTCGGACGAACAACAAAGCAACAACAATGCCAAACCCAAGGCATTTGCGACACTTCTGTCCACTTATTAAGCTGTGCACAAATCAATTCCGTTTCAGTGTGGCGAAAACCTGCATCCGCAACGAAAGCCGAGCACAACCGAGGTGTTTGCACGTCGTCACAGAAACGACACCCTTCACGGCGGCCTTTGACCTGCCTTGTTGGAGTGCAGTGCATCGTTTCTGTTGCTGTAAAAATGAAGTTGAAGTAGTAGTCGTGGCGGTGGTGGTGGTGGTGGTGGTGGTGGTGGTGGTGGTGGTGGTGGTGGTGGTGGTGGTGGTGGTGGTGGTTGTGGTGGTGGTGGTGGTGGTGGTTGTAGACAAGATGATGATGATGATGATGATGATGATGATGATGATGTATTGTCCAACGTCGAAGGCCAACCACGTGTCCCATTTGCGCATTGTGCAGAACGTGTTTCACCGGTCCCATCCTCGGTATGTTTTGAGTGACAGCACATGGTGTTGCTTGTTGCTGAAGAGCCTACTTGACGAAGCGAGAATTGTTCAGGACATTCCGGAGCGCCGTGTGGCTCCGTATGCCTCGCTGGGCTTACCGAGATCTAGGGAAGGTTGAAGCTGCAACTCGTGGGCACGACAGGTGACACCTGCCGGCATGACTCGATCGTACTGTACAAGAATATTGCAATCGAGACCTTCCGGCATCCGCGGGAGAGTCGAGGACTGACTCGTGTGTTTAGCCAGACTCGGCGATTTCCAGAGATGCTCTGCCAGACTGGATCCGACAATTCGGTTCCTTCTTCCTGGAGGCCGCTTCTTAGTCAGGGGCTCCTCGTCTTCTGCGTACTTTCCACATCTCTTCGGAGGTGCGTCCAGGAGAGTTGGTGGGCAACGTTGCTGCAGGCAGCTTTTTCAGCACTAGCCTGGCAGTTGCTGAGGTACAAGTAGAAGTATGGGGCATCATTGTCCAGGGTCATTGAATCAAGGCTGCTACAGCAAGCTGGTCGTCCTACTCTGCCGCGGCTGTGTGCTCCCATGAGGTTCCACGGACACTGGCTTTATCCTGCGGCCTCAGCTGCAGACTTGCTTCGGACTCAGTGAAGTCGGAATAGAGGCTCGAAGCCGCCACGACGTTCGTGTGTCAAGGCCAGAAGGGCGACGCGGGCACGGCCAAGTTGCAGCAGGACGCAGACATGTATCTCTCTGTGTGCGTCACTTGCATCATTCCCATGGCCAATTCAGATGGAGGTGCAGCGGGGTCCGATTGAGAAGATGTTGCTTCGAGGGTTTGGACGTTATTGATGCGGAATAGAGGCCGTTTCAGGAAGGCTACCTCTGCGTGCGGTCATGTCGCCTAGCGACTTAGACTAGACCCTGTTCTCAGGACGAGATGAACGAGGCAGTTGCCGCGATGCGCGGTGCTCAGCCGAAGATCTCCTCGGATTCCTCTGTCTCTTGTCTTTTGTGTCTCGCTCTCTCTCTCTCTCTCTCTTCTCTCTCACCCTTTCTGGCGTGAGACATACCGAGGACCGGCATGTTCATCCTGAGCGGCTGCCAGGCTTGTGCCTCAGGTCACGCTCGATGAGTCCATGTGCAGTGCATCGTCAAACCGAGCGCTCTCTACTTCTATAGTTATGTCCCACGCAACCAAGGGGACCTGCAACGAGTGCGCTCAGATTCACGGTCTTGTGGCCTGGAAGAATGCACATGCAGGTGTGAGGCCAAGTTCAATTAGAAAATCTGGGGGCTTGGGTCACATGACCGTCATGTCATGCAGCGGGCTTGTGCGAAGCGAAATCTGTCACACAAACCTATTCCACGATCTCTTGGCTGTTTGAACCCGAGGCAGTGCCACGATTTTCTCAAGCATGGATTCATGAGCATTGCTGCCGACTGCGACCTATTGCATTCCACCCGCACCTAGTCACCCAGGAAGCACCAGCAAAGGAGGAGTCGCCTTCAGAGATTATGAAAGCATGAAGCTTGCAAATCAAAACGGAACACGGCCTGTTCTTGCATGAGCCAGTCGAGTGCTGCGTGGTGTCAGGCATTATCACCGCGGAGCAAACAGCGAATGTCAGGCCAGCTGAAGCAGCGCTTTTGATTCGTCATGTGACCCTTGTGTTACGTCGTAGGTTGGACACAGTCCTTGTGAGTGACAACCACATCGGAGTCTGCTGCCGAGTCGTGATGTCATGCCTTCTCTGATGGGCTGCGCAGATGCCTGTTCGTGCAAACTTTAAGGTCACGATGCGGTTCCTCCGACCCACGACAGACATGGATCACCGAGCGAGGGGCCCATCCAGCACAGCCAAGCTGGATTTTTTGCTATTTAGCGGTCTTCAGGTCTACTCTTACAACATGACGGTCTTTGGATCCACTGCTGCCTCTACTTGTCCGGGACCTAGCTAACTGTCTGACCCGACATGAAGCGGCCGTTGCTTTGCCGTGCCGATTTGAGGTGCAGCATCTATTGATTGTCGTGCTTACGGTCGTGATCTTAGCTTCTCACGCTGGATTAACTTCAGCAGCTTCTTGCCTGGAAGCCAAAGCCGAACGGAGCATCATTGGCTGTTGTTCTAGCAACGTGAGAGGCATCCCTGGGCAGGCGACTGTATGTTTGAGTAAACAAACGTTTTTGGATGTTGTGCCCCGGCTTGGGATTCGGTTTCTGAGTCGGGGTTTGATTGGTCGGTCGTTTCGGTTTTAGGCTCGGGCAAATCACAGTACTCTCTTCGAAGGCTTTTTGTTTTTTGCGATGCATTCTTGAACCGTGCGTGGCTGCAGTGATGTTTCGACTGGTCACCACAAGCCATCACTGAATGCCGCGGTGATTTCAAAGCGGATGTAGAAAAGTACTATTGGCCTCATGAAGCATTCGGCACATGTTCACAGGCTTGACTTGCTTGTGGCACAAAGCCTCTGCAGCTACATGCAACTCTGACTGCCGTTGTGCTGACCCTCGGTACTGTCAGTCTTTGTGTTTGCTGGCTTGGATGTGGGACAGCTCGGGCTGTTTTTGCCGTTGAGGGGCTGTACCCAATTCTCGACTTCTCCTGCAAGTGGACCAGTCGCGACCCGCGACCCAGGTGAAGAAGACACAGTCGGCGAGACCTGCAACTCAGTGATTGGCAGCGCCTACCGCAGGGTGCGCGCTCGGCACAAGCTTCATTCGTGGCATCACGACAGCCATCGAGGGGGAGAGAGGGAATGGGCCTCAACAAACTGAATCAGGATCAACAAGAATGGATCAAGATGAAGAAAATGGACAATGCGAGACAGGAAAGAAAGCCAGACAGACAGAAACAGACAGAAAGAAAGAGCAAACTAAAGAAAGAAAGAAAGAAAGAACGTCGATGACGACGGCGACGACTAACACCACTGCGACCTCTACCAGCACCACGTCCGTGTCCGCGACCACGACTGCGACGACCGCGACCGCCACTGCGACGAGGAGGAAGAAGACGACGACTACGACGACGACTACTACTACTACTACTACTACCACCACCACCACTTCGGCCCGGATCTGCCGCTGCTCCTCCTCCTATTCGTGCTCCTGCTCTGGCTCCACCTACTCCGACTCCTACGATTACTGTGATTATTATCATCATTGCTGCTCGGAGGGCAGCCATTACTAGGGTCATGACTATGGCTATGCCAATTACAAATACTGTTACCCTGGTTCTAACCTCTGCATGTATTGTTACTCCTACTATGACTTTGACTGCTTGTGGTGGTAAAGTTTAATGCTGTTTTCAGGGTTTGCGATTCCTGATGTTTTGCTGCTTTTCGAGCCAAGTTCAATTGTTTTGTATCCGTCACCCACTTGTCCCATGCTACCATAGGCTGCAATGGCATCAGTATATGCGAGCCAGGGTTGACGCCTCAACCTGCTTGTGCCAAGCAGAATGCAAAAACAATCACCAGCCGCGAACCCACACGGGATCGCCTCCATGACTCAGCACCGGAAGGAATCCGCAACAGCAGGTCCGCGCGGCCGTGGACGCACCTCACCCCAGCACATGCAGAAGGAGGAGCAATTGAATGCCAAGAAGCCAAGACAGACCGCTACGGCCAGATCCCCTGCCAACAAGCAATACAACAGATGGACTGGCATATCCGAGTAAAAGACGAGGATCAAGAAGACGGACTGTGCAGGGCTTACTTTCAGACGTGGCAGGGCCATTCTGCATGATGCTGCCTAGGACTTTCATGCGGTCGGCAAAAAAACATACCGTCACCGAGCAACGTAGCAGAAGCAGGAAGCTTCTTACACTTGCTCCACATGATAGGAAGCCAATCTGCGTCGATGCCAATTCGGATTCCCGAACAAAGCTTTACCATCCACGGAGGTGTTGTGCAGCCCTACTGTAGCAGGTTGGCATCATGACGCACATGATCAACAAGATTCCGAAGCTATGCGAGGCGGGCAAGCCCGGCCCAGTTTGGATCTCAGTTGTATGGGACCATTTGGGGACTGCATTTGCCGGTCGTCTCAATCCAAGGCCTGTCGTCCACCAACGCTGCCCCTGAAGTTGTGTGCCGGCTTCCCATCGGCGCTGCTGCATTCTGCACATCCGGCAGCTGCGCATGCTGTGCTGTGCATGCATCGTGCCAGAGGTCATGCCATGGGAGCACCGGATAGGCAGCCTCGGTGCCAAGCCTCAGCAAAGAAAGTGCGGTGTCGCAACAAAGCCCCCAAACTGGGCTATGTTGCCGCAACAGGTTCTCGATACTCAGAGGCGCATTGGGATGGAATCACGCTGGCGCCTTGATATGCGCCTCATGGGTTTCTTCCACTTTCGCAATGTATCCCAGACTGGCCCAGGTTTGGACATTTCGCTGCCGACGACTGTGGAAGGCCTTCCATAAGTTTCACGCCCGGGCCTTGCACGCCAGCATCTGGTGCTCGTGACAAGCTGCGTTGCTTCGATTCCTTTGGTGGCGCGTATTGATGTGAGAAGGTCTTGACATCTGGCATGCCGGATCGGTAAAGGGACCCTGTGACCCTGTGGCAGACATGAGGTACAATCCCACCAACGTCGACACCGCGTTTCCGCAGTTGTTCTCCGAAGTCAACTGGCTCCCATCTGTGGAGGCCTGTTCCAGACTCGGCCTGTCTTCCCAGCTTTGAAGACCGTTGATTTTCTCGTTACAGCAGTCCAGCCTCCGAAGTTGCAGTATTGCTGTATCGCTCGGCGAGTTATTTGGCTTTTGCAGGCCACCGCGCGAATGTGGATCGGCGAGTCCAGCATCACTCACAACAAGGTGCCTATAGCTTCAACGAATCAACTTTCAACTACGCTTTTGTCGGTTTCTCGCCAGCCGGTGCGTGTACTGATGCCTCCAGGTTCGGCTGACCGGAGATCTCGATGGTGCAAACCAGATGGCTGACGCCCCAGCATCTGGCCCTGCCAAGCGCAGCTCCATCTTTGCCTGGATGACTCTGTGCTTCAGACTCTGACGGATGTGGATGGTACACTCCTGGGATCGTCGCAAGCGGATGGATCTGCACGCACCTCAGGCGTCATGGAAGAAGAGAAGCCACAACAAATCGTTTTGTTGAGTTACGTGAGCGATGACCTTGCTAAGTTGGTCACCGTCTACAATCCGGGGCTGGCAGAGCAAAGCTGCACGACATGGCCCCAGTGTACTGCCAGCTCGACGCTCTTTTGCGCTCCTGTCCACAGTGCCACTCTGTACCACTCTGGGTTCAGACCATGGTGCGAGAGCCAAGAACCAGCAAATTCAACTTCTCCACTGCAAGGTAGAAATTTTAAGTACGGGTTTGGCGAGTGTGTGTTTGGAGTGTCTTTATGCACCTAGAGTGTCGCACAAGTCCAGATATTATGTTGATGCGCTGGTGCAATGAGGGAATTTGGTGGCAGCTACTACAGCTGTCCTGATCTGCGGCTGCGCTACATGACCTGGGAGGTGCCCTGGAGCTTCGCGTTTGCTCTCGCCATACGTGTCGAGAAATTTTCTTGTCGAGGCAGTTGGAGGTCCATCCCACCGTGTCCTCAGCAAGTTCAAGGCACCAAGTTCACCCACTCACAAGAGTCAGGGCCAGGTGCACAGCCTTCGGAACAGACGAAGTCTGATGCTCGTGCACAGGCCTGGAGAGCCTCCGATGACCGCTCTACTTGGTCTGCGGGTGGGAAGACTCAGCTTTTTTTGCACCTCCCATCCCCTTTTGAGCAACCCTCGTTGTTGCAGGTCCACAGCCTGACAAGGGCTGCACCCCGAGATCGCCATGTCCAGAAATGGTCGCACCTCTGACTCTAGCACCCTGCAGTCTTGAGGTTGCATTCCTGACGAAGCTGAGCAAGACCGAAACTGGAAGATTCGTACTCTCCTGATGGGCCTGTGATGCTTGCATTCTGCACGTAAGAGCTGAAGGTATGCCAGGCTGATGTGTTTCTGCGAGGTCCAAATGACATGTACAACCTCACCATGTGCGAGCTTTAGCATTCCCATTCGGTCTTCAGTCTCGAAGCATCTTTCAGTGGTATTTCTGCCAACCCACAGGTTTACATCTCCACCAAAGCACCATCGATTGTTCTGGTTCAACGACAACCAGGATCTTCATTTTCGGAGGGAATCCTGCCATAGCGAGTCCGAGCTGACTATGAGTGTGGGGGCAGAAGATGACAGGACGAAGCGATCCGACTTGACATCTTCTTGACCCAGCCATTCAGACTGGAGGCAACTTGCACAAGTCTTAGCAGCACGACTGCTTCATTCAATTGTGAATACACAGGTTTATGTTGATGGCGCCCTCATGCCGGAAGATTCCTACGACACTGCCAAGCCATGGACCTGGACTGGCAGGTGCTAGGAGAGCGGACAACATGTTGCCATCGACATTGATCTATCCCGTCTGGATGATGTCAGTGAAGAGCAAGCGCGATCATTTTCCCTTTGTGAGAACATGTCGCCGCGCGGTCAGATTCCGCAGTAAGGCTGGAGCCTCCGCGATTGCCGGAGCTCTCCGATGCGCATGGGTCCTATGCCTTCGATCCGCACGCGTGCCGGCCTTGCCCGAGTCTGGCCGAGCCTGTTTGGAGCAGAGAGCTGGGGACTTCGCTGCACTGTGCCGAGGCGTCGCTTCTATGTCATTATGAAAGGTGGAGTTTTTGGTGGTCGCGTCTTCGCCTTATCAGCCAGCAACGTTCCGTCGCTTCTGGAGAAAGGCTTCCATGCTTAGTCTGCAAGGCTGCCACGAGGGGCGGTGGCTTCATCCTGCTGCGCCTTCTGCAGGCAAGCTTTGGTCAGGTGTCCTGTGGCTCGCCAACGGGGTCTGGGATTGTGGCCGAGCCAGGTGGTTCAGATCTCAATGACCGTGCGAGGGCCCCAGGGAATTCGCACGGACGACGCCCCGTTCGCCTTCGTTCCTAACCTTGGCTGTCCGTTTTGTTTCACCTTCCTCCATCCTTCGCATCCTTTTCCTTCAGGGCCGTGCCTTTCAGCACCTTCGACGGAGATGCCGTGATCAACAACGTGGCAACGCTGTGGGATGCTCGGATTTAGTGCGAACCCTCCAAGGAGGGCAGGAATTGCTTTTGCTGCTCTAGAAGCACTGTATGTGCGGCACTGGCTTTGCCTGTCCAAGGCTGCAGATCGACCCCTCGCGCATCAAGATCGTCTCTGTGCAGAGCAGAGCAAGCCTGGCAGGATTATCAGTTTCCAAATTGCTTCGACATTCCTCCATGTCATGTCATATATCTTACGAGATTGAACTAAGCAGCAGGAGCGTCGTCTTCTGAATTGGGTGTGCAAGCATCTTCCGAGGCTATGGCACACTATCGTAGTCACAGCACGATGTGTTGATAGTTGTGGATAGTCAGCACGTGGAGTTCAGCTCCTTGCTGCACAAGTTGATGAGCATGAGATAGGAAATCTAATTGAATCAAGGCTATTGCTGCTTAGTATCTGTTGGAACTTTGTAGATAAAGTTGGAGCATTCGCCTTCGGTGGATGCGAGACTCTCGGGGCGCAGCCGGCATTCATGGACGAGGGCCGGACAGAAGCTGCGAATTAGTAGTGCAGCTGAGAAACGCATGGTGCTCTCAGTCTCTGAAGCATTTAAACCTATGGATCGTGGCGAGATGAATGTGTTTTGGAGTCCAGTTCACAAGCATTCCTGATGAGAACCTGCCAAATGACAGACGTGGATTGAATCGCAGCACCATGTCCTGCATTTGAGACGGTACGACTTTGAGCCAGGCGGAAGTTGCTGCCCAAGGAGGACGTCTGCTGCAGGCTGATGACGGAGTGCCCAGGTCTGAGGGAACTCGAAAGGGCTGTACAAAAGGAACAAGCTGTAGCCGTCACTAGCTTCCGGGCCGTAAGCATGAGGTCTCTAATCTTCCAGATCGTGGAGCCGAATCCAGAGCCCGTGCCTGGAGAGGCGAGGCCGAGATGAATGTCATGCCGTCCAAGCCCTAACAGCCCTTTTAACATGGGATGTGAACAGGCTTTCTCTGAGTCTGGAGCCCCGCATGGACCTTACAAATCTGTGACGGTGGTGACGCAGAGTGCTAAGACAGCCATGGATCCAGGAAGGCCCCGCCTGGAAGTAGCCAGTGGAATTAGCCTTGCTGCGCAGCAGTCTGGGGATGCATCGCTCTGGTTACTGAGAGCGCCCAGTGGGGCCCAAAGGCAGCGCAGCAAATCTCAAAGGCTGGCTGTTCTCTGAGGCCTCCGAATGGTTCTTCCTGGGAAGACGTGGTTCCGGCGGCCCCAGAACCAAACGAGACAGCCCAGAACCAGACCACAGGACTGTCCTGCACCCTTCACTGCAGCACCGCAACTTTGCGTGTGTACCGAAGCCATTTGCAGGAGAGGACTCCACAGAGAACGCCTTTGAGTACAGCGAGCAGGGCCTTCAAGAGTTAGCAACTCTGGTGCAGCATGAGGCTCAGCGCACTCTTGACAAGGACGACTGCTTGCTACAAATGCTTGGTACGGACACATAGAGACTGAGACGCTCAATCGCCCGAGGGTCTTGCAAAATGCTTCGGAAGCGGGCAGCTCAGAGCTACTCCGAACTGCTTTTGCATCTTACGCAGTTTCGGCACAGTTCGCCTTTGGCTGCATCATCGCAGACCGGGGCCTTGTCACAAGCCCTGAACGCAGACGTCATCATCGAGAGTGCACCGGCCTTGGCTGAATGATTTGTTCACGGCTGTGCCGCTTGTTGACGGGCATGCGTTGCTCAGATCGAGCTGACGGATACCACTCAGCCCGAGGCTGGACGCCTGAAGCAGTCTTTGATCTGTCAGTCTCTTTTGCCAGGGCTCCATGGCCCTCGCTCCACGCTCCTGCTTGCTCCCTCCGGCTCTCTCTCGCGTCTCTCTCTCTCTCTCTCTCTCTGTCTCTGTCTGCGTCTCGCCTAGGGCAGCTATGATTTGAGAGTTCTGGGAACCTTGAGTCGCAACGCTGTGGTGAGAATCAAAGTTGATGCAATCAAGCCAAGGAAACCCGGCTCCTGTGTGTGAGCTTGATGGTTGAAGAGTGCAGACATTTGTTGCAAGCTTCTTCCCCTCACTCGGGTTGTTCTGCGTTCGCAACAAAAGTGAGGATTATTGAACACTGCCATTAGCAGTGGTACAGGCAATGTGGCCGAGTAGTCTACCCCCAAAATATTCGTGGAACAAGGACAGGGGGTTTGAGAGCATGTGGCTTCATGCCGCTTGTGGATGCGAGGCCAACATTACCGATGCCAATGAGACCAACACCACCACGTCTACTACCACCACCACGGTCAACAATGAGACCGCAGCCAGACCCTTTCTCCGGGTAAGAAGCAGTGTGCTTGTCGACTGGCGAGCAAGTCAATGAGGCTCCGGAGATCGAGGAGGCCAAGCCAGTGCCGATATCTTCGCAAAGAGGATTGATTATGTTTCAAGTTGTCATTGTTGAATCTCTTGCAGGACACTGGCCTGGTGCAGTCTATCCTCATTGGGGTGTGAAGCTCATGATTTACTGCAGATGCTGCCGGATCTGCAGCTTCTTCTCACCTGAGCTCACTGCTAGGCTGCTGTCGGTGTCGGCGTTGGAGTTCTGATGATGGGGGTTGGTTACATCGTGCGGAACCTCAGGCTTGTTCCAGCTTGGCGATGTTCCTATGCTTAACTCCACCAGTGCATGCGACAAATGTTCACATCCATCCGTTTCGCACTTGAGCAGGAGTAGCAGCAAGTCACTGCTTGCAGCAGGTAGTTGATTGAACTGCAGAAAACACACCTGCACACACTGAGAGGTATTTCGATACTTAATTAAGAGGAGGGGAGTGGATTGCAAGCAGCTATGCTGCATGTGCCGCCGAATGTACCATGCCGTTTGCGTGTGGTCACACAGAGTGATTGATCTTGTGCTGGTGTGTTCTGCCAAAGCCGTGTGTGGTTTCAGCAGCTCAAGGTGAGGAGACGCCTCTACTCCAGCACTGCAAGCTGCCCAGGAAGGCATTTGATCCCTGCGGCCGTCGTGAGAAGAGAGACGGTCACCCAGGTCCATCATTCTGACGGCGACGTCCAGCCTCTCAGCCCGGTGTAGGCAAGCAGTGTCGCAGTGCAGAGCATTCAGCTGCGAAGATCTTCGTGCGAAGATGATCGAACTTCTTCCAACGTGCCAGGATGGCCTTCGTGGCAGCTGCATGTCATCTCACCTAGCCTCGCCATCGGCAGCCAGAAAGCTGTAAGTATATGTACATACATGTGTATATATATATATATAAATGTACATATATATATATATACACATATTTTACATTCACAGATACATATACATCTACGTACATATATATCTACGTACATATACGTAGATATACACATAATTATATTTTTCTCTGTACATACAGTATTCTTCAAGTTCCATCGAGGTCGTAGGCCCACTTGCGGAGTGCAAGCGAAGAACACAACGACGAGCAAAGTTACCTGGCATGCCGCAATGCTCCCCAGCCTCTTGGAAGAAGGGAGGCTGAGGCGTCTGAGACTTGTCGTGGTTTTGATGCAGAAGGGCAGTGATCGTCCTAGTGCATGCACACTTCGGACACAGAGGGGGCTGATTGAGCCTCCTGTAGCCTTTGAAAAGTGCTTTCGCCGCTGTTGCGATAAAGCGCGTGGTAAACAGCAACTGGACTAACTGTGAAGGGTGTCCCCTGTTCTTTGATTTAAGATGACACTGAACTGAACGTAAGCATAGGCTCAATATGGCAACGCAGCGGCCGTAGACCATAGGAGCCGCTCGAGCAGGCTCACCACGTCTGCTTTTGAGTGCACAACGCTGCTCGACTCTTTGACACGCCGTGGCAGGGTGTCAGACGGCCGTGCGTCTTACTGTAGCAGTCCCGCACATCAGTCCTTTACCAAAACGCATAGCTCAAACAGCAGGTGCCTCAAAACTCGAACTAAGCGGAGCCTTGGCCGCGTTAAACTAGCTTGCTCGGAGATAGTACGGCCTGGCAGAGACCTTTGTTACCTTGGGAGACCGGAGCGGAAGATAGGAGAAGATGCAAGCGGGGCAGCAACATCTCCACTAAGTGGTTGAAACTTTGGACCTTCCCGCGACTTCTGCTTCTGTCGAGCAAGAGGCGTGTTTTCGGTTGCGTCACGACGTCCCTACAGGACGCACTCACTCCGAAGTGTTTGATGTTGCATCCTGCCATTCTTGGGTCGTGGTCGCCATGCAGTCGTATACAAGTTGCGGCATGCCGTCGGCCATTGATCGCAGAATTTATTTCCAAACCCCTGTGCGCGCAACCCAACTCGTAGAGTTGAAAGAAAAGGGTGCGGTGCCGGCGCGATGCCCGTGCTGCTGTGCTTTCGTGGATGCTGCCTGTCGGAGACGGAGACGCCAGTACCCAAAGCGCATCTGGTGTGAATTTCTGTGGCCATGTGGCTCCTGCAGAGACTGACATGGCCGCGTGCATGTGGAGCCATGGCCCCGTACCCAGTGATGACGGTTGCAGCAGCACAGTGTCTGAAGCGACTTCACAGCACCGTGTGCCTTGGCCTTCGCTTCCATCGAGAGCCGAAACTAAGGCTTTAGAGGCGGTTTTGGAGCCAAAGCGTGATTGGGAGGCGTGGCTCTCTCTCTCTCTCTCTCTCCCCGTCTCTCTCTGTCTCTCTCTCTGTCTCTGTCTCTCTCTCTCTCTCTCTCTCCCTCCCTCCCTCCGTCTGTCTGTCCCTCCGTCTGTCTCTCTCGCTCTTGTGTCAAGCATGGCAACTCCATGAGTGAAAGTGACGAAAGTCAAAGGAGTTTCGAGCATGGATGGTAAAGCAGACGGGAAGGACTCCGGACGGACGGAGGGATTGGGCTTTCGCATGGCGATCCGACCCGCATGCCAGGAGAGATTTTGTCGTACCGGCATGCGTTGGCTTTAGCTGGCCACGGGCTCGGGCTTGGCTGCTTTGCTCCTTGAGAACTTCGACCCCACCGAAGCAGATACTGGTACTTGTAGAAACAACCGGGAAGGCCCCGAGGTGAGTCGACATCCAAGGCCTGAGCGTCGCTGCTGGGAACGGCGACAATGTGAAATCTGCTTCAGCATCTCTCCACGGGCCGGAAACCCTGGTTTCACTGCTTCAGTGCGTGACCTAAAGAAGTTTTGGCATGCTGCTGTGCACCCGCCGGCATCGCCGCCGCGCCGGGCATGGCCTCCGCGGGTTACGAGTACTTGAACTACAACATGACAGGCGGGCACAATCAAGTCCTCTAGAGGTTATTGGTTTCATTATCCGTCCTATTGATGGTCGACTCGCCGTGCGAGGTGAATTCACACCTTTCATGGTTATTGGGTATTTTGGCCTCACGACCTTCCTCACAGCCTTTGCATTTGGCTCCTACCTCGTCTTGACCAAGCTGAAGATCATCTAAGAGCACCTTCAGGCTGCACCAGGAATCCAAACCATGTAAGACGTCGTTTTCATTTCGTGTTCTGAATCTCCGAGCTTTCGTACCTTTGCGGACTAGGGCGGGACATTACATGCAGGCTTCTATATCTTGGCTTCAAGGAGCATTTCGTCCAAAATATCCGGGAGTTGTTGGATGCGAGCGGGTCTTGCGGAGATTATTCTCTACATTCGTGGCCATCTTCTCAACCTGTCGCAGGCATCATATTACTGAATATTATCATGACACTGCATGGACATGGAGGGTGCATCTGGGACGTTCCAAGATGGTACTTGGTATTGCAAGTCAGAATATCAGGTTAGTCAACCAACCTCGATATCGCATCTCGTGGGGCTGCAAGAGTTTCACTTATTGAAAAGCTCAAGGACGTGCAACTATTTTCGGGATGAGCAGGCAGAAAATGCGACCAAAGTCAAGGCCCGTATTTCGCTTGAGTGCCACATGCATGCGGCTATCGTTGTGGATGTGCAACAGGGGGCGCCGGGTTTCCCGCTGGTCTAGGTTCGTGTTTTGCGCGTCCCGGGTCTTCTGGGTCTTGTGCGTTCCGGATCTTGCAGTTTGTGGATGTTATTGGTGTTGTGCATGTATGTGTATTTTTGGTGTTTCGGGTCTTCCTGGTTCACGCTGTTCTGCGTTCGGTGTTGTGGTCCCTTGTTCTGGGTTTTCGGGGTGGTTTGGGTGTTCCGGGTATTCTGGGTGTTGTGTTTTCTTGGGGAATTCGGGATTGTGGTTCTGGGGCGTTTAGGGTTCTATATCTGGCATCGATAATGATATGTTTAATTTCACGAAAGCTAGCGTAGCTAGTCTTTCGTTTCTACTACGTGAGTAGTGTTCAGCCAAACCCTAAACCCTGAACCCTACACCCTAAACCCCAAACCCCCAAACCCTAAACCCTAAACCCTGGCGGGCGAAATCCCCGAGTCAAGGGCTCAGCGAATGCCGAGGGAAGCGAAAGTTGCGTCGAAGAGACTCTTTGCTCTGAAACCCCCCGGCGCTCGGCCTTTGGAGCCAAAGCTACAGAGCTACAGCTGTCGCCAAGGCATTGCCTGGAGTGAACTCGCCATGGGCTCTTGGAACAGAGCGTCTGCGACCTGAGGCGACCTGCGTGGAACGCAAGGCCTAAAGCCTCAAGATTCGAAGTGTCGTCGCCAAGGCATTGCCTGGAGTGATTCCGTCGGTTATAAATTAAGGCGACAGGCGTGGAACGAACGCAAGGCCTAAAACGAAAATTTGTGGCCGGCGCGATGCCCGTGCTGCTGTGCTTTCACGGATGCCGCCTGTCGGGGACGCCAGTACCCAAGCCCTGCCCTGCCCTGGCCCAGGCAACCATGCAACCCCCCTTCCCTCCCGCCCCCCGCACCCTAAACCGCACTGCGCCCTCACGAAACATCGGGCCACACCGATGCGAAAAGAATTTCGAATAGAGGATGCGCTGTAAAAACCAATACAAACGGCATGTCCCCCCTCTCACCCCACACGCATGCACGAAACATCGGCCACACCGACGCGAAAGGCACTTCGAGTGCAGCATGTGCTGTATAAAAGCCAACACAAACGGCATGTCACCCCTCTCACCCATCACACGCATGCGCGAAACATCGGCCACTCCAGGATGTGCTGTGAAAAACCAATATAAACGGCATGTCGGTCTTCGCGTGTTTACGTCAACGTCGGAGCCATCAACAACGACAGTGGCAACACCTCATGCACGAAACATTGGCCACACCGATGCGAAAGGCATTTGAGTGACGGCATGGCCGCCATGCACCCGCACGAGGGGATGTTATTGCCAGTGGATTCAGACTCTCATGCACTAGTGATGGCGGGTCATGCACTAGTGATGGCGGGACAAGCCCCCCCCCAAGGTTGTTTTCCGGAGAGGCTCAGCTGTACTTTCAGTTCTCTTTTTCTCCCTCTCTCTAACAACAACACAACACCAACAACAGCACCACCACCACCACCACCAAGAAGAAGAACCCCGAGATCCACCCGCGGCCTAATGTAAATACCACATTTTATAAGCAGAAGTTGGCAACAGAAAATCGGAAATTGGTGGAAACCCACAAATCAATGAAACTCGCCGAATTGCCGGTGAATGCACCTGTTTCCAGCAGCCATCCTTGAAAACCTTGGATTTGCCGTGTTTCTGGCCATCGGAACAGCTGAAATGGGAAGAACCACCCGCGGCCTAATGTAAATGGCACATTTTATAAGCAGAATTGTAACAGAAAATCAAACCCCAATTTTCCGTTGGCGATGCCGAAAGAGTCCCGCAAATCCATGGGGGGGGATTGGGGGAGTGATGACGTCCATGCGAATGCGGCTTGTGTCTTCAGTTTCTTTGGTTGCGATACTTCTCAAACGCTACCAGTTGCTCTGTCAACCCGTGCTTGCCGTTTCTTGTTGCTTCACTTTGGAAACGTCCACCACGAAAAAACTTCGTGTTTTTGAAGCTTTCCAGACAAAAACTTCAAAAATGAGCTTGAAAATCAACATAAACCAAACACGAAAAACATGGTATTTGCGAGACTTCCGCAAAAACCAGCCCAAAATCACAAGACAGAGAATTACAGAAATTTTAAACTCCGATACATCGTGATGAAAACCACACAAAACACGGGCTTTCTACTTTTTGACCAAAAAACCTCCCAAACATAAACGAAACACCCCGCGCGGCGGCAGACGCAACGCCTTCCTTCTTGTTGTTGTTGGCTCCGACGTTGATGTAAATGCGGGAAGACCGACCAGTCTAAATACTTCTGCTAATCCGAAACTCGAGACCCTGCACCCCAAACTCCAGCGGTTTCTCAGTAGTCGCCAGGAGCTGGTGCAGCTCTTCGAGCGCACCACATTGCTGAAAAAGTCCTTGCGGTGCTGAGGTTGGATCAGACCCTGCTTGTGCGGTATAACCGCAAAATAAAGCAGGCCGTGGAGCACGGGAAGCCAATCAAAAAAAACCTTGTTCAATCAATTTTTTTTTTCAATCAAAAAAAACTTTTTTTCCAATCAAAAAAAAACTTTCCCTTAATAAAGGAAGCACGACAGGAAGGAAGGAAGGAAGGAGGGAAGGCAGGAAGAAAGGCAGCAAGGAAGGATGGCAGGAGGGAAGGCAGGAAGGAAGGAAGGAAGGAAGGCGGGGAGAAAGAGCGAGGAAGGAAGGAAGGAAGGAAGGAAGGCAGGAAGCAAGGAAGGAAGCAAGGCAGCAAGGAAGGAAGGCAGGCAGGCAGACAGGAAGGAAGGCCGTACTACTACTACTGCTAACGCTACTACTACTACTACTACTACTATTATTACTATTACTATTACTATTACCATTACCATTACGATTACTATTACTATTACTATTACTATTACTACTACTACTACTATTACTATTACTATTACTATTACTATTACTATTACTATTACTATTACTATTACTATTACTATTACTATTACTATTACTATTACTATTACTATTACTATTACTATTACTATTACTATTACTATTACTATTACTATTACTATTACTATTACTATTACTATTACTATTACTATTACTGATTACATTACTATTACTATTACTATTACTATTACTATTACTATTACTATTACTATTACTATTACTACTTACTACTACTACTACTACTACTACTACTATACTATTACTATACTATTACTATTACTATTACTATTACTATTACTATTACTATTACTATTACTATTACTATTACTATTACTATTACTATTACTATTACTATTACTATTACTATTACTATTACTATTACTATTACTATTACTATTACTAATACTATTACTATTACTATTACTATTACTATTACTATTACTATTACTATTACTATTACTATTACTATTACTATTACTATTACTATTACTATTACTGTTACTATTACTATTACTATTACTATTACTATTACTATTACTATTACTATTACTATTACTATTACTATTACTATTACTATTACTATTACTATTACTATTACTATTACTATTACTATTACTATTACTATTACTATTACTATTACTATTACTATTACTATTACTATTACTATTACTATTACTATTACTATTACTATTACTATTATTATTACTATTACTATTACTATTACTAGTACTATTACTATTACTATTACTATTACTATTACTACTACTACTACTACTATTACTACTACTACTACTACTACTACTACTATTACTACTACTACTACTACTACTCCTAGAACTACTACTACTATTACTACTACTGCTACTGCTACTGCTACTACTACTACTACTACTACTACTACTATTACTACTACTACTACTACTACTACTGCTACTGCTACTACTACTACTACTACTACTACTATTACTACTACTACCACTACTACTACTACTACTACACATGGAGAAAGTTTTTTTTGATTGGAAAAAAGTTTTTTTTGATTGGTGAAAAAGTTTTTTTTGATTTTCGCTGAAAGTTCTTTTTTTGATTGAAAAAATTTTGATGGGTTTCCCGCGCAGCACATCCATGACCACCTGCAAAGCAGCGATGCCGAGGACAACAAGTGCACTTCGTGCGCATGCCAGTGCATGTTCGGTGCGATCTTGCATCGAGGCCTCGGACTCCGAGACGGAGTCAGAGGAGGGCCGCCTCACCAAGGTTGTGTTCGGGCGAGCACACTTGGCGGCTGGAAGTGCCACGCTTGCAGGCGCGGCTGCAGCGCCTTGCCGGCGCGTAAAAAAGAACGGCGTGATCTGTTGTTCGAAGGAACTTTGTGTGGCCATTCCGGGGTTTGGAGGGCTGTTTTGCAATTCGTGTGGCTGTTCCTGCTTTATAGACACGGTGAGGTGGCTGAAGGTTTTGGGGATGGATGAGTGTTTCGTGGCTTCACAGTCAACTTTCTTTGTGGGTCGACTCCAGGCGATGCGGCAAGCTGCTCTTTCCAGGAGCAGCTCTTTGGGGGCACCAAAGAGCTCAAGGAGGCTTTGCAGTGCTGAGGTTGGATCAATCCTTGCTTGTGCCGTGTAGCAGCAAAACAGATGATCGAAGAGCTCCAGCAAGTCCTCGATGGCGACGAGGACAAGGGCACTTCGTGCTCAAGCCAGTGCATGTTCGGTGCGAACTAGGAGGCCTCCGACTCCGACGCGGCGGAGTCGGAATGCGGCCGCCTGACCAAGGTGGGTCTCTGAGGGTCTGTGTTCGGGAGCACACTTGGCGGCTGGACGTGGCGCGCTTGCAGGCGGCGCTGCAGCGCCTCGCCGGCGCGTGAAAAGACAGCATGAAGTGTGCAGCGGAATGCGACTACCGACTATCCGGACCCTCCAAAGTATGTAAAATAATATCATTTCAGACAGAACAGCATTTTCAGGCACAAGTCTTGAAAACAGCACCGCAGTGGAAACATCCTTTATTTGTTGTTCGAAACAACTTTGTGTGGCCATTCCGGAGTTTGGAGGCTGTTTTGCAATTCGTGTGTCTGTTCCTGTTTTATAGACACAGTGCGGTGGCTGAAGGTTTTGGAGCTATGCAAGTTAGGGTAGAGAGTGTAGGATGGATGAGTGTTTCGTGGCTTCACAGTCAACTTCTTGGTGGGCCGACGCCGTGAGATGCAACGCTCCAGCACGACAGGTAAGGATTTGAAATGCTGTGAGGAGGTTTGCAGGAACACTTAACCGGTTCTATGCCTGAGAGCCATGAAGCTTCCGAGATTGCGATCATCGTTTTGCATGTTCGATGTGCAGGGAGATGGGTGGTCTCACATCTATTGTTGTAAACGCGCTGCAGTAGATTCACGTAGACTCTGCCGTGCACATATGTGGTAACACTCGGACTGGTTGACCGATCCCAAAGCACGACCAAGCCAAACACACACGGGAGAAAATAAATTAACAATCGTGGCCCGCACCTGGTGCAGCTCAAGGTTAAACGCTTTTTGTTCGAGGGCTAGAGTGACTGCCCAAAGGAATCTCAAGCCAACACAAAATCGTGAAGCATCGTGAAGCCAAAAACACCTGAAGTCGAACTTTCGAAGCCTGAAGCGGGCGCAAACACCTGAATTGCTTCAGGTAAAGCTGCGAGGCAGCTCAAACGCCTGAAGAGCAAGCAAAAGTCCTTGAAGAAACGAGGCGGAAGTGGCCGGACAAGTTCGAAATGCATCATCCCACACCAAGAGAGAAAGCCTGAAGTAGGAGGCAACATGAAATGCGCGAACCCCTGCAGCGAAGCCCCACGCGCAATCTCCGCAAATGTCGAAGCTTCGATGCTAACCACACAAACCGTCTTCAGTCAGTCTGATGCCGTTGATGGCTCCATTGATTTAAACTTCCTCCTGCTGCAATCTGCTACGGGCATCTGGAATCACTTGCACAAGAAAGCATGTGAGCGCCCAAAGTGGGGAGTTAACTTCACAACCCTATTCAGTTCAGAATGGCACAGTTGCTGAGGTTAGCAGGCATCACTGTCCAGGGTCATTGAATCAAGGCAGCTAGAGCAAGCTGGTCGCCTTACCTTGTTACGGATGTGCGGTCCCAGGAGATTCCGCGCTCAGATAGTAATTTTCATCTGGGCGGGGGGTCCATGCCTGGGGCATGGGGAAAGGAACCGCAGAGAACCAGACCCCGTCTGACATTTCGATGGCTTCGATGGCTTGGTGAACGTCGACGTGAGCTCGAGTTTTTGACTTTCACCGAATTGAGGATAGGCACAGTCGCCGCGGCCGCCGTCCGTCGTCGCAGGAAGTTTCACCGCGTTTCATGTAAAACAAAAAAGCCCTAACTTTAACTGACCTCAGACCCTAAACTTCGACACTTTAAGCCGGACGCTAAACCCTGGACGCTGTGTGCACGCAACAATGTGTAGATGTTCGTATCTGAGAATAGTCTGAGCCGCTCAGATGTCAAGTTCGCACTGCACAGGGCAACCGCTCAACCGAAGTCGGCCTTGCCCGAGTCACTTACATCATTCCCGTAGCCAATTCAGACGGAGGGAGATGGGGAGAGGGGGGATAGCCGGGAGAGGGGGGAGAGGAGGGGGAGGAGGGAGAGGGGAGGGGGGAGAGGGGAGAGCCTATCCCTACTCTACCTATCCTTATCCAATCTTCCCAAACTATTTATACCTATTGCAATTTAAGATCTACGAAATCTACGCGGCGCTAAAATGTGCGAGTCTTCCCTCCCTTCCAATGGGCAAAGGCACCTTCACAGGGCCCGCAGATCTAGTCCCTGATGTCTTCTATCCGAAAGCCCCGCAGGGCGACATGCCAGATGCTCAGAATCTAGGGCAGAGGCACAGGGATGTCCGAAATAGGGCCAAGAACCGACCCTAGCAGCTTCGCGATCGGCCTACGCAAGTTTCACAGAGACTTAGTTTGTTGAACGGAACAGCCCTAAGCATAAGCCTGTCGCGAAGGCCCTGTGAGGACCCAGATTGCACAAGCTTGCATGCAGCGATGTCTGGTTGGGGCGCGCGCTAGCACCAGAATGCGGGTCACAATAAACTCGCGGGCTGCTTCATTACACACGTTCGATTGTTTATTTCTGACCATGAGGTTTGGCTTCGGCCGTAGCCGCAGTGTCGAGTTCGAAGCGATTTCGAGAGCAGCATCCGAAGCAATCCTTGCAGCAAGCGATAGAGGTGTTCCAAAATGAAATGTTAATAACCTACAGAATGGATCCGCGTCCTCAACCTCCCTGTCAGCCACGCTCGGCGCTGAATCGTAGTGGTCCTAGTACTGGCTGAGACCGAGGCCGGCGAAGGCCTTCAAAGCACTTCGACTCGCAGCGAAACGCGGCTTCCGTGCGCTCTCCTCTCACGGATGGATACCTCAGGCTCGGGTGGCAAGACTCGGACTTGGCATGGCCTTGCGCGCTTGCGCAGTCAGACGGCAATTCTGAAGGTTCGAGGAACTGCAATTTTGGTCTGGAGGGCGCTCGTGAAAGCTGGTATTTTGTATGAGAGAGCGAAATCACAGGACCCGCGCGATGCGACACTGGAGCGTTTTTTGGCCCTGATATTCCAGACCGCGCCTGCCAGGAGTGGATGCAGGCAAGGGTCTCGGACCGTGGCTTCTTTAGAATGCCGTCGGGCGTCACTGCAGTACTGGCCTGGCCTCACCGCCACCCTGGTGGCAGAAATTTGGCCTGCAGACTGGGAGATGTTTCCTGCCTGCTTTCGAGCGTTTCCATAATATCATGCTGATTGCGTCCACCGAGGAGATACAAAAAGAGAGCTGGGCGAGGCAGAAGGGACACGACATCGACGGGCACTCCGGCCTTATCAGCCTTATCAGCAAAGGAAATCTGAATCTGCGCATCCCTTCATGGCCTAGGTTTCAATCTGTCCTCGCATAGCAAAATCTATCGAACGGACGGACAAGCCATATCCGAAGGTCTGTCGAACTGCCACTTTAAAGTGCGTGCAAAACCTCCGAGACAAACACGAAGAGTCGTCTTATACGTGGAGGAGGGCATCACTCCAGGCAATGCCTTGGTAGGCGACTGCTTGTGGAAGACATCGGCGCCTACACAGAAAATTTGTGACCGGCGCGATGCCCGTTCTTTGACGGATGCTGCCTGTCGGACACGCCAGTACCCAAAGCACTTCTGGTGTGAATTTCTGTGGCCATGTGGCTCCTGCAGATAGTGACATGACCGACTGCATGTGGAGCCATGGTCCCGTGCCTAGTGATGACAGTTGCAGCAGCACAGTGCGTGAATCGACTTCACAGCACCGTGTGCCTTGGCCTTCGCTTCCATCGAGCCGAATCTGAGGCTTTGGAGGCGGCTTTGGAGCCAAAGCGTGATTGGGAGGCGTGGCTCTCGCTCGCTCTCTCTCTCTCTCTGTCTCTCTCTCTCTCTCTCTCTCTCTCTCTCTCTCTCTCTTGTGTCAAGCAGGGCAACTCCATCAGTGAAAGTGCCGAAAGTGAAAGGAGTTTCGAGCATGGATGGTAAAGGACTCAGCGAGTCTTGTCATTTTCAAATTAGCAGCAGAAAAGAAGTTGCCAAGGATTTGCAGCCGCGGACTCCCAGAAGACGGGAAGGACTCGGACGGACGGAGGGATTGGGCTTTCGCAAGACGATCCGACCCCTGTCAGGAGAGATTTTGTCGTACCGGCACACGTTGGCTATAGCTGGCCATGGGCTCGGGGGCTTCGCTTCGCTCCTTGAGAACTTCGACCCCTGACAGACATGCATTGCAGAAGTCCAATCATACCGAAACAGCTACTGGTAGAAACAATGAGGAAGGCCCCAAGGTGAGTCGTGAGGCGGTTTGACACGCTAGCCTCCAGAGACATGCAAGGCATGAGCGTTGCTGCTGGCAACGGCGACGATGTTAAACCTGCTTCAATATCTCTCCACGAGCCGGAACCCTGGTTTCACTGCCTCACTGCCTGACCTAGGATATCTTGGCATGCCTCTGTGCACTCCCAGGTCTGCACTCTACAAACATCCTGTCCCAGTTGTGTTGCCTGCACTGGAACAGGCTTACTGCAGCGGTACAGGTTTGTCAGGTACTTGTGACTTCGATATTGCGATGTCGGGAATCTCCTTCTAGCATGATCTAGCGTGGTAGGTCATACGGGGAAATACTTCTGACTAAGATGTGTGCCAATCGCGCCCTGTGCAGACTCGCCAAAAGTGGGAGCGCGATCGAGTGTGCCAATCAGTCAAGTATGGAGGATCTTACGTCTGCGGCCCAGAGCAGCAAACGACAAAGCCGTGATCGGGACGTTTCGACATTTAGAAAAGATGGGAGCAGTTATCTTGCGCCCTGGCGCAGCAACCATCGACTTCCAAAGCGCGCTTCACGGTGGATTTGCCCTTCGGATCCCAAAACCGTGTGCTGGGCATGGTTTTAAGATGCTTTGGGACTGTGTGCAGATTTCGACATGTCTGAGACTAAGAAGATCATGACTAGCCTTGACTAGACCTTTGCCGTATGATCTATGAGTTTTCGACACCATGGCATTGGAGGCTTGATCCGAGTCGAAGGATCTAGTGATGTCTGGTGTCATGCAGCCTTCTGTTCTTTTCCGACGATGCCAGGCAAGTATTGCTTTGATGCCAAAGTGGATCCGACCAAAAGCGTGCTGGCCTCTCAGATTGCCAAGGACGGGGGATGACCCTTCGTCTGATGTAGGCCAGCTCCCATATCTGCAGCACCAACCTTTGAACACAAATTCGGCTGTGTCTTCAGCCCATTCATCTTTTGTCTTTTGCAATTCTGATAAGATTCTGCTTGGTTGCAGGAGCAGCAACAAGCGCAGGAGGAGGAGCGAAAGATGACCAGGTGCATCTCCAAGGAGTTGCATGATGCACAGCGCCCTTAGTTTCAAAGGCTCCGAAGTTTGCGAGACGTCTCACATGCAGACAAGCATTTGCCGCTCTGAGGCGGAACTCACTGATGAAGATGATGGGTGGAGCCACGGGAGTGCAGGAGATTTACTGTATTCCCTGCCTGGATCGGTTTTCGATGCACTGGTTACTGCATGGCCGCTAGTTGAAGCGCCCTCTGACCTGGGCTGTTGTGCAGGAAGCCCCGGATCCTGCCAAGCGACACCGCATCGTCGAAAAGCTCATCGGTAGAAACAGCGATGGCCTGTGCGACCGGTGGGATCCGGTGTGTGGGCCCGTGCGCAACCCCCTGCAACTAAGAATTCCAACAAGACACCCTGGAAAAGATCTGGGAGGAGTTGGAGCAGGTCGGCTGCAGTGCCGTCGACCATAGATAGAGAACCTCCTGATGTCTGGGAGCCTCGTTTCGTGTCGGACATACCTGGCCAGATTGAAGCTCCGTTTTGCTCGGAGAACGGTCAGGACTTCATCATGCATTCCCTGCGCCGTCAGGCACCGGCGGTGCCGTCTGGGAGAGCCATCGCAGCAGACTTAGATGCATCAGCCAGTGTAGTCTTCGGCGACTGAGCCGTAGTCGCAAGCAAGGCTCTCAAGATGATGTTCAAAGTTAAAGGCGGGCGCTGCATGTCAAGAGCACAAACCCGATCTTTTTTTGGCGGTGCCTCTCCCCGACCTAGCCCCCTGCACCCTTTCCCCTGCCCGCTGTGCCCACTACGCCCTGCCCTACCCTGCCTTGCTGCTCTTTTTGTGGATGCTGGCTAGCTGCTTCTGTCGCAGCCGCCTCGGGTTGCCCATCGAGCCTGGAAGTTGGGGTCCTGAGTCTCTCGATCCTTGAGCCAGAGCAAGACAGACGATTGCCACGTTCAAGGCCCCGATCTTCAACTGGATGCGGAGCAAGTTCAAGCAAGCGGTCAGAAGCCCGGATGTGGCACAGTAGAGGCAGTAAATCAAGTAAAGCAGGAAACTCTTTGCATGGCCGCCCGTTTCCCAGCCGCCCAGAGGTGAAGGCAAACCCGTCCATCGAGCCAGTGAACAAGGATCGGAAGTCACCGTGCACGGGGTGTCATACGCTGCTTTCGGCTTGTGTGCAGGAAGGCTTCTTGGAGTTCTGCAAGTTTTCTGGCCTCCTGCTCGAGTGAGCCCCGCATGCTGACAGAACGCTGCGTTTCTGGATGAAGGGAAATGCCTGACACGTGCACGCTGGGTTGCCAGGTACGAGACACATGAGGACGAGAGACGCCAAAGCTACCAAGCAATCCCTGAAGAATTGGTGTTGGTGGAGGACTAGCGCGTGGACAGCAGCCTCAGTCTCCCGAAGGAGCTGTGTTGTTGCCCACGACTGCGGTCAAGTTGTGATCCATATTCTCAAATGAACACCGAATGACAACGATGATCTCGTAGCAGGGAGGATATGACATCTTAAAATGCTAACCTCGACTCCTTGCCATAGATTGACGACGTGCCAAAGTCCAGGGTCTCTTCGCAGCCTTGGCAAATGCTGACAGACCCCCGGCCCCCCCCTCGTTGCTGCAGTGAAACCCAGACTTCGCCGAAATGTTTGCGGCTGGTCTTAGTGTGATCTCTCGGCTGCAGACTTCGAAGAAGTCGCATGTGCTATCATGTGCCGTAGCCTGGAGCTTTAGCTTTGAATGAAAAGGCTTTGGCGGACTCTTTCTCATGCACTTTCCGCTACACTTAATCTGATCATGAAGACCACGCATCAGTTCATAGGGCCTATAAAGGCATATATGTTTCCTACCAGTAAGTCTTCAGTTCTATACGGTCTGAGCTGACTTCTCCCTCGACCCATGAAGGCCAAGGCGGAAATCGATCCTTGGACGTAGGCTGCTGCGGCGGTTCTGAGCCACCAGACCTTGAGTAAAGTGAGGAGATCTCAGGGCTTCATGGGGCTGTCGAGGTTTTCTGCTTTTTCCAGCTTTGCTACAGGGCTTCGTTGCTTTCGATTGTCGGGGCGGTGGCATTAGCAGCCTCATGGTGGTGGTTGCGGGCCGGAAGGATCACCAACGCCAAGCCGGCATCTAGTAACTAGTACATGAATCAATCGAGCCCGCTCGGATCGCCGCCATGCCACTCCAGCAGCGGCTGTGACCGCACCACATCCAGCTCAAGCGCCATGGCCGCCGAAGTTCACAGGAGAGGGCTTAATCATGTTTAGTTTTGTTTTGCGACTGTTGGTTGAGGGTCTACCAAACTTTTCACCCCACATGGCTTGGGTTTGGCAGCGGCTTGGTGCGGCTGCGGGTAGCTGTGTGGATTACTTGGGTAACTGTGGATGAAAGACGGACACTATGGCCTTGGGGACCAGTTCCCACTTCACCGGCTGACTGCAGAAAAAGCAGCACACAGAGCTGACAACGAGACATCCTTCAGCGAAAAAACTCTGTGGGTGGTCATGCTGCCCTAGAAGGACCCGTGTTGACCACAAGCCCTAAACTCCCAAAACCGTCGTGATGAAACACCGCAGGCTTGCCGTAGCGAACCAGGTGCTTTTGCCGCCGTTGGGTAATGTAAGAGGTGGGGGATTGCTTGGTATTCAGATCTGGAAGGTAGTGCACACCCAGCATACCCTGTTCTACCAAATTGGTTTTAAGAAACCAAATAATTGTAGTGGCTAAACGAACCGACTGCAGAGGATGAACATAAGACAATCCCCTCTTGCCTACCGAAGGACCGCCGGGCAGCGCCGCTCAGTTTCCGCCCGAGCGCTACTTCCCGCATCCCTCGCATGGCCGGCGAGGCATTTCGTTGGTTGGGTGTGCCCTTCATAACGCACAACGATACACCGTTGTTATGCATGCATGTATATATATATATATGTACATATGGTTTGTTTTATAGTTGCCTTTGCATTTCTATTTGTCTTTCTTCATTTAGCATATGTTTGCATATGTATCTACTACATACACATAACATACGCAGAACTCTATATAGTTCTATATACACATGTGCACATGTATACATATATGAACGCACACACACACATGTGTATATATATATATATATACATGTGCGCACATGCATACGTACATACATAAATACATACGTGCACACACCTCCAGATTTACGTAGGTATGGAATAAGCTGCGCTACAGCTTGTTCAATCTGTGTTTGTTTTCAGTGTTACCGATGTCTTTATGGACATAAAACTATATGCATGTCAATGTTTGCTCACTTACGTACATGGCATCTGTGTACTTTCTTGCCCATGCATTGCATAATTATTGGTTGTTGTGAAGTACACTTGCTAGCGTGTGCTGATCTTGTGCCGAATGCCCTGTAAGAGCAAGAAGAGCACATGTCACCAGGGACACGAGTCACAGTCCAGAGAGACAATCAACAAATCGTTCCACTTAACTAGCGGAGAAAGCAAGAGCCGGGAATCGGGATCTCTGGGAAGGCGCCATGCCCTATTGGCAGAAGAAGGGAAGGCCAGAGTAGTGATAATTCCGCCTGAAGACAGACGCAGGGATGGGCACGGCCAAGCACCGATACATGTGGTAGCCGGCCTGGAAGATTCTGCCGAAGTTTGCCTTGTCTGTTGCCGCACGGAAGGAGACCGAGACCAGCTGGGAGACGAACCTGATGCTGAACCATAGCGCGCGGTCCAAAAGGTCGCGTTAAACCCGTGCAGCCAGTTCTGGTCAACATTCTAGAGGTTACACAACCTCAACTCACGAAGTCAAAGAGGACCCTTGAAGGCAGGCGTTGAGGGCTTTAGGGTGAAGAACCGAGTGTCCACTGGTGCGTGATGGTTGCTTTGTCATGATGCAATACCTTGCACGTTGAGCCCGAAGCTTTGAGACTCTGAATGGGTAGAAGTCCCAAAACTGCTCATGACTTCGACTCGATCATCAGGCTTGCTACCGCGGGCACTGTGTTTCTTTGTGTTGCTTTGCGGTTTCTGGGGTTCGCAGTGCGCAGTTTTCCAACCGCTTGAAGCGGTTTTCGCCTAGTCCTTCGGCGTATGAAGATGCCATCCTTGCCAGTGACATTGCAATACCGCTCGACCGGTGGTACAGATGTGGGTACGGCTGCAGCTTCTCATAAGGACAGTTGCAAAGTTTGGAGGCGGTCAACCCGGTTCGAATGCATAACCTTTTTCGTAAAGGACGGCATGAAGTGTGCAACAGAATGCAACTGCCGACCAGACATGCCCGTGTCTTCTCTTTTATTGGGAGCGAACCCGAACACAGTAGGCGGATATGACATGCAAGATCAAGCAAGCATATCATCAGTCCTCCTCCTCTATGTCTGGTGGCTCGCTAGCACTTGTTGCGGGCATGATTAGCCGCTGATGGATGTGCCACGTGCGCAATCCGCAAGGCCAGCTGTTTCAACGGTTAAGGATTCGAAAGCCTTGTAGAAGGCATAGGTAGCACATCCGCACGACAGTCTGCAGGTGGCCCATTGCTGCTGGCTCAGCGTGACAAGGGGTTTTGGAAAGATCAGTCAAAAACACACGTCGAGCATTTCACTGCTTCGTCTCAGGTCACAACTGGCCACTCCAAAAAAGGCGCAGGCCGGGCAACTTTCTGCAGGTATTGTGCCATAAGCGCATGACCACAGAGTCCGTTTTTGCGGTCTTTCGGGCCATGAAACGTAACTCAATGCTGCCATTTGCGGTTGAACAATCTGGGTGCATGGAAACAAAGTCTTTGCCTTGTTAAGCTGGGGACTTCTGGCTAGCCCTGTCTTAAGCCCTTTCTGGAAGGTCCACGGGCAGGTATGCGGGCAGACGTACCAGAACCACCTCAGCAGGGCCAGTCGAAAGCAAAAATCTTTCATCCTTGAGACTGCACATATTTATTTGCCCGAGTTAAGTGGCCTTACCTTTCAATTGTCATGTGGATCGAATCTCTGCAACTGAGAACGCAACCATGCTGAGGTAAGCTGCGGTTCAGCCACCCAGCCCGATATTCATTTCGAAGAGTCGCAGGGGTTGTAAACCAGTTGGGCCAGAGGTTCGAACTTGGAGTCGACTTTTACTCCAAGCCGTTCCGAGCCTCCACGGCTCGAGCCGAATGCATCAAGCTCCCTTTGGCACTGCAACGTGCAATGTACGGGCGTTTTGTGGCTTTCCAGAGCCGGCACGCCATTCTTACCAGCACGGTTACAGGCGGCGCGGTGATGAGTTTGGGCGATACGGCCGTGCAGCTGTCAGGGAGTGGAACTTGGGACTACCAGCGGAATGGCGTTGTCAGTGCATACAACGGAGGACCGACTAAAAGCCGCAACTTGTCCGCAAATTTCATGAAGTTTGCTTTGTTAGCAGCCAGGAATGTCACCTTTCTTCTATTACTGGTGGAAGCACCTGGATAGACTTTGGCCTGGAACTGGGCTAGCAGCAGTGGTGCGGAAGACTCTCATGAACCAGTTGATGGTGGCACCATTCAACAGTGCTTTGTTTTTGACTTGGAGCACGGCTCTGGAGTCAGATCCTCAGCAAGACTGTCCTTGATGTTCCATGGTATGCATTTTGTGAGTTGCTCGGGTGTTTGAGTCACAAACCATAAGCGAATTTGTCACCACGCCTGACACATATGAGCCACCTTCCAAAAGCCCTGAGGTCATTGCTCAAGGGTGACAGTGTGGGAGCGGATGGCAGTGCTTCTGCGACACTTGGTTGCAGTACCAGTGTATGAAATCACTGCAGGAGGCAGCTCGGTGTGTTGTCCGCTTTCGTTGCTGCAGCTGAACATGTCTCGGGATGAAGCTGCGCAAAATTTCAGTCAAGGAAGATGATCTGGGACAAGGCCACGGCCCTGTCAAACCACGTCTCGTTTAGGGTTTACCCTAAACCCTACACTTTCCCAGCCATCCTAAACCCTAAACATTCCTAAACACAACACTTCATATGACTAGGATTTTATACAACAAGCACAATCAAGTACAGTATACTACAATGTAATTCCCTAGTTGCAGCCACGACAGCCCCGATAGGGCAGCCACCACAGCCCTGAGGTCGCCGGCAAAGCGAAGGCAGAGGTTCCGAACCTGGTGATGTCTTCCTGCTGCTTCTGGCTTCCTGCGAATGCAGCCAACTTCATGCGTCTAGAATTCTGCAGCAGGTTTGTCGTTGCTTTTGTAGTTTGCACGTTGCTCTGAAGTCTGGAACCTGATCAACTTGCATCTTCCAGTTCTGCCATTCGATCGCAAGTTTCTTCTGCTTGTGCATCATGATCAGGTTCATGCCTCTGCACTTGCGAGTCGTCTTCATGTCATCCTGCGCCGTTGTCTGGGGAGCCTACATAACTTTTGTGGTACACCGCTGATGCTGAAATGCCTGCACCTTCGTCACCGCCGTGTCGACAGCAGTGTGTTGCGTCGATGTGCCTGCTACAAGCACAACCTCAACGAAAAGCTCTGTCGTCACTGGTGCCTTGCTTCAGCTCCACCCGGATGAGACTTCGAGCGGCTTTCGAGATTTGTCGCAGCGATGGATGCCAACATGTTGCAACTCAGATGGAGAGCTGCACCGCCAAGATGCTCTGCCAGAAGCCATCACGCAGCCGACAGCGTCTCCAGGGTTGAATGCTGCCCCCTGCTGCAGTCTCACAGAATCTCTGAAGTTTCACTGCCGACAGCTGCCTCGATTGGTGATAGCTTGCCGAAACCGCCTGAACAAGGACGTGCTGCTTTCGTCTTGCATATATTTGTCAAGGTTTCCCAAACAGCTTCCTGGTGCCAATGCCAAGAAACCTGAGTGCTACGTCGGGACGTCAGACGAAACCAAGAGTGCACTCTGCCTCAGCATTTTGCAGGCACGGCCGGTAAGCTGCGGGAACGTCGATTGAGGCTTTGTGGTGGCCGCTCAGCTTGACTGTGACGACAGTTGAATAGCGCAGTCTCGCTGCAGTAGTTCAAGTTACAAGGTCGCTAAGAGGCAAAGCCTGTGTTCCCGCGGATAAGAAAATTATAGTGTCCTGAAAGCCTTCCTAGATAGTCCTAGGTCAAAAATCCTGACGGTGTTCCGGAAGTGTCCCACGCATTCGTTCCGGAATCTTTCCAGGTCAGACCCCCGCCTTCTCAAGGAACCCAGGCTGAGCAACGCTCCTGACACACTTTCCGAGCAGTTTTCCGATGGACAACAAGCCTTCCAGTAGCCGTATACACCCTGGTGCTCCACAGAGGGAAGCTTGTGCAGTGAAATATTCTCAAAACACTCTTAGGGAAGGTTTCGTAGTATATTCGGAGCACCCGAACATGAGTTTGAGTATGCACTCATTCTCTTCAGACTTGCGGACTTTGTAGCAGTAGTGCTGAGACGTCACGCTGCAATCAGAGAGTTGTCTGGAAGAGCGGCAAGGTCAGCAATGTTCGACAGCGGGGATGGTATGCTGGAGGTCTGAATCTTGAGACTTAATCTCTATGCGACACTGTTCGAGGAAACTCACTCGAGATGACAATGAGCTGCTCTGAGGAGCGACTTCTGGACTTCCTGACTGCTGCGCCCACTGCTGATTGGGAACCCTCGTGCGCCCATGCAGCAACGACAACTGCACAGCCAAGACTTTGATGCACCCACGAAGGTTCGACTCTTTGCATCTGCTGCTACACTCCCGCAGCTGCTGTGAGCAGCTATTTGCAAAACAGCACACCCTGCAAACCCCTAGTCCGGGTGCTGTTGTTGTGCCACCCTCTCTGGCCAGAGCCCTAAGACGCAGCCCAACCATGCCCAACCAAACTTGTGACAAAGCAGCAGCCGCAAGCATCTGAGCTGCGTAGACCGCGCTTCGCACCGCTTCGCATGGACGCTTCCTGGAGGGCAGCTGCTGTGGTGCTGTTGCTGCAATGCCACGAAGGAGTGGAGTCCTAGGCTCGTGCAGAAGGACATGGTCCTGTTGGCTTTAAAGTTTGAGCGGACAATCACTTTATCGGTAGCTTAGTGTTGAAGCATTGTCGACAGAAGAACTGCCATGTGGCTTTGGCATCATGTCCGAGTTCCATGCGCCAGTGGTTGGCAACAGATTGAATGGAAAGGAGCTGCCCAGTCGCCCGACCCTTCCACTTCGTCGAACGCGTGGGACGGGAGCTCAGTCTCTCCGGAGCTTGGGTTTATCTGACCTCGAAAGCCGGGTCTATCTCTGACCTTCTGAGAAGTATGCCTTTGGCACATCCGGGATCCAGGTCATCGCTGGAAAGAGCACCTAGAGCCGTTTAAGTCTGCGGTTGTCAGGTTCAGATCTCTGGAACCATCCTCGAGGCAGGTTGAAGCTTGGTGGGGCATTGAAACTGCTACAGGACACTGTGCTGTTGTGCAAGCGGGTTCCGATGCAACTGAGAAACTGAGAGGTGGGGAACACGCTGCTGGTGTCCTTCGGGCTCTCCGAGCTTCTTCTCCGGTCTGGGAGCTCAGAGCTCGCAGCTGCTGTGCACTGCAGGGCACTTCGGACTCTGCCAAGCTCTCCTCCGGACGTCTGATGATCTCAGCGTGTAGACACTTGAAGCCAATATGAGCGAACGACGGAACGAAATGCAGCCCGCTGCGAACCAAGCAATCTTCAGACCCGAAGCTGCGAAACGCAACAGCTGGGTTGGCAGAGGGCAATTTAATTTCTTAGCTTGAGTATCGCCAGAAATCAGAGATGTTTAGAAGCCATGGATGCCGACGAAGATTTTTTCGACGAGTTCAAAGACGAGAGCTATGATGATTTCTTCACCCGTGAGCAACCATCACAGCCTGCAAAGCCGTCACCGCAGGCCAGGGTGGAGTGCTTGGAAGAGCATTGGTGCCCCGAAGCATCGCATGTTCGACAGGCTCTAAATCTAAGCGCCCAGTGAAGATTGCAGTCGTGCTGACAGGACGACGGTCCAAGCTTCTTTGCCATCCACTCCGACGATGATGACGGAGCTGATGGCAACGACGGTGGACCAGGAATTACTCCTTACACGGCTATGCCTCAGGCCCCATCCCCTGAGCCCGGCTTTAGCTCTGAAGACTTGCAGCTGCACGGAGTGCTAGGGGACTTTTACTCTCGATTCAACGTGCAGAACCTTGCGAATGTGAACCGCATCGTAGAGCAATATCGTGGGAGCAATCTCACCCATCTCTTCGCAGCCCTGGCTGCCAAATACAGTTTGCCAGCACCCGAAGTCATCGAGCTTGTTGCATCTTCATTGTACATAAGCTCGCCCTTCGAATTCTGCCCGGCAGAGTCACAGAAGCTGGATGCCCACTTGCAGCAGTTGGAGCCAACTGGAGCAGCTGGAAGTCGGGATGCTTTTGAGGATCCTGGCCACCGGGAGAACTTGTTCATCTCAGCCCTGCAGACCTCTGCCGATGCTTCTTCGGCTGCTGCATCCTCGGCACTGCTGCACTTCTTGTGCCTGAGAGGTATCCCCAGCAGCCGACTTAGACCGCAAGTCTGGCAGGTTTTACTGGGCGTCTTGCCACAAAATGCTGATACTGATGTGTTGCAAGCAGAGAAGCGAAAACTGTACGAGAGTCAGAAGAGTTGTTTCCTGGTTCCCGGGAGGGACAAGCTGGAGATCAAAGCCTTTGACCGTCCGCTGAACGAATCACTCGAGCTGCTTTCGCAGATCCAGAAAGATGTACAGCGCACTCGCCAAGAGGAGGATTTGTTTCAGCAAATTGCGACGAGAAATGCGCTGATCTCGGCCTTGTTCGTTTATGCTCAGCTACATGAGGCCAGATATGTGCAAGGCATGAACGAAATCTTGGCAACGTTCTTCTACGTTTTTGTCACTGCGGGCAATGCGGAGTTTGCTGAGCACGACGCTTTTTGGTGCTTCAGCAATCTGATGCATATGATGAAGCCAGGCAGGCGATGCACACCTCACATGAATACTTAATACAGACATGCAGAGCATTGCAGGGCGTGTTGGCACCCGCACCCGTGGGTAACTTCCACTGTTTCTCGACAGGCTTCATGACCGGCGACCATTCCACCGACGGAATGTATGCCCAAGTCAACACCTGCCAGAGCCTTCTCAGAAGCGACGTGGATCGGAGAGTAATGTGTGTTTTGTTTGTACGTCGGTTCCGGTTGTGAACCTGTTGTTGGGCTGCAAAATGTCAAGTAGTCACTGCCTCCAAAGCAGCTAAGAATATGATCCGGAGCTCGCCCGTCATCTTGTTCAGCACGGCTCTCCTCACTTTGCCGTGGCTTTCCGCTGGTGCACTTTGCTGTTTGCGCAGCCCAGCTGCAGTTCTGCAGTATGTTGGCATAGGCTTCGACCACTCAGTTGGGACGTCCAGATATCAAGTTCGATTCTTGGCATGAGGTTCAGTTTGAAAGTAATTAGGTTGCTCATGTTTCTTGGCAGTTCCAGGCAGGATGCGAGTTTGCTAGATCTGCTTCGACTCTGGGACTCTTTCATCGGGGACCCCATGGGTTACGAGCTGGTGGTCTACGCTTGCCTCGCATCTTTACTGTCCTGTCGCGCCTCACCTGCATCCCGGAAGGTTTGTGTTTTGTTTGTGGCCTCGGCACTCCCCCGCAGGTGACGAGTTGCTGGCGGCAGACGACGAGTTCCAGCTGGCAGAGATCATGCGTGGAGCGCCGCGGCGAGACGTCAACAGCCTTCAGAGGCAAGCGGCAAGTGAAAGTTCAACACACGCGTCGTCGCTTCTGAAAAGCTCGGAGGGACCACGAAATCTCGAGTCTTGAGTACTGGTTGATCTCAGCAGTAGGCGCGCGTGGGCAATCTGTGCCCTGGAACGTCGGGTGCTGCTTGTTCGCAAGACGTGGTGTTCAGAATCCCGTACTATAAATAATATTTCTGATTCCCCCGGTTTGTTCCGGCGGCAAGACACTTTCATTTTCGGTTCGCCTGGGATCGAGTGCTATGACCTGCTCGTCATGCCTTCCGACACCATTCCCCCAACATGGTACGCCGCATTCCGCCATGCCTGGAAAGTAGACCTCTGAATTCTCAATTTGCTGACATGCGGAGTGAGGGCAGAGCCTCTCACTGAGAGCTGCCGAGGCAGACTCCGCCTTTTCCGGCTCGTTCCGTCGCGCAGGTTGTGGAGCAGCCTTGGGCTCAGTTTCCTCTTTGCCCTTCTGCCGGTTTTGAAAGCACCGAGGATTGCAGGTTGGGCACAGGGAGCTGCTTCCAAGGCTCAAGATTTCGTGCCTGCTACTTGACTGCCGCAGCAGGGAGGGACATTGGCAGAAGGAGTGCAGAAGGCATCGCTTGCGACGCTGTCGGGGGATTCGGCAGTCACTGAGGTTGTCAAAGACACTGCGAGCCGCGCCTCGGCGGCTGCAAAAGAAGCATCTAAGGAGAAGGCAGGCAGTGCAAACCCAGTCCGAAGAGCTGTAAGAAGAGACTCGACAGGGAGATATCCGAATTCGGCCCCGCAGCCCAAAAGAGAACAGACAACGCAAATAAAGCCTTTGCGTCGCAGGTGCACTCGGTACAGCATTGGCTCAAAGAAGCCGCACCTGCGCGGCAGGAAGTCATCGATAAGGCTCAAACAAGGCCGGGACATCCGACATGAAAGGAGGGCGTGCAGCAAATTCACTCGTGGGACTCCTTGCCAGGCTGTCAGCGCTTGTTCAAGCGACGGGTGCAGCGGCCACGAGGGCTGCGCAGAAATTCGTGGAGACTATGTGAATCCCGCGGCGTGTCTCCCGCGCACGTGATGAGCTTGGCGGTTCTAGTTCACTGCCGCGCAAAGGCATCGGCAGTGTTGCTAATGTTTGGTGCTAGCCACCCCATCCGCAGTCTGCCAGAAGGCAGCGTGCTGGTGCGCATAGGTTCCGTGGATGTATCGATGAAAAAACGATGAAAGCTGGCGCGAGAAACAGGATGGCAACTTCCAGGCGCAGGACGTGTTTGTGTGGCTGCACCTGAGGCGGCGGTGGAAGGAGCTACACTTGCTCTTGGCAGCGTTGATTTTTTTTAATGTCGGCAACTTACTTCATCGCACTAGAAAGGTGAATAAAGAGAAGACGGGCTTTTTGCAAACGAGGTGCTCCTGTCGCCGCGGGTGCATTCTGCATGCAGCTCGTTCCGGATTCTCTGGGAGTCGAGCTTGAAAGGGCCGGACCTGCCGTTTGCAGGCCAGGACCATCTCTTCCATCATCTTCTCGCGGTTGTAGCGACCAGTCACATGCCTGTTGCAGGCAATTCAAGCGACGTTCAGACGAGGGACAGTGAGGCCGTGCTGCAGGCTGCTGCGAGCCCTCAGCTTAACAAAGTCCGAGCTTGCCTGCAGGTGGTTAGCACGCAGCTGACGCCGGCCGTGCACGGCCTCGTGCGGGCTGCTGCCATTCTCGCAGGTGCTCCAGCTTCTGTATCTGCGACACTCACGAGTGGATTCGTTGCCCATTTCACGTCCAGTGTCGGCATGCCTTGCCAGGGTTTGCAGCCCTTGCCTTCGCGGATCTGCGCCGCTTCAGACCGCCGCTTTTCGAAACCAGCTAATGCGACTAAGTGATGCAGCCGAGGGCCTCGCCGATGGTTTGGAGCTGAAAGGCAGATTATAGTTATAGGTAGACCGCAGAGACAGGCCAACGACAGCCTTGATGATGTAAATCTGCCTGTCTACAGACTGCCTCCTCGTGTTTGATCTTGTATCTATAGCTACTGAGGGGATGAGCCACACTGACATGTAGAATCTTCCCAACAGTGACAGCAGCCATCGTTTCGTTTCAAGCAGGTCAAGACCTGGAAGGATGGTAGTACAGCTATACAATGCCTTGCGCTTGACATCTGAACGCAATCTGTAACAAGAGGGTGATAAGTTCCTGAGTTCCTGCAGCCGTTTTTAGGAAGTGAGCGCCTGTTCCGTAGCTTCTTGGAGACTTTTTGTCACATCATAGCTCGCAGCGTTTTCGCGGGGCTGGCCCAGGAAAGCTTACGGATTCACAGCCTTCGTTGGCGAGCTTTGGGCGGCGGTTGGCCTCGTTCTTCCAGTGACGCAGCACCCATTTAGACGTCTGGACTCACTTCTGCTTGCTTGTCCGCGGGATTCTTAAGGTGTATCTCTTCCTAGCAGAGAGCTCAGCGATGCTCAGCAATGAATTGTGTGTGCTGGAAGGCCGCATAAGCTGCAAGCAACCTGACGTAAGGTCATGGTTTGCTCTTTTCTATGTCTTATACTCGTGTCAGTACTGGAGAGAGCTGGACTGTCCGAAGATACCGGCGAGGTTGGAACGTCGTGTCTGAAGCCGATCTGGACGTTTAGATACTATCCGCCGTCACTTGTCAGGAGGTCATTGTATACGGCCAGTTTTACCTGCCGTGGAGTGCAGTGTATTGGATCATGAAGAAGGCAGCTCGACTGCCATTTATCCATTCATGAAGTTCTTCCCACCGGTGGGTTGTCCTTGAAGCTTGTCTTGCTAAGGAGTGGTTGGCAGAGCAGCATGCGAAAACGGTGCTGCCAATGGCTACCAAGCCCTCGCAGAAAATTTTCGAAAAACGCATCGCCTGAAAATCAATCCATTGCGTTGCCTTGAGCTCGCTGCATGAAGCTTGTGTGGGATGCATCATTTCTCGGGTTGCATGCCGAGCCAGTGAACGAGAGTGCAAGAGAGAACTCGAAAGAGAGAGAGAGAGAGAGAGGCAGGGACTTCTGCAGGCAGCTGCTGGTGCTCCGCTTGTGCAACCAAGCCTGGCGAGACAAGGTCATCCTGAGTCTTTGCTATCCCTTGATCTGCGAGCTGGCATTGTGCCGTTTCTGCGTGCTTCGGTCAGTCTTGCACGGCCACAGCATCTAGTGCTACCTCGGCTGTGTTCGAGATTTGCTTGCCAATGCAGTGGACTGCACGGCTGTCGGAGGTCGGAGCGGGTGTGTGTGTGTGTGGATTCTATCAGCTAAAAGCGCTTAGAAGATTGAAGCTACCAATCTTTGGGCGGTGGGGGCTATACACATCTGGCACGCAGCATAGAACCGAGTTTGCGAGCTCCTCACAATCCACCCACCCCACACATCAGCCCGAAGGCAGTGTCAGAACGTGTAGCCCGCTATAACATTCTGAAGGCTGACTTGTAATGGATCACTAGCATCAATACGAGTGTCAGCCGGTGACCATACAGCGTCCGTCATGCGCATCACCAGCATCACCAGCATCATTGGCACCTCGCTTCTGCTTTTTTAGGCTTTGTTGAGCTGCCCAAACCCCTGCAATGTCGTGCTCGTGTTGCCTGGCGCCGAAAACGCAATATCGGAATTTCTGGCGCCCACTCCCAGTCGGGCCGGAAACCCTCATTTGTGTAGGTAACTTGGATGTCACGGCACTGCCTCGCGCCCGAAACAGTGATTTCAAAATGATCTGGGTCTTGAAAAGCGATTTCAATGTGCTTTAAGGTGTGAAAAGGTGTTATCAGGTGTTTTGAATTTGATTGTGGGTTGCACATTGGATCTGCTCGGATTCGCATACCTTTCAAGGATTCATAAAGGACTCCATTGAACTCTATTGGCTATAGTGACTCTAGTGAATCCTTGCACAACAGGGAAAACCTGTGGACAAAGTAATCAGTGCCTGAGAAATTGAGTTCAAAGTGTCTTGGTGCCTCGAAGAATGATCTCAAAGTGCTTTGGGGTCTCAGAGAACAATTTCAAAGTGATTTGGGATGTCAAAAAGTGATTTCAAAGTGAGGGGGCCCAGTAACTCATTTGTCGGGTCCCAAATCACCAGAACCAGTTCTCCTCCTGTCTTTTCTGCGATCTAGGACCTGCAAAGGGATGTCCAAATTGATCTTGTGCTTGAAAATGCGTTTTCCAAGTGTTTTGGTTACCGAAAATGCGCTTTGCAAGTGATCTCGGGCCTCAAGAAGTGATTTCACAATGATTTGGGATCTTTCAAAGTGATCTTAATGTGATTTGATTAAGGCTTAAGGCTTGAAAAGTGATTTCAAGATTATGGAGTTGCATATCGGATCTCCGAGGGTTTCCCTCCCTGTTCCAGGATTCACTAAGGCTTGCTTAGAGATGGTGAGCCCACTGAATCCTTGCTGGAGACGGATCTCCTTGTGCACCCCCCTTCCGATCACTTTGATTTGACTTTTCGCCCAGCCATTCTCCAAATCAATTTCAAGTGACTGTTATGACTGTTTAAAAACTTTTCTCAACCCGGTTTTGTTCACATCACTTTCTCTAATCAGTTTGAAATCATGTTCAACTCCAAAATGATTTAACCATTTCCAATGGTTGCCAGCCATGACATTGTAAGGCAATAAGCTACAGTTCGGGCTCTGTTAGCCAGTTTTTGGAGAGAACATTGGGGCACACAGGGGGTGGATGCGGGCGGGAGGGAGGGTTCCAAGACGTTCTTGCCGAGCCCAACAGTCAAGTTGAGCCACTCCACTGAGCAGACTCCCCTTTAGAAAAAAAGACTCTCTCCTCACGCTCACTAGCAGTATATGAACGTGCGGCTGTGCCTGACGCCTCTCAGCTCAAGGCGTTTCATGATGTTGAGCGGCGGCGAAGTTTTGAAAAGGATAAGGAACCGACGAGTGAGATGTCGGCCGACGTAATTAACTGTATTCTCTTTGAGCTTCGAATCAATGCAGCGAGCCATTTAGATAGTTTAGCAGCATGCCAGAACGGCTCAAAGATGCGACAAAGTTCTTGTCAGGATATATCTATCGCCAGCATAATTATGTCCAAAACGCACGTGTGCGCCAGAGTCAACCGCCTGAAGAGCCTGACGGTAAACTCCCTAGATAGTTTCACGCGGGCGCGTGTGCGTGTGTGTGTTTGTTTGTGTGTGTGTGTGTGCGAACTGCCGCTGTGTGCGCGCGCGCGCGATCGCTAGTTACCCTCTTCGTTTATTTGCGTGTTTCTTGTGTGCGTGGGTGTGAGCCCCGTTTTTCTGTCCATTTCTCTGTCTTGCTAGATAGCTCGCTAGCTCGCTATCTATCGATCTATCTATCGGCCTGTCTGTGTGTCGGTGTGTCTGTGTCTGGGCGTTGTGCTAAATTTCACACGCCAGCTCAGCGTCCCGTGTCAGCTTCGGGTGGCCGTCGTCTTTACTGCAAGCTGTAAGAATGTAAGAAAAATGCGTACCCTGAAACCCGAAATAACCCGAAGCCATAGGATCTTCATGTTAAATGAAAACGCAGTCCTGAACAAGGTGCGAGGCACCCCCACAACGCCCTAAGCTTTCCACAAACCCTGAATAATACTGGTAGGATCTTGTCCCGAAGTGAGGTACAGGGAAACCTCAATTTTCGGTGACTCCGTTCTGCTTTCAGGTGAGTGGTGCACTTCTCGCTGGCTGCTCCCATCGCTTAGCAAACGAAGATGCGCAAGTAAGGGCTGCCGTCGGTTTCCCAGAGCCAGAAACCAAAGAACATGCCATAGGAAGCTCTGTTTTCTGTGATCCTGTTGGTTCTGCACGGCCATGCATTGCTGTTCCATACAACTTCGTTTCTGCGGTTTGAGGCTGTCAGCGCACTCGCAGCTGCCAGCAATCCACGCCGAACAGACGAGGAGAGACACACACACACAAACAAAGACACGCACACACACACACACTCACACACCCTGTGAGCTGCAGATTGCGTGGACGAAGTTTCGAATGCAGGACGAATCAGGTGAGCACGAAGCATGCGCTGTTGCAGTCGCTGCTGCAGTAAAGAGCCTGAAGGCGTCGCCGTCTGCATCCTTAGTTTCCTTAGATGTGGCAGGCAGGTCCCACTCCACTGGTCGCAGGATGCCTCCGTGGACGTCCGACGTGTGGCTTTGCGCACGCTGGCGCATGTGGCACCTTGCGGGGACGCGGCCACGGCGTGCATGGAGCAGGCGTCTGCTTTGCTGACAGACCCCGCGTGGCCGGTCCGTTGGGCCTCCGTGGATGCAGTGGCGTGGCTGGCACAGGGTGGAAGCCACGCGACGGTGCAAAGAGCGCTGGAGCTGCTGTCAAGGCGCTTGCAAGATGCCGATTGGCCAGTGCGACGCGCTGCTGCTAGCGGTCTTCGCAACTTGTTCCAGTTCGTCACAGCCTTGTCTGAAGAGCTTCAGCAAGATCAGCAGGATGGCCTGGTGGGAATGGAAGAGTTGCAACTCCCAAGGCCCAAAGCCCTGCAAAATTGTGTGGAGCAGACGGTCTTGCAGCCCTGCCTCAGACTACTGCAGGATCCAGTGGTTCAAGTCCGGCAGGCTGCTTTGGATCTTCTGCCCTGGCTTTGCCAGAGCACTAGTAAAGATGTGATCCGGGCGCTGCATCGTCTCCTTCAAAAGGAGCAAGTTACTGAACTTCGGTGTGCAGCGGAGAAGCTGTTGGACAGGCTGACACTTACCGAGCTGCCTCCAGCACACTGACCTGAACACTCTCTCTGTCCGGTCCACAAGCCAGAATGCTGCGTAAGGTTCTTCCTTCAAGCAGCCCAAGCTTGCATTGTCTCTTACGAAAGTCTCGAATCTTGCTGACATGCCTTGATGACTGTGTCTGGGCTACAGTGGTGTGACCTCGCATGGATCTTCAAGCAGTAGATGTTCGAAGCCTCCAGCATTATCGGGGTAGTTTCAGTCGTGTTCGAGCTCGTATACACTTTAGTGGGGCCGGCACCAACTTTGCAAGCCCATCAAGCACATCAGGAATAAGCCCTCTTGCATCCATGACATGTGATGTTTGCAATCAAGTCAGCCGGCTTCTTCGGGCGTACATGTTCACTGCATGATTCTGACGGTTCCCGTCCCTATAAATATGGTGGGTTTCCTATAAATTTTGGATGTTGGATCTTCTATAGTCAGAGCTTAGTAAGGGGTTCCCATCCCTGTAAATACAAAGGGATCCCTATAAATTTTCGAGTCTTGGCATTCCGGGCCGTAGTGCATGCAGGGTCAATTGCTGAACATGCAATGTCTGAGGCCCAAGTGCATCGTGTACGTTTCCTGTCTAGTGTACTTTGGCCTCAACTCGGCTTCAATCCTAGAATCTGGGGTCTGCTTCAACTGAAGCAAACTTGGTGCAGTTGAGGCAAGGGAGGTTCAATCTGCAACTGCAAATGGTTGCAGCTCACGGAAGAAAGCCTTACGTACCTACGCAGCAAAGAATAACCCAAGGCCCCAGAGGGCGGATGTAGCAATTCCACAGATCTCACGGAGACTCGAAATTGGCCCAGTTTGACAACACGCAACTTCTCTTTTGTGATGGAGCGGCTGGGTCTTATTGTAGCAGCAGTTTCGGGTCACGGAAACATCATGTTGCGAACGCTTGCATGGGTTGCTGCAAAGTGATGGTTCAAGGAAGGGGGGAAGCTGCCCAGTAAGCTGGCAAGACTGCTGCTACATCATACCGCTAACCATCATAATTGCTTTGGCAACGGGGCAGAAACGAGACTGGCAAGTCAGAGGAATTTGAATATGAAATTAGGTTGATACCCAAGCTATTGAAGCAGGGCGGAGGCAAAGGACCCAGGCGCAATGGTTCCTGGAGATGAGCGCTGAAGCCGTCCGAATCGGCGTTCGACTGCGACCCTTCGTATCACATGAGGCTGCGCAGGCTGGACAACCTGCCTTGAGAATACGTCGGCCACCTAGTTTCTGAAGCCAGATTTGCCAGTCGCAGGCACGTAGAGAAGGCAGTCTCTTTGAATGGATTGTCTGGCACCTTGCCATGCAGGCCGCAAAATGAGTGACAACAAGTACCACACATGCACGTGCTTGCCCAAGGTGACAATGCTGTCATTGTTAATGTGGAAGGAGCCGGAGGCAGAGTTGTCATGCTTCTAATGCTGTCATGACCTGCGTTCTCAAACGTGCTTCTTTACGCCTGCCAGGAGGCTGGCTGCAAACGCAGTACATGTACTAGTTAGTAGTGATGGTATGTATGTCCTTCGGATACAACGGGGTGCATGTCGTTGGGCTGGCCGTGCTTCTGCTTGGGGGAGGAGAGCTGCCAGACTTGCCAGAGTGTTTCCTTCTGATATTGGTCAAGTAGCTTTGACGAAGAGCGGGCTACCGAAGCCAGTGAAGCCAGCGCATGCCATCGCCTTATCCCGTTGCGTTGCAGAAAGGAAGAGGTGTGAAACAATTGTGGCGAATGGACCTTTGTGGAAAGTGTTCCACCACCATGTTGCACTCCAGCATGCCGCTTCCTAGCGCGTGCTGCGAAGATGTGTTTTAAGCCAGGGCAGGCTGACAGTCGCAGCTGGGTTCGTCCCGGCTTAACACTACGAATCTGGCTAGAGTTTTGTGTCGGCTTTAGGGTCTGGGGGCTTCGGGCTGCATGCTCTGATGCAGGCAAAGCTGCTCCCAAGGAGTTTGCGTTCGACTATGTCATGGATTCTACCGATCCCAAAGCCAAGGTTTTTGTCGGCCAGGAGAGGTGCTACCAACTTATGGCCGGCAAGATGATTGAGCATGCTTTCAATGGCTACAGCGCCTGCTTATTCTGTTACGGTCAGACTGGTACCGGCAAAACCTTCACCATCATGGGCAACTCCCAGGTGAAATCTGAGCAAGGCCTGCTGTTGAGATTTATGGCAGATATGTACCAGCAAGTGGACGAGCTGCTTGTGAAGCAAGGCTGTGAGATTCAGTGCAGCTTGCAGATTGTCGAGGTGTACAATGAGAAGGTGAGGGACCTTTTAAACGACAGCAGCCCTCAGAATCCTGAAGTGCACGTTCATCCCAAGCTTGGGGTCTATCTCAAGCACGTACTAGACCTGCCAGCAAACTCGCTGGAGTCTTGCCTCACGCTTATTGACGAAGCCAGGGGGCGACAAAGCTTCGCAGCAACCGCCATGAATGCACAATCATCACGTGGCCATACCGTCTACAAGCTGAGCTTGGAGAAGCATGGTGGCAGCGACAACACCGTCTTGACCTCCGAGGTCTATTTTGTGGATTTGGCGGGCCGCGAGAACGAGCGCACCACGAAGGTGAAGGGAGACCGTCTTGTTGAGCTGAGCTTCATCAATCGGAGCCTCATGTGGCTCTCTCAGTGCATCCACGCACTCGGGGGTGCCGCCGAGCCCGCCAAGCGGCGACACTCGGTAGGTGAGGCAGACCAGCCTGGTCCGAAGGAGAAGCGTCGCCCTGACAAGACTGACAAGAAGCCGAAGGGGGACACCAAACGCAACACTGATGCGAGCCGCGATCGTGCCAGTGCCATCTCAGAAGACTCTGATGCAACGCCACATCAAAGAAAAGCAGCGGGCGGAAAAGGGGTCGATATGACGAGATTCCGTAACTCCAAATTGACACTGCTTCTTGCCAACGCACTGAAGGGAAACTCCAAAACTTCCGTCATCTGCACGTTGAGCCCAGCAAGGCAGCATGTGGACGAAAGTTTGACCACTCTCAACTTTGCGACGAGTCTGAAACATGTAAAGGTGGAGGCCAGGGCTGCAACCTTTGTGGACAAAGATGCGCTCATCAGCGGCTTGCAAACAGAGGTGCAGGCACTTCGAGACCGCCTGTCGTCCGAAGGTGTCGCTGCTGTCGAAGAGCTGAAAAGCGAGCTTGAGGTGGCGAATGGAATGCTCCAGAAGTACCGTGATTCCTGGCAAGAAAAGATAGAGGAAAACGAGAAGTTGCGAGAGCAGCGAAACTCCGCTCTGCGCAAGCTGGGGGTAGCGAGATTTCGTATGGCCGCAAGGTCACCTAGGTCGTTGTCTCCGAAGGATGGGCCTGGGCCACAGCCAAATTCACGGCAGTCGAGCAAAAGCCCTCACTATAGCCCTCACTTGCGGCAAGAGGATTGTCCACATCTGGCAAGTTATTCCGATGATCCTCAAATCAATGGCCGCTTCATTTTCGCCGTCGCAGAAACGGGTTTCGAGTACTGCATGGGCTACAAACCTGATTGTGACTTCATCCTACCGCGCAGAGCTGGAATCGCCCCGCGGTCCTGCATTGTGTGGCTGGACGAGGGAGGGCTCTTTATTCGCCCAGTGTGTGTAGACTCGGTTCCGGTGGCAACAGTGGAGATCAACCACGTCAAGCTGAGAGAAGAACCAAAGGAGCTCAGGCATGGTGACTTTCTGGTTGTAGGCAGCTCGATCTGCTTTGTCGTGAAGAGCGGCACCTCACCGCCCGGAAGCAATCTGCATGAGAAGTTACCTACATGGTGGGGCCTGGGGTCCCAGGATCGCATGCGGATCATGCATCAAATTCTCCCTGAGCCCCGCCGCGAACAGCTTGAGGTGGCTTTGCAGTACATGTCGGCATTGCAGGGACAGAATCTCGACAGCAGAAGCTTCCAACGCCTGGACAAGTTCCTCATCTCTGCCAAACGTGCTGCGGCGCTTGTTGTCGAGGCCATGCAGCCATGTATCAACACTTTGCTCAAGTCAAATCACGGACGTTGCTATCGCAGTCTTGCAGAGTCTAGCATGCTGCAGCTCTGCCTTGCAACCTAGATGAACAATAGGCTGAGCTCCCGAAGCCTGAAGGCCAATGCACTGACGGATGTCCTCAAACCGCTGTCGAAGCTTAACCTCGAGCTCTCCTCCATGGCACCAGTCATGGTGCACGGGTACGGGGATACTTGGATTTGTGTGCCCTGATCGATCGCATCATGCAGAATACATCAGAAGTATGTGTGTGTGTGTGTGTGTGTGTGCGTGAGTGATTTTCGAGACACCGCCACAGCTCAGGATAATTGTGGTGTCCCAGACCTGTGTGTTCGTCTGGTCAGGCAGACAGACAAGCAGGACCTTGCTGAACCTATCTGAACCTACTGTGAAGCCAGAAGCAGCCCGGATCCTCTGTGAGGAGGCCGAGCTTTTGTCCATCTGGACCATGGCACAATTTGAGGCCCGATTTGAGAGTGAGTGCCTTCGAGCTCTCTCATCTCAAAGATTGGGCTCAGGCGAGGCTGCAGATCATGAGGGAGATGCACGAGAAGCGTTTGCACAGACCCGACAGCTTCGCCCTGGATGCCAGGCACAGTCAGACTCGTAGGAAGCCTGCGAGTCATGAATTGTCACGCACTGCCTACTGCAATGAAGGCTAGATCCGTGGGCAGACTCCGGCATGCCATTGAGGGCTCAAGGCCGACTTCTCCACGGCACTGAGTGCTTTGAGTGCATGTGTCCGGCTGCACCCTGGACAGGCACTCCAGAATGTCGCCCAAGCGCAGCGCCGAGACTTGGCGTATAGGCCTTGCTGGCAACCAGCTCCATCAGACTTATCAGAGCGTGGCCTATCGTGCCCTTTCTGCACTCGCCGAGGAACACTGCCAGAGAAACCTTCAGCCTGCACCAGGACTTTGCCTATTCTTGACACTCCTGTTCGCACGAATGACCGTCTGATTCCCTGCGGAGGATGCAGAGAGGCTTGTTCTCAAGCAACTTGTCCGCACCAAGCCGTTG